CAGCGCCTCTGTCCACCCCACCAAGTCGATGTTCATCTTGAACCGCTGCTTGAAGGTCACCCAGTCACCTCCGGTGGCTGTGAATTCTATAACGAAGGGTAGTCATCGCCGGAGAGAAGGAATGTCCACAGGCGAACTTGACACAGCCACAGATTTGGCGGGCTCCTCGCTCCGCTCCTCCATCAAAATGGCGGCCGCATGTGTGGGCTGCGCCACAGAGGTTCCCTGTTGGCAAGAAAATGGTGGTGGGATTTTCTGTCCCGCGCAGCTCCGTTGTTCTCTCTTCCACCACTGGCTCCTCACGGTGGAACGATGGACGCCGCGGCTTGAAGGAGTTTTGTGAGGCAGGAGTGTGCTGTACGGCGCTCCCTACCCGATGGCGGTGAGCTGTCGTGTGGTCGGTTGACGCGCTGCTCCACCGATGGTGCCTCACTTCCTTTCTCCGGGGTCACCATCCACGGAGCTGTTGAGGGATGAGTTCGTCTTCCTCATCGTCCGACATCCTGGTGCATAGTCTGCTTCACGTAAACATAACCTAAGACGGCTAGCTTACTAAAATAACGTTTGGCCACTTCCAACACCAGTTGTAGTGAGTTCAACTGAGTCGTAGACATACTCTTTGGAGGCAACACATTTATTAACACCAACACACGGGGTCACTGCCCCTTAAAAGAATATAAACCGATGGTGGTGACCACCAGGCTAAGTACACTAATTACACCGTAACTTGCTACAACCGACCGGACCACAGCTTGGGTCCCGGTCCACGTGTTGGAGACTCTGTAGGATGCAGAAGAAGGTTTCTTCAGGATGAACAACAGCGCTGGTCCCTCTGGGGGACCCGGCTTATATCCTCTGTGGCGTGGCTGGCTCTGCCCTTGGCCACGACCACCTTCCAGAATCCTCGAGCAGGATCTCGACCCTGACACGTGACCACCCCTAGCCCTCACTTGGGGCCCTTGTGTAGACTTAACCGGTCACGTGTCCTCTGGGGTCAACCAGAGTGCCACGGCCCTTAGTAACCCCATTCCCATGGCCGGCACTCCCACACCCTATCCTGTAGGGGCCAGCACTGCACGCCAAGCGTGGTGCCATCCAGCGCTATCAATCAGCGCTCACGGAGCCCCTCTAGGGCCGGTACTGCACCCACATCCTTGAGGTGTCCGCGATGTCGTTACACCGCACGCCGCGCCTCTCTCGGGCCGACATTACCCAGTGACATCCCGCGATGCCACTACACATATATATCAAAAGCATATTAATAGTTACTCTTTGGTTTTTTAGGTAAAGTCACGTAGGTAAGCAATCAAATCAAATAAATGAAAACAACTAAATTAAATCACGACGTTTCGGACGCAACTCAAGCGTCCTTCTTCTGGCTGTCACATCGTTGCTAGACAGCCAGTTTATATTTATATTCATATCCATATTCACAGTCTTCTACTCCCAGCTTCAAACACTACCATCACCATTGCCACACGCTATTTCGAGCGTGCAAGTTTAACTTGCGCCTTTCTAATTTTTCAGATATACGAACATAGACGTCACTTCAACCGAGATGATGGATTCAAATTGAGCAATCATTGGAAGGATGTAATTAACCAAGTTAACACTTTAGCTGCCGTGCAGTCTACTGCTAGACAGCCAGTTTAGATTGATTTTCATAATCATAGCCATATCCCCAGTGTGTTACCCCCAGCTTCACACACTACCATCACCATTACCACACGTTGTTTTCAGCTTGCGCAATTTACCCCCCCCCCCCCCCGGCAGCATAACAAAAGGCTGCTTAATCTTAGCTTCCTTATCTACTTCCGCCCCCGGCATCACAAAGCTTCAGTTTGAACTCCGTACGTTGCGCCCACCCCGTTCCTCACATCGTAGCCTCCCAGTCCACAGCCCGCCCCCACACTCACCATGGCCCCTCCCCTCCCTCCATCCCCCGCGACTATATGATTCCTCGTCACAGCCATCTCTTAGACACACTTAAGCGGTTGTGCTTTCGCTACGTTGTCCCCACCTGAAGAAGGACGTTTGTGTTGCGCCCGAAACGTCGTGATTGAACTTAGTTGTTTTATTTTATTTTTTTCCTACGTGACTTTACCGAAAAAACCAAAGAGTATGAATCCTTGCAGTCACGAAAAATTCAAATCTAGAATATTAATAGTTACCCATTTGTAAATAATGAGCAACACAGACAAACCTTTAAAACATCAAAAATGTTTGATGCACAAATAATTATTTTGTCCGGCCCCTCGTGCAGCCCCAGGCTGCGACCACTGAGCGTGTGCGTTGCCCCGCACACGTGGCCCACTCGTGACCATGTGCGGCAGGTGGATGTGGGCGCTCGTGAAGAAAGTCGTTCTCACGGCGCTGTCGGCGTGCTTAGCCACGACCGAATAATTTCAGCCGGGTTTGTCCGGGTGACGACCGCACCCGGAACTCCACATCCACAATACCTCTCGCTATGGATTGTGGCTACTAGGCACGTGCCTAGTCCAGTCGACCAGCGACCCTGGAAATACTCGGTGAGAAATGAAGCCGTGGCGCAGATGTATCGGCAGCACTGCCGTTGAAACGCTTTGACGCGCAGTGGCTGACGAATATTCTCTCGCTCCGTGGGTGTCCTCCACTACTGGTGCCCAGTGACGGCTGCTGAATGCAGCTGGCGAGTGCGTGGGGACTGGTGAGCGTAGTTGCCTCGGAGTGCTTGCAAATGTGTTGTACGGCTGAGCGTGTGCGTGTGGCTGTGTGTGTTGATTTGAAGTGAATGTGTGTAAGCGCGAGTGTGCGTTAGTGTAGGGGTGGGTAAGTGCGGTGTGTGAGAGTATATGTGAGAACCTGTTTCAATATTCACCATTACCTTCTCTAGCCGTGTGTATGTACGCGAGTATATGAGTGTAATATGAGTCTGTGTGTGTATGTTAAAGCCAAAGGTCCCCCCGTATAGCGTTCCCACAATGTAGGAGCAAGTGCCTTGATCGATCACCTTTGAAGCCCGCCACGGCACACGAGGCGGCACCACGCGCTGCGCTACGAGCCCAGCGACCCAAGTTCGATTCCCGCTCACGGCCAACACCGGTGACGATTATTATCTGAACCGGTCATGGGCCTCCCCTATGCGTACCTGGTGTAGTGTGTAATTATCATCACTGGGGAGACAAAAGCGACGGGGCGTGGTGTTTGCCACCCACCCCTAACTTGCCGTGCCGGCATTCATAGGTTCTCGTTAACAGCACTTGCCCTAACAGTCTGTTAAAGGCTATACGGGGTATCTTTGTCTTTGTGTGCGAATATGGATATGTGTGGGTGTGTGGTGTGTGGATGTGAGGGTGTCTGGTGTGTGGATGTGTGGTGTGTAATGTGTGGTGTGTGGGTGTGTGGATGTGTGGGTGTGGTGTGTGGGTGTGTGGGTGTGTGGATGTGTGGGTGTGTGATGTGTGGATGTGTGGATGTGTGGGTGTGTGGATGTGTGGGTGTGTGGGTGTGTGGATGTGTGGGTGTGTGGTGTGTGGGTGTGTGGAGTGTGGATGTGAGGGTGTGTGGTGTGTGGGTGTGTGGATGTGTGGGTGTGTGGTGTGTGGGTGTGTGGAGTGTGGGTGTGTGGTGTGTGGGTGTGTGGAGTGTGGATGTGAGGGTGTGTGGTGTGCGGGTGTGTGGTGTGTGGTGTGTATGTGAGCGCCAGTTTCGCGAGACTCGTACTTTCACTACCGAGAGAATTGATTGTCGAAAGTTTCCAACGGGCTCTGTGTGGACCGGTGGTGGTGGTGGTGAGGGGGTGATGGCCAATAACGGTCGTGAAACACATGGAGCGCATTGCCTTGCGGAAGTGCAATGCGTTGCTCAGCTGTTGGATGCTGCAGCCCAGAGGTTGCTCTGCATGTTTCACCCGCAAGGGACGCAGGGCACGCGCGCGTGTCCTTTTCCCAAACGCCGAGGACAGGCCCAAAGTCGCAACATATCAAGCAATCAGCCACAGGCAGCACGCGATCAAAGCTGTCATCGATGAAAGTGAACACGTTGCTCGAATTAAGAGAGGTTGTTTGTTATAAGAGCTTGGGGAACAGAGACAATGGGAGGAGGAGGAGGTAATGTCGAAGTGGAGCGGTGCGAGGAAAGGAGCAGAGAGAGAGAAGTGTTTTGTCCTTCAGTGTGGGTGGGTGAGCGAGTGAATGTGAACACTGTGGATGAGACAGACCAGTCAGTCTCGTAGACCTTCTCAACATGTGTGAAGGAATCGATGGCAGTAGCGATCGAGGGGTGATATGGAGGCAACTGACCGCGGGTGAGCGAGTGGCTGGAGTGAATTTGGTGACTGCTGGATCATCCATCTGTGAACTCGATCCTGTGCAGTGAGGCAGGAACTGGGTACTTCACCCCAGATGTGACAGCAGCACGATTCTCACTTCGACCAAATCGATCCGAACCGTTTCTCTTCTTCCTGACGATTTCTGTCGCGCTCTGGCCGCGACGCGCGTCGCGAACTGCGTCGTGACCTCCCTCGCTCGCGCTTCGTTCCTCTCCCATCGCCGTTGATGTCTTTGAGGTGCTAATGAGACGCGATGCAAATTCGGATCGAGAGGGGAGCGGCGACGCGGGATCTGCGACTTCAAATGGGTCTCACGCACGAAGCGGGTATAATGAAGGCGACACGGAGTCTCGCTCTCGTGAAAACAATGATCCATTCATTATCGCGCACTTCATTTACTTACCCAAGCAGCCGCAGTCTCATGGTTCGTACGCTGGACTTGCTACGTACAGGTCGACGGTTCCATCTCACCTCCCGGCGGGACAGTGAAGCGATGGGTCAAAGTTTATCACTCCTCCCCAGCCTCCCACGCCGCTGTCCGCCCAGCAGTCTACATGGGCGCAGCATAGTCGGTGTGTGATGGGGGAGAGTGTGGGCACGGCCACTCACAAACTCTCGCTTCTTGCAACGAATGGGTGAGAGTGTGAGCAGGTGTAGGTGGAAGGATGTGTATCTATAAATGTGGGTGAGTGTGCACAGGTGTATGTGCAAGTAGCTGTGAAAAGGTGTGAGGAGCTGCGCCTCCTCCAATCGCCCTCGTCACTCCTCGTCCTTCTGCCGTTGTGCTGCTCCCTCCCCCCGAGCCGCCTCCCCTCGCTTTCGACTCTCTCCGCGGCCACCTCCCCCTCTCGCGCGTCGGTGACGAGGGACCCGGAGCGGTGGAACAAAGAGGCGGTCTCCTGCGCCCCCGAGTTCACTCCAGCAGCAGGGAGAGCGGCGGTGAGCGCCCGCGCGAGAACGAGCGGCGGCGTTGAGTCCACGGCTCCTCGCGAGCGATGGAAAAGTTCAAGAGACATTTCAAGGGCCCGAGCAGATGGGGGGGTCCGCCGAGTGTCGTGGGCGGCGGCACGGAGAGTCGCGCCGCGCCCCTCGTGAGCAGCAGAGCGCGGCGCCGCTCCAGCGCGGGTCTCCCCTCCGCGTCTCTCTCCGCGCGGCGCAAATCTCTCGCGGGGGTCGCGCCCCCCTCCTCCTCCTCCCCTTCTTCCTCCTCCTCCTCCACGCAGCGCCGCCCGGGCCCGACCCTCGCGGCGGCGGCTGAGGCGGCGACGCCCGCGCCGAGTCCCCTGGCCCGCCGGCGTGGGGTCGTGGTACCCCCCGCGCACCCCCTCTCGGAGCCGCCCAGAGCGCGGCGCCGCGTGTCCGCGCAGCAGCAGCAGACCCCGAGCCCGCGGAACGCGGCGAGGCAACCGAGCGCGGCGGAGCCGGCGCCGTGCAGGAGGAGCAGCGTCTCGAAGGCGAAGCGCGGAGCCGCGAACCCACGCGGAGCCGTGAGCCGCGCGCTTTGGGTGCTGGCTCAGCGCGGGGCCCTGCTCCCCAACCGGGGCCAGGGGAGCCGCGCCTGGAGATCGCACGGCACGGACCGCGTCGACGTTGCCTGGGGAAGCTCCGCGCCGCGGGTCGACTGGATGCAGCTGCTCCTGCCGCCGGGCCTCGGCTTCCCCGAGCGCGTTCGGAGGGGACTGGAGCAGGGGTCCGGGGCGGGGTTCCTGCCTGCACTCCCGGCGGGCAGTAAGGACAGGGCCGACCTCGTTATCGTCGTCGAGGAAACCGCGAGCGGAGGGGGCGACAACCACGCCGCTTCGATGAAGCCGAGCGGGGGAACGGAGTCGGCGGGGGGTCCCTGTGGAGAGGAGTCTCGCGTCGAGGCCCCCGCGCCCCCTCGCGAAGCTCCCCGCGGCGGCGGCGGCGGGGCGGTGCGCAGACCCCGCCGCTACCTGAGGCCACCCCCGTGCCTCCGCCGGCACTCGTCCCTACAGGGGCCCGAGAGCCCTTGCGGGGCCCATGCCGGGGCGCGCCGCGGCCCCGTGGGGAACACCGCGGGGGTTGGCTGCGCGAAGCGCGGAGATGTAGGTCTTGTTGTTGGCTGCGCGAAGCGCGGCATCAGCGCTGCTGGGAGCTCCGGCAGGGCCACCTGGAGGGGCCACGCAGCGGAAACTCTGCGGGGAGGGTGCGTGGGGAGGGGCGGGAGACGCGGCGAATCTCCGTGACGGCAGAGTTGGATGGGAAGCCAGTGCGGTAGTGTCTGTGTGTGTGCGGTAGTGTCTGTGTGTGTGCGGTAGTGTCTGTGTGTGTGCGGTAGTGTCTGTGTGTGTGTGTGGTAGTGTCTGTGTGTGTGTGTATGGTAGTGTCTATGTGTGTGTGTGTGGTAGTGTCTGTGTGTGTGTGTGGTAGTGTCTATGTGTGTGTTATTGTCTATGTGTGTGTGTGCGGTAGTGTCTATGTGTGTGTGTGTGCGGTAGTGTCTGTGTGTGTGTGTGGTAGTGTCTATATGTGTGTGTGGTATTGTCTATGTGTGTGTGTGCGGTAGTGTCTATGTGTGTGTGTGTGTGGTAGTGTCTGTGTGTGTGGTAGTGTCTATGTGTGTGTGTGTGCGGTAGTGTCTGTGTGTGTGTGTGGTAGTGTCTATGTGTGTGTGGTATTGTCTATGTGTGTGTGTGCGGTAGTGTCTGTGTGTGGTAGTGTCTATGTGTGTGTGTGCGGTAGTGTCTATGTGTGTGTGTGTGGTAGTGTCTGTGTGTGTGTGGTATTGTCTATGTGTGTGTGTGTGGTAGTGTCTATGTGTGTGTGTGTGCGGTAGTGTCTATGTGTTTGTGTGTGCGGTAGTGCCTGTGTGTGTGGTAGTGTCTATGTGTGTGTGTGTGGTAGTGTCTGTGTGTGGTAGTGTCTATGTGTGTGTGTGTGGTAGTGTCTATATGTGTGTGTGTGGTATTGTGGTGCGTAAACATCAAAGGCAGCACGACCCACTCCGTCGTGCTGGATGCTTGCTAACAGCACACTCGCCCCACCAGTTTGTTAATGAAGGTATCTTTGTTTTTTTGCACTTTCAGAAGGATGTGTGGCTGAAGAGATGTGTAAAACAAGTATTGTTTGCGTACGAAAACCAATATGGAAGGGATGGTGTCTATGCTGCTGTGTGAATAGTCTCCACTGCCACGCTCAGTGTGCGAGGGCCGAGGGGAGAGTGAGTGTCGCTGAGAGTGTTACCGAGTGAGAGCGAGTGTCGCAAGCCCATGTCCTGGCTCACCGTGCCCCCAGGAAGGCCATCTCCCGCTCAGGGCTGCAGCATCTCCTGGCTCAGGACGAGGCGCTCGGGGCCTTCATCAACGGCGGAGAGCGGATCCCGGCGCGCGGGACCGTGGACTGGAGCGTGCGTGACCCCATTCTCCTGCACTCTCCTCCACTCTCGTGCACTCTCCCTACTCTCATGCACTCTCGCTTCTCTCCTGCACTCTCGTTCATCTCCTCTCCTGCACGCTGCCTACTCTCCTACACTCCGCACTGCACCGTCGTGCACTTTCCCTGCACTCTCCTTACCCTGCGCACACCCGTGCAATCTCCCCACGCGCGTGCGCCCCGTGTGTCCGTGGGGGCGCAGGAGGCGGCGGTGCCCGGGGACCACGTGTGGTTCGACTCGGGGGACTCGGGGGACGGCTGCTGCTACCTGGGCGAGGACGGCTGCGTCGTGCGCACGGTGGTGCGTGCCTCTCCACGTGTCCCCACGTGTCCCCAACCTGTCCCCCACGTGTCCCCACGTGCCTCTCCACGTGTCCCCTCGTGTTCCCACGTGTCCCCAACCTGTCCCCCACGTGTCCCCACGTGCCTCTCCACGTGTCCCCTCGTGTCCCCACGTGTCCCCCACCTGTCCCCCACGTGTCCCCACGTGCCTCTCCACGTGTCCCCTCGTGTCCCCACGTGTCCCCAACCTGTCCCCCACGTGTCCCCACGTGTCCCCTCGTGTCCCGTCGTGTCCCGTCGTGTCCCGACGTGTCCCCTTGTGTCCCCACGTGTCCCCTCGTGTCCCGTCGTATCCCCCGTGTCCCCGTGTCCCCACGTGTCCCCTCGTGTCCCCTCGTGTCCCGTCGTGTCTCCACGTGTCCCGTCGTGTCCCCACGTGTCCCCTCGTGTCCCGTCGTGTCCCCCCGTGTCCCCACGTGTCCCCCCGTGTCCCCACGTGTCCCCTCGTGTCCCCACGTGTCCCCACAAATCCTCACGTATTTCCTCGTGTCCCTACGTATCCCGTCGTGTCCTCTCGTGTCCACACGTCACGGTTCGTCTCCTCTGCCCTGCTCTGCAGAAGTCGATGTCGCGGAAGAAGTGCGCGTCGTGTCGCATCGTGGTGCACGTGGCGTGCATACCTCAACTCGAGCAGGTACCGCTCTCACGGGACTCCCACGGGCCTCACGGCACTCTCACTCCTCTCTTGGGATTCTCGTGGGACTCCCACGGCACTCTCACTCCTCTCTTGGGATTCTCGTGGGACTCCCACGGCACTCTCACTCCTCTCTTGGGATTCTCATGGGACTCCCACGGCACTCTCACTCCTCTCTTGGGATTCTCGTGGGACTCCCACGGCACTCTCACTCCTCTCTTGGGATTCTCGTGGGACTCCCACGGCACTCTCACTCCTCTCTTGGGATTCTCGTGGGACTCCCACGGCACTCTCACTCCTCTCTTGGGATTCTCGTGGGACTCCCACGGCACTCTCACTCCTCTCTTGGGATTCTCGTGGGACTCCCACGGCACTCTCACTCCTCTCTTGGGATTCTCGTGGGACTCCCACGGCACTCTCACTCCTCTCTTGGGATTCTCGTGGGACTCCCACGGCACTCTCACTCCTCTCTTGGGATTCTCATGGGACTCCCACGGCACTCTCACTCCTCTCTTGGGATTCTCGTGGGACTCCCACGGCACTCTCACTCCTCTCTTGGATTCTCAGTGGGACTCCCACGGCACTCTCACTCCTCTCTTGGGATTCTCGTGGGACTCCCACGGCACTCTCACTCCTCTCTTGGGATTCTCGTGGGACTCCCACGGCACTCTCACTCCTCTCTTGGGATTCTCGTGGGACTCCCACGGCACTCTCACTCCTCTCTTGGGATTCTCGTGGGACTCCCACGGCACTCTCACTCCTCTCTTGGGATTCTCGTGGGACTCCCACGGCACTCTCACTCCTCTCTTGGGATTCTCGTGGGACTCCCACGGCACTCTCACTCCTCTCTTGGGATTCTCATGGGACTCCCACGGCACTCTCACTCCTCTCTTGGGATTCTCGTGGGACTCCCACGGCACTCTCACTCCTCTCTTGGGATTCTCATGGGACTCCCACGGCACTCTCACTCCTCTCTTGGGATTCTCGTGGGACTCCCACGGCACTCTCACTCCTCTCTTGGGATTCTCATGGGACTCCCACGGCACTCTCACTCCTCTCTTGGGATTCTCGTGGGACTCCCACGGCACTCTCACTCCTCTCTTGGGATTCCCGTGGGACTCCCACGGCACTCTCACTCCTCTCTTGGGATTCTCGTGGGACTCCCACGGCACTCTCACTCCTCTCTTGGGATTCCCGTGGGACTCCCACGGCACTCTCACTCCTCTCTTGGGATTCCCGTGGGACTCCCACGGCACTCTCACTCCTCTCTTGGGATTCCCGTGGGACTCCCACGGCACTCTCACTCCTCTCTTGGGATTCTCGTGGGACTCCCACGGCACTCTCACTCCTCTCTTGGGATTCTCGTGGGACTCCCACGGCACTCTCACTCCTCTCTTGGGATTCTCATGGGACTCCCACGGCACTCTCACTCCTCTCTTGGGATTCCCGTGGGACTCCCACGGCACTCTCACTCCTCTCTTGGGATTCCCGTGGGACTCCCACGGCACTCTCACTCCTCTCTTGGGATTCCCGTTGGATTCCCACAGTTCCGTACGCCTCTCTTCTCTCCACAGATTAATTTTCGCTGCAAGCCAACATTTCGCGAAGCAGGGACCAGGAGTGCGAGGGAGGTGAATCGCACAGTACCAAACGCACAGACCCTATTACACAGACCCTATTACACATAACCCATCACAGTCCCCATCCCACAGACCTCATCACAGTACGCATCGCACTGACCCCATGGCACAGACCCCGTCACACAAACTCCATTACACAGACCCCATTACAGTCCCCATCAAACAGACCCATCAGGCAACACACAAACACATGCGTACGTGGACACGCGGGTAATATAAAACACGCACAAACAGGCACACACAGGAGCAATTATACGCACGCACACATACACACACGTGCACCCACGCACTCGCGCGAGATGAAAGGGTGGAATCCACGCCGCCTTGATCCTCTGAGAGCCACGCTGCGGGAGAACACGGATTCTACTGACCGTGCGTGTGCCCGCGTGTGTTGCCGTGCCCGCGTGTGTGCCCGCGTGTGTTGCCGTGCGCATGCCCATGTGGGTTCCCATACCCGCGTGTGTGCTGCCTGGCCATGGCCACGTGGATTCTCGTGTGTGTTCCGTGTGACCGTACGTGCGCAGGCCTCGGCTGTGCGGCACCACTGGGTTCACCGTCACAGGCAGGAGGGTCGTTGTCGCCAGTGTGGCAAGGTGAGCGACCAATGCAAGGCATGGGCCTCGTTAAGGGAGGCCGTGCCGCGTCTGAGTAATAATTCACTTCCCTCTCTTACGTGTATGTATGTTGAACTTGTTTGGAGGTGCGGGGAGCAGCCAGAACAGGCAGAACCCCAAATCTGACTCGAACTCTGAAACCTTAACCCTGGCCCTAAAACTCATGATGACCCTAACATTGTTCCTAATACTGATCCAGACCCGAATATTAACCCTGGCCATAAACCAGAACGTCGACCCTGTATTATGTTGAACTTCTTTCGCACCGTACATAGCCAACCGTGATAATCGGATGTGCAAGATCCTGACCCTGCCCATAAAACTGACGTCTGTGCCCCCCGTGCCCCCATGCTCCCCGTCTCAGGGTTTCCAGCAGAAGTTTACCTTCCACAGCAAGGAGATCGTGGCGATCAGCTGCTCGTGGTGCAAGCAGGCCGTGCGTTGTGCCTCCACTCGCGCGCCCACACTCGGGCGCTCACGTCGCCCGCACAATCGAACTTGGCCCTTTGCCACCGGTCACTCTGGGCGGGGGCTTCTCTTGTTCCCACCTCTTGGGTCGAGAGCGTCGCCTCTCCTCCCCGTGCGGTCACAGGCGCTGGGTTATCGCCCAGGCAGATCGTGTGGCATAGCTAATCGGATTACAAAACTGATGACTGACGAGCTGGATTGTTGAGCGACTCATTTGATAAGTGGCTGAAATGATGACTAAGTGACTAATTGGCCGACTGCATGAATTTACGGCTAAGTGAATTTATGGCTGAGTGACTAACTGGCCGGGTGGCTGACTTGACGGCTGGCGGCCGACCCTACCCCCACAGTACCACAACAAGGTGTCGTGCTTCATGCTGCAGCAAATCGAGGAGCCGTGCTCGCTCGGGGTCCACGCCGCAGTCATCGTGCCTCCCACGTGGATCATTCGGGTCAAGCGGCCGCAGGTGCGTCACGGGTCATCGTGAGGGGGCTACGGGCCGTCACAGGCCATCGCGGCCCATCGTGGCCCGTCACGGCCCACCTCGGTCTATCACAGGCCAGCACAGTGATTGCGGTGATGGTAGTGGTTGCGATGATGGCGAAGGTGGTGATGGTGGCAGCGTGCGGTGCGCAGGCCTCTCTCAAGTCGAGTCGGAGGAAGAAGCGGTCTTCCCTCAAGCGTAAATCCAGCAAGAAGGGCTCAGAGGCAAGAACCGCGACCCATACCGCACGACGCTGCATGGCCACCTCGGCTGACCCCACGACGCTCGCGGAGCGGAGGTCACCGCGTTGACCTTGCTCCGTGCGTCCGTTGGCTCCGCGCGTCCGCGTGCAGGAATGCAAATGGCGGCCGTTCGCCGTCAAAGCGGCGGCGTCGCCGCTCGTGAAGCCGCTCGTGGTCTTCATCAACCCCAAGAGCGGCGGGAACCAGGTGGGACCGGCTCCCACGCTGCTCTCAGATGTCCAATTAAGACCGTTCACCTGCGAACCATTCTCACCATGTCTTTTATCAGCGCACCATCATGTATATGGGGGACAGTGCAGTATCCAACTGTTATTCACTCCATCTCTCCGGGCTATGTACTGTGAAGGAGGGTCATTTCCCGAAACGCCACCTGGTTTACATATACACTATTGTGTATACTCTTTGGGTCTTTCGGTAAAGTCACGTAGATAGAAAATTTATCAAAAATCACGACATTTTGATCGCAACACAAGCAATCGTCTTCAGGTGAAAAACACAGCAGGAGAACTGCTGAGGCACTTGTCACTTTACCGAAAGACCCAAAGAGTATCAATTCCTGCAGTCACGAAAGCTTCAAGTCAACTATTATGTATATTTCCCTTTTAAGGCCCAAGTGGAAATGGCAATGCCGGCCAGAAGGTTACGAGTTCAAAGCTTGTTTCGGGGTTGACTCAGCCCACCATCTATTTGTGGGGAAGTCACCAGAGGTTGTCCCATGTAGAGACTCACTCCCACCATAGGTTCCGGGCTGTAAACAGGAGCCATGAGCACCGACACGCCGACGCCGATTCGACCAGCAGCAGCAGGAGAAGCTCGCTTCGAGATTTGTTGTTGGCCGCGCTCACGGCCCGCTCTCTGCCCCCCGCAGGGTAACAAGATCATGCAGAGCCTCATGTGGCTCCTCAACCCGCGCCAGGTGTTTGATCTGGGGGCGGGCGGCCCGCAGGAGGCGTGAGTACAGAGCGAGCACGGCGCACATCAAAGCTCCACACCGCAACGGGTCACGCTACGTGGAGCTGGGTGGTGGTTCGCGGTGTGGTGGCGTGTGGTGTGGTTTGTGGTGCTAACACGTGGTATGATGATACGTGGGGCTGTATGGCGTGCGGCTGTGGGACATGGAGCTGCGTGCTGGTGTGCTCGGTTGGCTGTGAGTAAAGTGGCAGCGTGCAGCTTGTGCGGCTGTGGTGTGAAGCGTTGCTCTGTAGTGCGGTAGATTGCAGTCTGGCGCAGCGTGGTGCGACGTGGTTGCGTGTGACCGGTGCGTTGTTGTGCGGTGTGGTGCCATGTGCTGCAGTGCGTTGCTGTAATGTGTAAGGTGATCAAATGCTGCGTGTCGAATTCGACTCGACAGTGCGGTGTGGTGCGTTTCCGTTCAGGTTGGAGCTCTACAGGAAGGTGCCCAACCTCCGCGTGCTGGCGTGCGGCGGGGACGGCACGGTGAGACGCGCGTCTCTACGTGCGCCGAAGTGCACGCGGCTCGGTGTTTGTTTCTACATGTGGATCTGCGTGAATCTCTACGTGTGTCTCATCGTGCGACTACATCTCCCTCTCCTTGTCTCCAATTCTGTCTCCACACGTGTCTCCAGGTGGGATGGATCCTGTCTGTGTTGGACCAGCTGCAGATCGTGCCACCTCCTCCTGTCGCCATCCTCCCCCTGGGCACGGGGAATGACCTGGCGCGCACTTTGAACTGGGGAGGGGTGCGTCCGAGTGTCCGCGAGTCCGAATGTCCACGCGCCCGAATGTCCACGTGTCCGAGTGTCCGTTCCTTTGGTAAATGTTCTGAACGCCGTGCGTGCCCCGCGCGCCAGGGTTACACGGACGAGCCGATCTCCAAGGTTCTGTCCCACGTGGAGGAGGGGGCCACGGTGCAGCTCGACCGCTGGAATCTGGACGTGAGGCCCAACCCGGACGTGGGGCGAGACGAGCAGGAGCAGGGCACCTCCAAGGTGGTGGAGCCACGCGAACCTCATGGAGCATGCAGCAGGAGCACCACATTATTACATAGAAATGCATCGCCTCTTGTAAGCCCTCAACTCTCTGCCGACTCTTGGAATTCCCAGCCTTGGGAGGGATTTCCCCGATTAAGAGCAGGTGCATCAAATCGGGCTGGAGTTGATTACATAACAAGCAGGCCTACCTGACTGGTGGGAGAGAGCCATGGTTAATTAACTCAGCCGAAGTTACCGATGGCTGCTGCTGATGGTGATACTGTTTGCAAACCTGTGTTCTTGTACTATGTATGTTGAGCTTCTTTCGCACCATACGTAGCCAACTGTGCCAATCGGAGGTGCGGGAGAAAGACAACAAACTAAACGCAAAAAGCAGTTTTCAAGAAATGAGTTTCTTTAACAACAGAGTGCGCAAAGAGCCCTGCTGTAAAGTTCACCGAGCGGTGCTGAATAAACCCTTGCGCCGAGCCACGTGAAGGCTGCTGCAGGAGGCTGGCGCACGCCTGTGCATCGCTGGACAAACTCGTTCCCAGCAGCGCCTCATTGAGCTCCCCTTCTCTGCCGCCCCCTAACCCGAACCAGCTGCCCCTGGACGTCTTCAACAACTACTTCAGCCTCGGCTTCGACGCGCGGGTTACCCTGGAGTTCCACGAGTCCCGAGGTGAGGAGAGCCCCCACACCCCCGTCGCCCGGCGTCTCCCCTCCGCATCTGGGTCCACGCCGCGTCGTGTCTTTTCGGAGCTCACCGCGTGCTTCCCGTGCGTTTCCGTTACAGAGGCCAACCCAGAGAAGTTCAACAGCCGCTTCCGAAACAAGATGTTCTACGCCGGGGTGAGGGGGCTTTGAGAGCGCGCGGACGGGAGATTGCAGAGAGCCGGCTGGGGCTCGGTGGACACTGGGATGCTCTCTGTGCTGCGGTCTGTGCTGGTGTGCGTGCTGTGGTCTGTGCTGTCTAGGCCGCCTTCTCTGACTTTTTGCAGAGGAGTTCCCGGGATCTTGCAAAGCACGTGCGTGTCATGGTGAGTATGCACCGTGGTGAGTGTCGCATTGGTGTCACGGTGAGTGTGTATCGACGTCAGTGTGTGTACAGTGGTGAGTGTCGCATTGGTGTCACGGTGAGTGTGTATCGTGGTGAGTGTCATGGTGAGTGTGTATCGACGTCAGGGTGTGTACCGTGGTGAGTGTCATGGTGAGTGTGTTTTGTTATCGCCGTCTTCCCCCAGTCCGCCGTTCACTTTCGAGGCCCTTGCAGTCTTGCACTGATGACCCCCCCCCCGCCCCGCCCCCCTCTGCGCGCAGTGCGACGGCGTGGACCTCACGCCCAAGATCCAGGAGCTGAAGCTGCAGTGCCTCGTGTTCCTCAACATCCCCCGGTGAGACGCGCGCCACTCGCCCGCTCGCTCCCTCGCCCCACGACCTCTGGGTATCCGCGTGTCTCTGCGTGCAGTGCCTCTCCACCCCCGAGTGTTAGCGTGCCATGGACGTGCTTCGTACGAGAGTAATCACGTCTCGGAGTTGAAGACATTGGCATTGAAAACGACAGCTCGGATGCGATTGCTGAGCCAGGCATGTTGATGGTTTCACGATGGACGAAGACCATCACTGTTAAATGTGACGGGAGGAGCCGCGGTGCTTGCAGCCCCGTGTGGCATTGCCGTCGATGGTTGTTGTGTCGACGTTGTTCGTTGATTGTGATCGCCCCGCCAGGTACTGCGCAGGCACCGTGCCCTGGGGTAATCCGGCCGAGCACCACGACTTTGAGCCGCAGCGCCACGACGACGGCTACATCGAGGTCATCGGCTTCACCATGGCGTCCCTCGTAAGGACCAGGCAGTTAATTTCGATTCGTTTGCACTGACGCTGACCGTACAACACTAAACGGTAAAAACGGTGACTGGGGGATGCGTCCCTTGGGCAGAGCGTTAGATCTCCCCGAACGGTGCTCGATGATCGGACCAAGATGGACACGCGCTAAATGAACTAACATGAACTCGCACTGCATCGGTAGTCGTGAATATCTGCCACCATGACACGATCTGACCCCCCCCCCACCTAACACTCACTGAGGCAGCGCCTCACACCGTCAGCGGCTGTTACACGATGCGCTCTGGGCTAATGACTCGTTCAGTAGAACGTACCACGGGTTTTCTGAATGTGTAGAAAAGGAGATGCGTTGGTGTTTAATTGAGCGGCCAAGGTGGTGGTAGTGGTCAACGCACTGGACTCGCGATCCAGAGGTTGCCGGTTCGATTCCATCTCCCGGTGCGACAGTTGAAACAATGGGGGCGAGTTTCTTAAATCTCCGCCTCCTCTGTTCACCCCACTGTGTAAATATTTCTACCGCAGTTAGTTGAACGGCAGGTCATGTGTGGTGGGGTAAAGTATGGGTATGCCCGCCTGCTGCAACACGCCGGTCCATGTAGAAGAGAAGACCAAGTACCCTCCAGAGCTACCCCGAGTTGAGGCCTTTATGCCAGCAATAGCGTGAGCTAGCACTTGCAGGGCTGCGCATGTATCTCACATTACCATCTTTGCCGTGCTGTTTGTACATTCGCACAAGTCTGTGAATTCGCGACTCCACCTTTCAATGCAATCGACCACCGGTCCCAGTGCCGCGTCTGTCGTGGTTGCGGCGGCAGGCGGCGCTGCAGGTGGGAGGCCACGGCGAGCGCCTTCACCAGTGCCGCGAAGCCGTCCTGGCCACGCTGCGCACCACGCCCGTGCAGGTGGACGGGGAGCCGTGCCGCCTCGCGCCCTCCATCATCCGCATCTCCCTGCGCAACCAGGCGCTCATGGTGCAGAAGTCCAAGCGGAGGGCGTCCGTGCCTCTGCTCACCGAGTGAGCCGGCGCTCACCTCACGTGCACCTCGCAGAGACCTGGCATGCACCTGCCAGACACCTAACACAGCTGACATGCACCTGGCACACACCTAACACGGCTGACAAGCACCTGGATCTCGAACTATATCTCATACACATCACATTCGCGTGCTCATTCGCGTGCCCTGTGGTGGACCCACGCTGTAAAGACACAATCACTCTGCATGACCCAGGTGTCCCAATCCCAAATGTTTTCCACCGTTTGTCATGGGATGAGCTGAGTGAGGGTTGCAGTGATGTCCCTGTGTCCATGTGTCTGTGTCCATGTTTGTCTCTCTTTCACTGTATTTGTATATCTGTGTCCTTGCGTGTCCATGTGTCTTGTAACTCTGTGTATTGTGTGTCCGTGTTGTACATTTTTCAACATGTTCGTGTAGTGAGCCTTTGTTTGTCCATGTTTCTCTGTGTCCATAATTATGTCTCTCTTTCACGGTGTGTATGTCCACGTGTGTATTTGTGTGTCCATGTGTCTGCTTGTTTCTTTGTTTATGGGCCACCTTCATGACTGTGGCTCGTGCAGCTGCATGAGCCAATCGACTCTCCATTGGCAATGTGGTAGTTGTGGAGAGAGTTGAGGAGTTCTCATTCCTGTGCAGTGTGCGCATGGCCGTGTCAAGTTTGGTGAGAGGTCTAACTTTGAATCAGTTGATCAGCATTATATTTTCATCAGCTGCTAAGTAAAGTGTGGAAGCTGGCTGGCCTGGCGCTCCACAGTTATCCCCTTCCTTCTCTATGTTTAGAAGGTTACGTTGGCTGGGTCATGTAGCCCGCATACCCAGCCACCGCATGCCCAATAATCTTCTGTTTGGCCTAATAGAGGGGCTAAACGGGCTGGAAAAGAGATGGACTAATGCAGAACATGAGGAAGTGGAGCTGAGTGAACTTGCCGAAGACTGGTACCAGCGAGGTCAAGATCACCCTCATCTCGTGAAGGACGCTGCTGGGCAGTTGGAGGCAGTCACCCTCCAGCAACAACGGAGACGGAGGAGCGACGCTCACAACCACGAGCTGAGCGTCGGGTGGCTAAAGCGCAGCAAGTTGGCACAGTAGGGGGCACAGGTGGTGTATCAGCCAGTCGTCTGTCAGTCGACCCGTGGCACCTGGGTCTACCTCGTGGCCTCCTGCCAGCGGGCGTTCGACACTTCATGTGGCCTCAACGTGCACATAGCCTGGCACAAGCGTCGTGGTGACGTCACCACCACTTAGTGGCGAATGGCGGTTGTTGTTGTTGTGTGAGGAGCCGTAGTGTAGCAGTTAGAGCATTGCGCTACGAACCCGGTGACCTGAGTTCATTTCCCGCTCACGGCCAACACCAGTGATGCTGATCTGAACCAGTCCTCGACTTTCCCTTGGTTGACCCAGCCTCAATTGTGTACCGAGTACAATGTGTAAATATTACAGGGGATCTTTGTCTTTGTTAATGCTTGTGTCTGTGTATATTGTGCCCATATGTCCGTGTTTCTTTGCGTGTCTGTGTCGGTGCATTTGCCCGGGTCCGTGTTGGTCGCTGATGTCTGTGATTATGTCCGTGTGTCTGCGCGTGTGTTCATGTGTCTGTGATCATGTCCGTGTGTCTGCGCGTGTGTCCATGTGTCTGCGCGTGTGTCCGTGTGTCTGCGCGTGTGTCCGTGTGTCTGCGCGTGTGTCCGTGTGTCTGCGCGTGCATCAGCGTGCAAAAGCTGCCCGTGTGTGTGCCCCGGCGCGTCTCGGCGCCCCCCGCTAGCTCGCCCGTGTAAGTAGCCCCCCACTGAAGCCCTCTGTGATGTCACCACCAGCACTGCTTGCTCCATACACTCCCACGCACACGGGCCGCCCCAGGGCGCGGGGGCTGGGGCTGTGCTTTTATGGGGGGGGGGGAAATTTCTCCATCCCCGGACTGAACTTCACTCATCATCCCCGGGCTCCGAGGGGGTGTGGTGGAAATTTATGAACTCAAAAACCCGCGTTGACCCTGGTTTGTGCTTGAGGGGGCGATGATTGCTGCGTTTCATCCTAATGGAGTCATTTGCGGTGTAATTTAGAGAATTCAGACTGTGACCGGTACACATTGGCCTACTCTTTCGAATGACGTGACGGGATCTTCAACGTGCAAAGCGGATTGTGCCGAGTTGCATGGTTAATACATGTACATTTCGTCCGTGAACCACTGCGACAAGCAGTGACCTGCCGGTCCACATCGCTGCGCAGATTTGCCTTCGGAGATTCGATGACATCACCCAAAGCTCCACACAGATAGATACAATAAGGCAGAGCTGTGAAGCCTCTCGAGGTGCGGCTGCGTCGAGACGCAGCCGCCCCTGCCCAGCGCCGTCTCCACCCGGCTCCTCCTCCTCCTACGGGCTCCTGCGACTCACGCGACCACCGAGGCATCATCGATGGTCGCCTCTTATTGACAGCCGAGAACCAGTGGTGGAAACCCCGCATTCTTATGGTGGGAGTGAGGATATCCATAAGACAACCACTGTTGGCTTTCCCACAAAATGGTACTTATTTATCGATCCCAGGAGGATGATGGGCCGAGTCAACCCCCAGCCAGGATTTTAACTCTCAATGAATGATCGCGAGCCGCTCATTCTACCACTGAGCCGCCTGGCCCGATGTCCAAGTTCTAACCAGGCTCAACCCTGCTGAGATTCTGAGATCTGATAACATTTGGACGAGTTCAGGGTGATCATGGGACCCCAACCATTGCCCCATAAACACCACAATCACGCGTGTGGCAAACACGTCGACACACGCATGGCGTACGCACGAGCACGTGGACACGTGTGCTCCTTGCATGTGCATGGTGCTTGCATGTGTTTGTGTACAGCGCCGTGTGTACAGTGCGTGCCACGCATGTCCACGGAACGCACGAGCTCCGTGTGCCACAGCCAAGGCATGCGCGCATCGTGGACTGCAGTGACCTCTCGTCTGCCAGTGACAGGAGCGCTGGCACTTGATACCGGCATGCGCGGGTGATGCGTGCCACTGCATTCGTGTCGATGCTCGTCACTGTCCGTCAACGCGTCCTCTTGCTCTTTTGCCAGTGTGCCACTCTCCTGCATCTGTATCGGCGTGGGGTGCCAGTGTCACGGTGTCACTATCCATGTGGGGTCCCACTCTCACTATCCCCGTGGGGTCCCACTGTCACTATCTCCTGTGGTGTGCGAGTGTCACGGTGTCACTATCTCCTGTGGGGTCCCACTCTCACTATCTCCTGTGGGGTGCGAGTGTCACGGTGTCACTATCTCCTGTGGGGTCCCACTGTCACTATCTCCTGTGGGGTGCCAGTGTCACGGTGTCACTATCCTCCATGGTGTGCCAGCGTAGCACGTGCCATTTGCGCTATCTCCCGTGGCATGTTGGTGTGTGTGTCCCTGTTGTCCCGTGGCGTGTCGGTGTGTCACTACTCCCTGTGTGTTACAACCAGCTTCTTCTCTGATCTTTGTGTTTAGTTGATTGTCCTTCCCCCGCACCTCCGATTAGCACGGTTGGCTACGTACGGTGCGAAAGAAGTTTAACGTACATACATATTCTACTGGAGCGAGGATGGAACGCTCCACGCGTCTTTTGAGTGCGGGTGGCGGTGTGGGTGGCAGTGAGGGCGAGCGGTGCTGTGCATGTGTGCTCGTGGTTGTTCCGCTGTAGTTGCGTGGCGACCCCCCCGGAGAGGCTGCGGATTCGCATCAGTCGCATCCGTCTCCATGACTACGAGGAGCTGCGCTACCACAAGGACCGCCTGCGCGAGGCCTGTAGGTATCACCGTCTCAACACGCATCGGTGGAGTCACACCTGTACTCACTCTTCACTCACACCTCCCACACACCTCGCTCACACCCACACACCCACTAACCCCCACACCTCGCTCACACCCACACAGCTGCATGCCCGCGCGTCCCCGCGTGGAAATGAATCCCTGCTCTTGTCCCGCGTGCGATGCGTCTCACACTCAGCGGTGCCTGTGGGAGTCATCGTGGTGCCAGGAGACTGTGACCTGGACACCTGCCGCGAGCACATCGAGCGTCTGCAAGAGGTCAGCTCCTGCTCCTCCCTCCCCTCCTGATGGGATTTGTACAAAATTAATTATATTTTATGCGGAGGGGCAGATATGGTATGGAGGTGTCGTAGTGTCCGCGTGTTTAACTTGTTATGGGGTGATGTGGTGGTGTTGCGAATGGCCCTGTGATGGTGGCGAGGGTTGACGATTGACACCGATCCCCACACAGGACCTCCCGGCGGCGGATGCGGCGCTGCCACGGCTCCTCGAGCACGTGCGTGACTCCCACGCACTTCGCGAGCGTCACGGACCTCGACGCCGTGTGTCCATGCACATGACGTCACGTGTCCCCGTGCACATGACGTCACGTGTCCCCGTGCACATGACGCCGTGTGTCCCCATGCACATGACGTCGTGTGTCCCCATGCACATGACGTCGTGTGTCCCCGTGCACATGACGTCGTGTGTCCCCGTGCACATGACGTCGTGTGTCCCCGTGCACATGACGTCGTGTGTCCCCATGCACATGACGCCCGGTGTCCCCATGCACATGACGTCGTGTGTCCCCATGCACATGACGTCGTGTGTCCCCGTGCACATGACGTCGTGTGTCCCCGTGCACATGACGTCGTGTGTCCCCGTGCACATGACGCCGCGTGTCCCCATGCACATGACGTCGTGTGTCCCCATGCACATGACGCCGCGTGTCCCCATGCACATGACGTCACGTGTCCCCATGCACATGACGCCGCGTGTCCCCATGCACATGACGTCACGTGTCCCCATGCACATGACGCCGTGTCCCCATGCACATGACGTCACGTGTCCCCATGCACATGACGCCGTGTCCCCATGCACATGACGCCGCGTGTCCCCATGCACATGACGTCACGTGTCCCCATGCACATAACGCCGTGTCCCCATGCACATGACGTCACGTGTCCCCATGCACATGACGCCGTGTCCCCATGCACATGACGCCGCGTGTCCCCATGCACATGACGTCACGTGTCCCCATGCACATGACGTCACGTGTCCCCGTGCACATGACGTCGTGTGTCCCCATGCACATGACGCCGTGTCCCCATGCACATGACGTCACGTGTCCCCGTGCACATGACGTCGTGTGTCCCCATGCACATGACGCCGTGTCCCCGTGCACATGACGTCACGTGTCCCCGTGCACATGACGCCACGTGTCCCCATGCACATGACGCCACGTGTCCCCATGCACATGACGCCACGTGTCCCCGTGCACATGACGTCACGTGTCCCCGTGCACATGACGCCGTGTCCCCATGCACATGACGTCACGTGTCCCCGTGCACATGACGTCGTGTGTCCCCATGCACATGACGCCGTGTCCCCGTGCACATGACGTCACGTGTCCCCGTGCACATGACGTCACGTGTCCCCATGCACATGACGCCACGTGTCCCCATGCACATGACGCCACGTGTCCCCGTGCACATGACGTCACGTGTCCCCGTGCACATGACGTCACGTGTCCCCGTGCACATGACGTCACGTGTCCCCATGCACATGACGCCACGTGTCCCCATGCACATGACGCCACGTGTCCCCGTGCACATGACGTCACGTGTCCCCGTGCACATGACGTCACGTGTCCCCGTGCACATGACGTCACGTGTCCCCGTGCACATGACGCCGTGTCCCCGTGCACATGACGCCGTGTGTCGTGTGTTTAAATCGTGCCACTGTGAATCTCAAGCGTGGTCCACGTGTCACGAGTCTCATGAATGCCTCGCGCGTGTCTCACGAGATGCACCCGACACCGAGTGGAGTGTCGGGCGGCAAACATACAGCGAGGAGCACATTGGTGCAACGGCCATCCATCTCAGCCGGCCCATGGCACGTGACCTCCTGTCAGCAGCGAACTCAAAACGCACCTAGTCTGGCACAGGCGCTGGCGGTCAGGTCGCTGTTGGTGACGAATGGAGGCTGTTGTTGTTGTTGCGTTCACGCAGGAGGGGGAAGGCAGGACGAGGATTCTCTCCTCGCAGAAACTCTCCCCCAAGTGGTGCTTCCTGGACTGTGAGGACAGCATTGGCTCACACTCACTCACACTCTCACACTCACTCTCACTCACTCTCACACACTCACACTCTCTCACACTCACTCACTCTCACACTCACTCACTCACACTCTCACTCACACTCTCTCACACTCTCACTCACACTCACTCACACTCTCTCACTCACACTCTCACACTCACTCACACTCTCACTCACACTCACTCACACTCTCACTCACACTCACTCACACTCTCACTCACACTCTCACTCACACTCACTCTCACACACTCACACTCTCTCACACTCACTCACTCACACTCTCACACTCTCACACTCTCACTCACACTCACTCACTCACACTCTCACTCACACTCTCTCACACTCTCACTCACACTCTCACTCACACTCTCACTCACACTCACTCACACTCTCACTCACACTCTCACTCACACTCTCACTCACTCACACTCTCACTCACACTCTCTCACACTCTCACTCACACTCACTCACACTCTCACTCACACTCACTCACACTCACTCACTCACACTCTCACTCTCACACTCACTCACACTCTCACTCACACTCTCTCACACTCTCACTCACACTCTCACTCACACTCTCTCACTCACACTCACTCACACTCTCACTCACACTCTCTCACACTCTCACTCACACTCTCACTCACACTCACTCATTCACACTCTCTCTCTCACTCACACTCTCTCACTCACACTCACTCACACTCTCACTCACACTCTCACTCACACTCACTCACACTCACTCACACTCTCACTCACACTCTCTCACACTCTCACTCACACTCACTCACTCACACTCTCACTCACACTCTCACTCACACTCACTCACACTCTCACTCACACTCACTCACTCACACTCTCTCACACTCTCACTCACACTCACTCACACTCTCACTCACACTCACTCACACTCACTCACACTCTCACTCACACTCTCACTCACACTCACTCACTCACACTCTCTCTCACTCTCTCTCACTCTCTCTCACTCACACTCTCACACTCTCACTCACACTCTCTCACACTCTCACTCACACTCTCACACTCACACTCACTCACACTCTCACTCACACTCTCACACTCACTCACTCACACTCACTCACACTCTCACTCACACTCTCTCACACTCTCACACTCACTCACACTCTCACTCACACTCTCTCACTCTCACTCACACTCTCACTCACACTCACTCACACTCACTCACTCACACTCTCACTCACACTCTCTCACACTCTCACTCACACTCACTCACTCACACTCTCACTCACACTCTCACTCACACTCACTCACTCACACTCTCTCTCACTCTCTCTCACTCACACTCTCACACTCACTCACTCACACTCTCACTCACACTCTCTCACACTCTCACTCACACTCTCACTCACACTCTCACTCACACTCTCTCACTCACACTCTCACACTCACTCACACTCTCTCTCACTCTCTCTCACACTCTCACTCACACTCACTCACTCACACTCTCACTCACACTCTCACTCACACTCTCACTCACACTCTCACTCACACTCACTCACTCACACTCTCTCTCACTCTCTCTCACTCACACTCTCTCACTGTCACTCATGCACTCTTTCACTCTCACACATTCACTCTCACTCACTCTCATTCACTCTCATCACTCTCATGCACACTCGTTCTTTCACTCACGCTAAAACACTCACACACTCCCTCTCACATAAAGACAATGACCCCCCGTATTGCCTTAACAGGCTGTTGGGACAAGTGCTGTTAGCGAGCACCTATGAAGGCTGGCACGGCACACGAGGGGGAGGGGGGTGGCCAGCACCACGCCTGACCGCCTTTGTCTCCCCAGGGCTGATATTTACAAACCGCACCAGGGTACTCATTTAAGGCTAAGTTGACCTAGAGGAATCCCAGGACCAGTTCAAATATTCGCCACTGTTTTTGGAAATGAGCGGGTTTGCAGTGTGTCGAGCTAACCATGCACCACTGCTCTCCACACTCGCACACGCGCATTCTCACCCCTCTTCATCTCACACACATTGACTCTATCGCTCTCCCACTCGCTCACTCTCACTCGCTCGCTCACTCCCACCACGGGGCGGTGATTGCGTGGACCCATGCAGTATCAAAACAGACGAGTGCCCCAAACTCCGTATGAGCGTTTTGCGGTTCGAATCCCGCAGGCCGCCCCGGTTAATATTGTGGTGTGTTAACATAAAACTCTGCACGTCAGTTGACGTCAAAGACCCTGTGATGCCATTAGAAGAGGAATAAGCTATTGTTTGCCGTTGTCATGGCACAAATCTGCCACATTTCTAAAATTACGCCGCAAACGACTCGAGTGGGAAGCGCAGCAACCCTGAATGAACACTCGAAATAAACACCGACCAGAGAGGGTACTGCCTGTCCGCCACAGTTGACTGTGCGGTGTGTGGCTCTGTTGGTGTGTCTGCGCGTGTGTGTTACCATCAGCTCCACCAACATTAAGCACCGACCTGGGTATGTTGTGCCATCAGACACTCCACCCCCACAGCTCCCAATTGGTGATGGGCAGTTTCCATACATGGGCAGGGTGCTCATTACCGACTCTGGTTTGACAGCAGAGGTCTCACTCCTAATCAGTCGAGCGGCATTATATTTTTAAATTCTTTATATTAAGTTCACTTGCTTGCTTGCTTGCGTGCTTACGACCGTGCAAATCTTTCGGTCGTTTTTTAACCCACTTCCCGTGATCCAATCGAGCTGACGTTTTGCACACAGACTCGTTGTGCGTGACAATTTATTTTCGTGAAAAACTTTTTCCATAACTTTACACTTTTTAGGAATTTTTTTAATATTTAATTACCAATTGCTTAATGGTGGCAGGCAATCATCTGACCCATAGGTGGCAGCCATCTCAAGCCAGAGGACGAGAGGACTCTAGCCGCCACGCATGTAAAGGATTTATAGTGAAAAACTTTGTTTTTACGGGTTATTTTTTATCGGTTGCGTAACGCTGAAGCTACCTGGTCTGTTGCTCCACACGAAGGTTTGAGTCTTCTCGGCCACGGTCATGCCCTCCCTTCTGTATGCTTGCAAAACGTGGACCCCGCCCTAATGTAACATCTTCGCCAGTTAGAAACATTTAGGCAGGCCTGCTTACGATCCATCCTGGGTTTAACCAGACTGGATTGTGTGAGGAGCTCACAAATCCTTGAAAGATCTGGACAAAGTCATGTTGGTGAGCTCCTCCGGCAGGCAAGGCTGTGTTGGCTGGGTCATGTAGCCAGCATGCCCAGCCACCACATGCCGAAACAACTTTTGTTTGACCGGATAGACGGGGCTAAACGGGCATGGCACAGGCTAGAAAAGAGATGGACTTGGCGATGATGGTACCAGCGGTGTCAAGATCGGCCTCTATAGAGGAGGCTCGTGAAGGACGCTACTGGGCAGTTGGAGGCAGTCGCCCTCCAGCAACAACGGAGGGCAGAGGAGCGACGCTCACAACAACGAGCGGAGCGCCGGGTGACTAAAGCACAGCAAGTTGGCACAGTAGGGGGCACAGGTGGTGCATCAGCCAGTCATCTCAGTCAATCGACCCGTGGCACCTGGGTCTGCCCCGTGACCTCGTGCCAGCGGGCGTTCGACACTTCACGTGGCCTTAACATACACATAGCCTGGCACAAGCGCCGTGGTGACGTCACCGCCACTTAGCGGCGAATGGCGGTTGTTGTTGTGTGTCGGGGTTCGTGCGTGTGTGTGTGCCTGTGCGTGTGTACAGCCACATCAGCAGATCGATTCTTCCGCATCGACCGCATGCAGGTACGACGCGTGCGTCCTGCGTAAGTGAACCTCACACCCATCGTCACACTCACACGGAGTTCGAGTCACAGACTTTTAAAGGATGGACGAACAACGGCTTTGTTATTGAGCAGGCAGAAAGACGCCGTCTTCTTCAACGTGTGGCACTTCCTCAGCTTTGGTTCAGCCAAGCCTGACTGCTGACGAGTTACCACATGTTGAAACCGGCCCAGAGTTGTTTTTGTGTTGAACCAATGCTGATGAAATGATGCACTCCCAGAAAGCCGTGTGACTGATGAGTTGTGTAAACATTTGTGGTTTTGTTTTGTGTGATGGGACAGATCTTGGAGAGAGGAGGATGATTGCCAGCAGTGTGTTGCATTCCTCATGGCTGATGATGTTGATGATGGTGATGATGGCGATGATGTTGATGGTGTTGATTTCCGCGTGCGTCCTCGCGACTGCAGGAGCAGCTGCACTTCCTGTCGGACATGTCGGCCGAGGAGCTGTTCGTGCTGGACCCGGAGACCCCGCGCCCGGCGTCCGTGTCCAGCGGGGCCGCGCCGGGCATGCCCGACCTCGTGGAGCCCTCTCCCGGGTAGAGCCCTCACCTCGCTGCCTCCCATTTCGCGTCCCTCGCGCCTCACCTCCTCCTCCTCCTCACCCCTCTTCTGTGCCCTCTGTCGTGCGTGGCCAGGGTGCCGAGCCCCATGTCGGACAGCGAGCTCCTGCGCAGGGCGGCGCCCCCGTGCCGCCCTGCGCTGCTCTTCCCCGCGACCCCGAGCGGATCGCACTTCCCCCTGCGGCGCCGGTACCAGCGCAGCGCCGCTCCACTCGTCTGTCTCGACGCATCCCAGTCACCTCTTTTGTCAACATTCATATCCATGATCTCTCCCCCACCCATCTATACCTCCGGTAATTTGCATCTGCGCTCATCTTCATCGCTATCCCTATCCATCTCCATGCGTCTCTAGTCCTGGGTTGGTGTTCAGAGCGAGGGGCTGGTTAATTGGGGCAGGAGGCCGTGGAGAGACAGGGAGGGGAGGCAGGGGCGCTCCTGCGCGTAGCTGTGCACGCGGCTTCATTTCTCGCCGCGTTCCGGGCCGCTGGTAGCCCGGGGTAGTTGGCGCGCAACTTGTCGGAGTAGTGGTCGTCAGAGGGATGTGTACTGGATGTGATGTGCCGGATACCGGAAACATGTATTGTTATTTCCAGCACCAGGCATTGCCCCACCCCCCCCCCCTGCATCTCCACAGGGCAGTTGGGTTCCACGTGCCCGGCGCACGCCGCAGGCTGTCCAGCGACGGCTGTTGCGTGACGGACCGACTGTCCCGGCAACACAGTGCCCCCCCCGCGCCCATGAAGGCGCTCACCAGGTGCTGCCACCGCTCACCATACACACACACTCACCACAAACCACATACACTCACCACACACACTCACCACCACCATCGCTATCACACACACCCGGGACTAATGCGTCTTTCATATCTGCCAGGTTGGCCATGTCGACTGCTACGAAAGGTAACGCGCCCCTCACTCACACACAAGACAACGATCCCCCGTGTAGCCTTGACTGACTATTGGGGCAAGGGCTGTTTGTGAGTAGCGCCTGTGAAGGCCGGTCAACAACACGAGGGGGTGGTGTGGCCAGAAGTTGCGCTCGGCAACTTCGTTAAGAAAGCTCAACACACACGCGGATACGAGGAGGAACCTCGCGATAGCAGAGATGTGGTGCAGGCATCCGTGAGTGTCAAACCACACAGGGGTGTGTGCACAGAACACTCGGACTCTGCGCAATATGCAGCAGGAGTTCTTCAAAAACTCCACTGTGGTCTTCTTGTCCTAGGGCACCATCAAATAAATGTGAGCAAATTTGACCGACTGACAGGGACAACAGTGAGACAGAGACGCACAGCTGTGGACTCCTCATGCACGGTTACTAGAGGCAAATTGTGCAGCAGTGAGCATTGGTGACTCTACTGTACTGATGAGTCGTAATAAGGAGGAAACCGGACTCCACTTAAATTTCGATTTAAAGCTTTCGTGACTGCAGGGATTCATCTTCTTGGTTCTTTCGGTAAAGTCACGTAGAAGGGAAATAATAAAATAATAAAAATAAAACATAATAAAATAATTATCACGACGTTTCGGCCACAACGCAAGCAGCCGTCCTCAGGTGAAGAACAGGTCTGTCGGAAAGACAGCGTCTGACGCTGTCTGTTCTTCACCTGAGGACAGACCTGTTCTTCACCTGAGGACGGCTGCTTGCGTTGTGGCCGAAACGTCGTGATAATTATTTTATTATGTTTTATTTTTATTATTTTATTATTTCCCTTCTACGTGACTTTACCGAAAGAACCAAGAAGATGGACTCCACTTGTCTGTTTCATTGCCGTCTGTCCGTCTGTCACGTTGCTGGGATAAGTTTCCCTGGCGCGTGAATTTGCTTTCCGGGCTGAATGTCTCCTCCCTCCTCCTCTCCCGCAGCTCTGCTGGACGCCGCACGGCAGGGGTCGCTCGAGAAGGCGAGCGCCGTGGCGCCGTCACCGCACCCCGCACACCGCACCCCGCACACCGCACCCCGCACCCGAACCCCGCACCCCGCACCCCATCGCACCCCACCGCACCCCGCACACCGCACACCGCACCCCGAATCCCGCACACCGCACCCCGAACCCCGCACCCCACCGCACCCCACCGCACCCCGCACACCGCACACCGCACCCCGAATCCCGCACACCGCACCCCGAACCCCGCACCCCACCGCACCCCACCGCACCCCACCGCACCCCGCACCCCGCACCCCACACACCGCACCCCGCACCCCACCGCACCCCGCACACCGCACACCGCACCCCGCACCCCACACACCGCACCCCGCACCCCACACACTGCACACCGCACCCCACACACCGCACCCCACACACCGCACCCCGCACCCCACACACCGCACCCCGCACCCCACACACCGCACCCCGCACCCCACACACTGCACACCGCACCCCACACACCGCACCCCACACACCGCACCCCGCACCCCACACACCGCACCCCGCACACTGCACACCGCACCCCACACACCGCACCCCGCACCCCACACACCGCACCCCGCACACTGCACACCGCACCCCGCACCCCGCACACTGCACCCCACACACCGCACCCCACACACCGCACCCCGCACCCCGCACCCCGCACACTGCACCCCGCACACTGCACACTGCACCCCGCACACTGCACCCCGCACACCGCACCCCACACATCGCACCCCGCACACTGCACCCCGCACACTGCACCCCACACACTGCACCCCGCACACCGCACCCCACACACCGCACCCCGCACCCCGCACACTGCACCCCACACACCGCACCCCGCACACCGCACCCCGCACCCCGCACCCCGCACACTGCACACCGCACCCCACACACCGCACCCCACACACCGCACACTGCACACTGCACCCCGCACACTGCACCCCGCACACCGCACCCCACACACCGCACCCCGCACACTGCACACCGCACCCCGCACCCCGCACCCCGCACACTGCACACCGCACCCCACACACCGCACCCCACACACCGCACACCGCACACTGCACCCCACACACCGCACCCCGCACACCGCACCCCACACCCCGCACACCGCACCCCACACACCGCACCCCGCACCCCGCACACCGCACCCCGCACACCGCACCCCACACACTGCACCCCGCACACTGCACCCCACACACCGTACCCCGCACACCGCACCCCACACACCGCACCCCTCACACTGCACCCCACACACCGCACCCCGCACACCGCACCCCACACACCGCACCCCGCACACTGCACCCCGCACACTGCACCCCGCACACTGCACCCCACACACCGCACCCCGCACACCGCACCCCACACACCGCACCCCGCACACTGCACCCCGCACACTGCACCCCGCACACCGCACCCCACACACCGCACCCCGCACACTGCACCCCACACACTGCACCCCGCACACTGCACCCCACACACCGCACCCCGCACACTGCACCCCACACACTGCACCCCGCACACTGCACCCCACACACTGCACCCCACACACTGCACCCCGCACCCCACACACTGCACCCCGCACACCGCACCCCGCACCCCGCACACTGCACCCCACACACCGCACCCCACACACTGCACCCCGCACACCGCACCCCACACACTGCACCCCGCACACTGCACCCCGCACACTGCACCCCGCACACTGCACCCCGCACACTGCACCCCGCACACCGCACCCCACACACCGCATCCCACACACCGCACCCCGCACACCGCACCCCGCACACTGCACCCCGCACACTGCACCCCGCACACTGCACCCCGCACACCGCACCCCACACACCGCATCCCACACACCGCACCCCACACACCGCACCCCACACACCGCACCCCACACACCGCATCCCACACACCGCATCCCACACACTGCACCCCGCACACTGCACCCCGCACACTGCACCCCGCACACTGCACCCCACACACCGCACCCCACACACCGCATCCCACACACCGCATCCCACACACTGCACCCCGCACACCGCACCCCACACACCGCATCCCACACACCGCACCCCGCACACCGCACCCCGCACACCGCACCCCGCACACTGCACCCCACACACTGCACCCCGCACACCGCACCCCACACACCGCACCCCGCACACCGCACACCGCACCCCGCACACTGCACCCCGCACCCCGCACACCGCACCCCGCACACTGCACCCCGCACACCGCACCCCGCACACCGCACCCCGCAGACTGCACCCCACACACCGCACCCCACACACCGCACCCCGCACACTGCACCCCACACACCGCACCCCGCACACCGCACCCCACACACTACACCCCGCACCCCGCACACCACACACTGCACCCCACACACCGCACCCCGCACACTGCACCCCACACACCGCACCCGCACACCGCACCCCGCACACCGCACCCCACACACCGCACCCCGCACACCGCACCCCACACACCGCCCCCCACACACCGCACCCCGCACCCCACACACCGCACCCCGCACCCCACACACCGCACCCCACACACCGCACCCCGCACACCGCACCCCACACAACCGCACCCCGCACACCGCACCCCGCACACCGCACCCCACACACCGCCCCCACCACACCGCATCCCACACACCGCATCCCACACACTGCCACCCCGCACCCCACACACCGCACCCCGCACCCCACACACCAGCCACCCCGCACACCGCACCCCGCACACCGCACCCCCGCACACCGCACCCCCGCCACAACGCACACCGCACCCCGCACACGCCAACCGAACCCCGCACACCGCCACAACCGCACACCGCAACCCCACCCACACCGCACACCGCACCCCGCACACGCACCCCGCACACCGCACCCCGCACACCGCACCCCGCACACCGCACCCCGCACACCGCACCCCGCACCCCACACACCGCACCCGCACACCGCACCCCGCACCCCACACACCGCACCCCGCACACCGCACCCCGCACACCGCACACACACGCACCCGCACACCGCACACCACACCGCACCCCACACACCGCACACCGCACCCGCACACCGCACCCCACACACCGCACCCCGCACACCGCACCCCACACACCGCACCCGCACACCGCACCCCGCACACCGCACCCCCACACACCGCACCCCGCACACCGCACCCCACACACCGCCCCCCACACCGCACCCGCACCCCACACACACCGCACCCCGCACCCCACACACCGCACCCCCACACACCGCACCCGCACACCGCACCCCACACACCCACCCCGCACACCGCACCCCGCACACCGCACCCCACACACCGCACCCCGCACCCCACACACCGCACCCCGCACCCACACCACCGCACCCCGCACACCGCACCCCGCACACCGCACCCCGCACACCGCACACGCACCCCGCACACCGCACCCCGCACACCGCACACCGCACACCGCACCCCACACACCGCACACCGCACCCCGCACATCGCACCCCGCACACCGCACCCCGCACACCGCACCCCGCACACCGCACCCCGCACACCGCACCCCGCACCCCACACACCGCACCCCGCACACCGCACCCCGCACCCCACACACCGCACCCCGCACACCGCACCCCGCACACCGCACACCGCACCCCGCACACCGCACACCGCACACCGCACCCCACACACCGCACACCGCACCCCGCACACCGCACCCCACACACCGCACCCCGCACACCGCACCCCACACACCGCACCTCGCACACCGCACACCGCACCCCGCACACCGCACCCCACACACCGCACCCCGCACCCCACACACCGCACCCCACACACCGCACCCCGCACACCGCACACCGCACCCCGCACACCGCACCCCGCACACCGCACCCCCACACACCGCACCCCGCACACCGCACACCCACCCCACACACCGCACCCCGCACACCGCACCCCACACACCGCACCCCGCACACCGCACCCCACACACCGCACCCCGCACACCGCACCCCGCACCCCGCACACCGCACCCCACACACCGCACCCCGCACCCCGTACACCGCACCCCGCACACCGCACACTGCACACCGCACACCGCACCCCGCACACCGCACCCCACACACCGCACCCCGCACACCGCACCCCGCACCCCGCACACCACAACCCGCACACCGCACACCGCACCCGCACACCGCACCCCGAACCCCGCACACCGCACCCCGCACACCGCACCCCGAACCCCGCACCCCACCGCGCCCCCACCGCACCCCGCACCCCGCACCCCACTGCATCCCGCACCCCGCACACCGAACCCCGCACCCCGCACCCCGCACACCGCACCCCGCACCCTGCACCCTACCGCACCCCACCGCACCCCGCACCCGCACACCGCACCCCGCACACCGCACCCTGAACCCGCACCCACCGCCCCCCACCGCACCCCACACACCACACCCCAGCCCTGCGCCACGCGAATGGGGCGCGCAGTGGGTGGGCGCACGGTCATAAATTTGAGGAAGAGCCCAAGACTCGGAGACCCCAACAATAACGATGATGACGACTTGCACGCGTGATGCACCCGGAGAGGGAACGGGAGGGAACGGAAGGGAGTTAGCAAGGGAGCGAGTGAAAAGGAGCGACTCTCCCACTCGACAGCACACTCGACGTACCCACTCACCCACCCAATCACTCGCCTACCTGCTCACCTCCCGTCTCTCACGCACTCACCCACCCACTTGCTCGCTCGCCCACCCACTCACTTGCTCACTCACCCACCCACCCACTTGCTCGCTCGCCCACCCACCCACTTGCTCACTCACCCATTCACCCACTTACTCACTCACTCACTTGCTCACTCACCCATTCACCCACTTACTCATTCACCCATTCACCCACTTACTCATTCACGCACCCACTTACTTACCCGCACACTCACCTACTCGTGAAAGCATGGCGTGGTGGAGGAACGTGTTGAGGAGAGAAAGCGGAGAGGGGGAATAAGCGGAGTTCCCTGGGAAGTAAGTTGCAGAGCGTGCGGACGGCGTAGCGGCCTAAGTCCTTGACCAGGCAGCGCACATTGGCACAGCGGTCAAGGGAGTGGGCTGGGCGGTGTCCGCCGTGGGCAGGAGGCTGAGCGACACTGTCGTCTCTTTTTTGTTTCCAATCGCATTCGGCTGTTTTCCCTTCAAAAACCATAATCTCTATCATGACACATGATGGTACGCTTCTATAAACAATTTCGTTTATTTAAAGCTACCGCCGTAACATTTCTATTTCACATATTTGTGATCCAGAGATAATATTCTTCGAGAAGATAATTTATAGCATTTGCCACCCCGCGTGGTAATGATTAGACATGTTTTCAGCCAATGGCCCAAAGACTACCCGCTGTCTCCTCCTCCTTCTCCTCCCGTGCGTCCCGCCAGCTGATCGATGCCCACTCGCGGGGGGCCGACCTCCTGGCCCGTGACTCGGAGGGGCGCAGCGCGCTCCACCACGCGGCCGCTGGGGGCCACCGCGACCTCGTCAAGCACATCCTTGAGACCGGTCCGTTCTGCCAAGGGTCACCGTGGCCGTGTTTTGCTTTGCTCGTGCTGAGCACGGCTTTTGGAAAAATCTAACAAAGGCCAAAGTTATTTCCGCCACTCAAATGAGCATTGAGGAGGTGATCATCTTCTGTTCACTTCCCTTAGGCAGTTCGGGAAATTCCTCATTCCTTTGGTGGGGAGTGAGTCTCTTCATGGGACAGTCAGCATTGTTGACTGCTTTTGGAAAGCTGAACATGGTAATGAAAAATGAAGTAGCGGTGAGCCTTGAGGTGATGGTGTTTAATCGGTAGGTGCCACGTGGTTCAGAGACGCGACAATTTACCGGAAATGTCCAACAACTGAAGTGTGCAGAGAAGCACGGAGAGATGCACGCTGAGAATTACATTGAAGGGTGTGACGGGAGTGTGGTGGTAGTATGTGTGTGTGGGGTGGTGGTAGTGTGTGTGTGGGGTGGCAGTAGTGTGTGTGGGGTGGTGGTGTGGTATAGTCGTGTGATGGTAGTGTGTGTGTGTGGGGTGGCGGTGGCAGTAGTGTGTGTGGGGTGGTGGTGTGGTATAGTCGTGTGATGGTAGTGTGTGTGGGGTGGTGGTGGTGTGTGTGTGGGGTGGTGGTGGTGTGTGTGTGGGGTGGTGGTGGTGTGTGTGTGGGGTGGTGGTGGTGTGTGTGTGGGGTGGCAGTAGTGTGTGTGGGGTGGTGGTGTGGTATAGTCGTGTGGTGGTAGTGTGTGTGTGGGGTGGTGGTGGCAGTAGTGTGTGTGGGGTGGTGGTGTGGTATAGTCGTGTGATGGTAGGGTGTGTGTGGGGTGGCGGTGGCAGTAGTGTGTGTGGGGTGGTGGTGTGGTATAGTCGTGTGGTGGTGTGTGTGTGTGGGGTGGTGGTGGTGTGTGTGTGGGGTGGTGGTGTGGTATAGTCGTGTGATGGTGTGTGTGTGTGGTGGTGTGGTATAGTCGTGTGGTGAGAGGATCATGGTGTGCTCGCAGCGTTCGTGCTGTGGTGGTATGGTGGGAGTCTGCGTGATGCGGTGAAATTGGGGCGTGCTGTTTTTGATGCGCTGCTGTATTTCCAACAGGGCCCCTAGAGCTATTGGATGAAGCGGAGGCTGACACGTGCGTATACACAGACACACGCACACGTAATGTTGTGATATTGCAGTGGTGTTATGGTCTCATTTGATGTGCTGATGCTGTGATGCTTGATGTTGCTATGTTGTACTTCAATGTTGTGATGCGTGATGGCGTGATGAGTTTCCAGTGATGACGATGATGAAGATGACGATGTGTCCCGCAGAGGGAACACCGCTCTGCACGGTGCCGCTGCTGGGGGGCACCGCACCGTCTGTTACTTCCTGGTGGAGGCCGGAGCCTCGCTGCTCAAAACCAACTCCAAGGTTCAATCCAGTACCCCACCCCGACATACCCACTCTGCTCACCCCCCCAACATACCCCCTCCCTCCCCACCCCCAGCATTCCCCATCCCTCTCTCCCCACCCCGACATACCCCCTCCCTCTCTCCCCACCCCCAGCATTCCCCTTCTCCTGGAACGGTGTGCCTCTGGGAGCTCTCTCCATGTTCATCGCCAATTCAATACTGAGGTAGCCCAATGGAAACAGAAACGGCACATCATCGTTAATCATAGAGTGATGCATAGGTTAACCGATTCTTATGCTCGCGGTCTGTGCGTGGGATCTAGTGGGCGAATCGGTGGTCTTGTCGGGTGTCGATGCTGTTCATTTAATTGTCACGTGACCCCTGCAGCCGCTACAGATGCTATTCATCCACCACGATGGGAAATTAAATGATCGATTATTGCAGCAGAATGTCATCCCGACTGCAACGACGAATCACCAAGGAAGAGAGGGTGAATCATTCCATCCCTATTCATCATCATCATCGGCATCCTCAGCAGAAATTATCATGTATTTATTATCTCCTTTTCCTCGGGAAACCGTATCGAGTCTGAGTACTCTTCACGTGAGAAGAACTCGGAGATATCCCGCCCACGCGAGGGGGTTACACTAAACCTCCTCACAGATAGATCCAACACATTGCTGACACAGTCCAAGCCGACAACACCTGACCTGGCGTCCCGACACAGTCTCCCATCCAAGTATTAACCATGGGACCTTTTTTGCCAGTATCAAAGTATGAAAAATAAGAGTAGCTTTTACCCTTTCTGGCAATACAACAGGTGTTAATGTGTTCAAACACCAAATAAATCCCTTTTGCAAGGACACAAGTCTGCATTAAGCACACGTGCTTGCGGTAAACATGCAAACAAAACACTGTACTGGTCGCCTTTTGGTGTTTTCTGGTCTAACACTGGTGCAATTAGGCCATGAGGAAAGCTGCCTCTGGCGTAGGTCAATCCGTCTCAAAGACAATGCATATTTGATCGGAGCATGTTTTCTCTGCATGTTCACCGCAAGTCCGTGTGGTCAATGCAGACTTGATGACGATATTTGGTGTTTGAACATCTTAGCACCCCCTGTTTTATTGTTCAAGTATTAACTGGGTCGAACTCTGCTCAGCTTCATATATCAAATAAGTTCGGACACATTCAGAGTTGGCTTTGTGTAAGCACTGACCCTGAGCAGGAGGCGTGACCTTGTGAGGCTGCAGCCGCTGGTAGTTGCTTGCAACTCGGCCGTCTTGCAACTGAATCGCCCATGTGGTCGTCTCTCCAACCACCGCTTGCTCACAGTAGTGCTCGACTCTGCTGTCATCTGGTGGTATCTGGTTGTAGAGTACAGACAGACTCAGCTTGGATGCATTCATCTGCTCTGCGATTTGTCGCCCGAATTTACATCGCGTGGGCATTTAGACGAAGAAGTCGCAGGAGATTATGGTTGCACAATACAAAGAAGGATTTGGGTTCGCCGACCGATCGCTTGAATTTGCTGGCACTCGTGCCGGTGCCGCTGCAGGGGGACCTGGCGGGAGATGTGGCGCGTGAAGCCGGGGAGCTGGAGCTCGCCGCCTTCCTCGAAAATCGGCAGCACCAGCAGATGATCACGCGCGACGACCAGGAGACGGCCGTGTGAGGACCACCGTCCACCATCACCAACGCCACAATCACCGCCACCACTATCACCGCCACCTTGACTATCACCTTGACCACCAAACTTTCCGTCATCACCTCGCGGCCCCAGCAGCCGACACTAGCGCAACCGTCACCATCGTGAGCGCCACCAGCAATGATAGCACCAGCTCCACCAGCTCCACAAACTCCACAAGCAATAACCCAGCTCCAACAGTGACGCCACCGATTTCACCAGTGCCACCCGCTCAGCACGGTGGCCCCGCGCTGCTGCTCGCTGGACTTGCCCGGTGTTGGGTCCCGCGCCGAGCCCCGCGGGCGAGTTCTTCCGTGGAGCTGAGATGACTTCTTCTGCAATCGCCGCGGCAGTGAAACTCCCGCCCGCCCGCTCATCTCACGTTGATTTATCATCCCCGCCGCTTCTTCTCCCTGACTCCCCCCGCCCCTCCCCTCCCCCGGCCGTGTCGCCGTGTCTTGTACATTCGTGAACCCCGATCTCGATCCCTCCTGGGTCTGACCATGAAACGACGATGATCTTTACTGAGTGCGTCCAGGTGACCAGCCTGGTGGCACTCTCGTTGCCTCACCCTGTCCCCCCCCCCTCCCTCCCACCACCCCCGACTCTTACCGCCAACAGCGCTCACCTCCCCCGTGCTTCCTGGCGCACCGCGCCACGTGCCGTGACTGCATGACTCCGTGACCTTGCGTGACCCCCCCCCCCCAGTGCCGCGTGTGTGTACATACCGAGGGAATGATGGTCGTGCTCGTTTTGCATATTGTGCGTGTGAAACATCCTCTTGAGATTTTAAACTCGACATTTTATATATTTCTGGCCGGTGATGATGGAGGCTGGCGTCGCGTGGAGTGCGTTTCTACGGTGGGCGGCGCGCGTCCGTGGCCGCGCGCCGCGCGTTTCTAATAAAGCGACGCCGTGTTTACAGCTCCGCCGCGCTCGCCGCCGCAGTGTCCTGACTCCAGCCTCAAGAACACCGACGCGAAGCCACCTTCAGCACGACTCTATCATCAGTAGTAGCAATAACAATGTCGCCTTGTAACACTGCGTCACCGCCGCACATATTTCGCTCGCTCTCGTAGAGAGGATAACTCAGAGGGACGCGGATGAACCACGGACAGACGGTCTGCGGTCCTCTATATATGAAGGTGTTACCGACCAATTAATGAGTGTTTACTTGTGGGAGAAAACTGGAGCACTCGGAGAAACCCCACACGTGCGAGAAAGAAACACTGTCCCGTACAAATGGAACAGGTGAAGTCCACATGTTGGCGGGTCCACCTCCTCTACACCCACGGGAAGGGAGTTTTGCAACGTGTGTGCTCCACCAACCTCACTTGTACCTCCACAATGCGGGATTACAGGCCGCCACGTGCATAGCCACCGCCACTGCCCAGCTAGGAACCCGAGTACATGGCGCATCTGTGGCGGTGTTGCGGGTCTAAGTGGGGGAGTGGGATTGGGCGAGGAGAGGAAGGAGTTTGAGTCATGGATCTGCTCGCGAATAGAAACTTACAGAAGACGAGAAATTATCGTGACCCTGAGGCCCCTCGCGATGTTGGTTTGTGTTGCTTCCTCAATTCAGAGGGGCCATCTCGCTTCACCTGTCCGCCAGATCTTGTGTCACTGTCCCCTACATCTCTCTCCACTTGCCCCCCCCCCACATCTTGCGTCACTGCCCCCCGCACCTCGCTTCACCTGCCCCGCGCTATCCCGGTCGCGAGGCGCCGGGCTTGCGCTCGGCTCCCGCAGCGGCAGCGCATCAGCTGCAGGAACGTGCGCTTGAACTCGCGGATGCAGAGCGCGTAGCACGCGGGGTTCACGGCGCTGTTGACGTAGCAGAGCCAGTAGCCCAGCTCCCAGGCGGCGTGGGGCACGCAGTCCGTGCAGAACACGGCGAGCAGCACCATCACGTTGTAGGGCGTCCACGTGACGATGAACGCGAGCAGCACGGCGGCCACGGTGCGGGTCAGCTTCCTCTCGCGCCGCGCCCGGGCGCCGCCAAAGCTCCCGCTCCGCCGCGCGGCGCCTGCACCGCCTCCCCCACCCACTCGGAGCCGCGGGCCGCCACTCGCCGCCTCTCCGCTCGCCTCTCCGATCTCGCTCGACAAACGACGGCGGCGCGCGCGGCGGCACCGCGCGGGGGGGACGCGAGGCGCCGCTCCCGGGCTGCTCCCGCCGTCGACGTCTTCGTCTCCGGAACCTGGGCTGAGTTCGCGGAGGGAACTTCCCTGACGAGATCTGCAATCCATCTGTGCGGCGCCGTCGTGCCCAGCCGCTCGTAGCTCCAGCCGCGCGCTCGGCGCTGCTCCCTCCGCGTCCCGTTCACTCGCGGCGCTCTCAGCGCTGCGAGAGCGGCCACCTCCAGGCCATTGGAACAGCACCTTGGCCGAGGCCATGAGTCTCACTGGGCCCTGCGGCCGCTGCTGAGGCCGCTCGCCCGGCTGCACACGGCACCTGCTGGCGCGCACGATGTAGAGATAGAGGATGCACATGACGGCTACGGGCAGGTAGAAGGCGGCGATGGCTGTGCCCAAAGTGGCCGCGGGGTTGGAGAAGAATTGGATGTAGCAGGCGTCTTCGGGCACGGTGCGCACGCCCTCGACGAACTGCCAGAGCACGATGGCCGGGGCCCACAGCAGCAGGGATAGCAGCCAGGCGGCCGCGATCGCGATTGCGGCGGCGCGGGCCGTGCGGCGAGCCGGGTAGGTGTGCGGCCGCGACACGCACAGGAAGCGGTCGCAGCTGATGATGAGCAGGTTCATGACGGACGCGTTGCTCGCCACGTAGTCGATCGAGAGCCACAGGTCGCACAGCGCAGCGCCCAGCGGCCACGCGCCCCGCCACACGTACACCGCGTACACGTTCATGGAGAAGGCGCCGATGATGAGATCTGCGCACGCCAGGCTGAAGATGAAGTAGCTGTTGACCGTCTGCAGCCGGCGGTTGACGCAGATGGAGATGATGACGAGCGCGTTTCCCAGCACCGTGAGCAGGCTGAGCGCGCCCGTGCCCACGAAGATGAGCGCCGAGCGCGGAGCGGCCGAGAAGGTCGCGTTCTCCGTGAGCAGAGGCGGTAGGGACACGGTCTCCATCCCAGAGTGGCCACTCACTCCCGCGCACGCGCGGCGCAGCGAGTGGTGCAGGCGCGCATTGGAGTCCCCTCTCACCCAGCCAATGGGTACAGGCGCGGGCAGAGGGCGTCGGCAGAGGAGCGCTGCTTCTGCTGCTGCTGATTATGATGATAACTATAATCTTACGTTTAATCTGGTTAGCTGTCCGGAAAAGCCTCACTGGTTCTCAAGACTCCTTTCAGCAGGGTCCTACTGCATTAAGTTGTTGGCTAATTCCATTAAAAAGAGGTCCGCTTCGCGTGCGAGGAAATCTGAGGACAACCGAAGAACCCCGACGCAAATATGAGGAGGGTAACACGGAAATCCGCACATATACACTCAATAATCTATGTCTCTCCTGAAATATCTTGCCGCCTCGTAGCCAAATCTTACAACACGTGCTATCCGCAGGCAGTCGCTGGCCTAAGAACGAACGACACTCGAGCCCACTTGGCTTCGGAGATCTCCAGACCACGGCGCGCCTTCTGGGTGATCCGGTTGTGGCAGGGCTCTGTTGGGCTGCTGCCGAGTGCGGGAAAACTGCGCGTGGGCGCAGTGTGGCGGGCGCGTGGCTGGTTTATGCTTTTCATGGTGCGGACTTTGGGCCTCATTGCAATAGTGAGAAAATGAGATATTTGGGGTTTAGCCAATTATGCAACTGCTTGCATAACACGGCCCTCGCACAGCCTGCCTGGCTCTCGGTGGCAACACTCGGGAATGTTGTAGCTGGAGAATCGGGTCCCGCGCCACCCGGAGCAACGGAGTCACCTTGACGCCGTGTAGATCGGGTCACTGGTTTCCATCGAGGAGGGTGAGACATTATTCGGCTTATTCGAGTCGATGTTCCCCTGTTGAAATTTAAAGGCGTTGGTCATTTTCCAACTTTCCAAACCAGAACAGTTGTTTCCTGTAACAGGCACTTTACTATAATATTTCACCTGCAAAATCCCTTGAGATGAAACATTTCGTTAGCGAGGATGTCCATGTCGATATCCTCCAGAGATCAATCGAGCGGATACCCTATCGCCAGGAGTGGTGTGGCGCAAATCTTTACCTGTTTGAAAGTTATTAAACTATCTTCAGAATACCGGTGATGCGTGTCTCCTTCACGTGTCCCTCGTCAGACTGAGCGAGCTGCATTTGCTCTTGTGAGAACTCCACGAGGTTTGAGAGTGGAGGACGGCACGGGGCGCGTGTGAGATCACCGATTAATCCGCAGGACACAAAGCGTCACGTGGCTGAGCTTTGCCCCTTTGGGCTGCAGCGCAGCCGCGGCATTTGGCTCGGGATTCCGAGCGGGAGAAGTGGCAGAGGATCAAAGATGAGGGCGCTCCATACTGACGTGGGCTCACGGTTCATCCATGCACGCCACGTGAACCTCTCACACCACATGGACCTCACCACACCGCGTGAACCACACACATCACGTGAACCTCTCACGCCACAATAACCCCATACACCAGGTGAACCTCTCATATCACATGAACATCAACACACCTCATGAACCCCACACACCACGTAAACTAAAAACACCGCAAGTTTCAAGCGTATTTTGTTGAACCAGGTGAAAACACAAGACGCGTTTTATTTGCAACAGTGGCCAGGGTCACCAAAACGGTCAAAGCAAATAAGGTTATATATTGACTTCAAGCTTTCGTGACTGCAGGAATTAATATTCTGTGGGTCTTTCGGTAAAGTCACGTAGATAGGTTCGAAGAAAATTACCAAAAAATAACAAAAAACTGCGACGTTTCGATCACAACAAAATCGATCGTCACCAGGAGGAAAAAAGAGGGGGAAAGCTACTGAGGCAGACTGTTTTAAACCTTTAAAACAGTCTGCCTCAGCAGCTTTCCAGACTGTTTTAAAGGATTAAAACAGTCAGGTTTAAAACAGTCAGGTTTAAAACAGTCAGGTTTAAAACAGTATGTTTTAAAGGTTTAAAACAGTCTGGAAAGCTGTTGGAAAGCTGCTGAGGCAGACTGTTTTAAAGGTTTAAAACAGTCTGCTTCAGCAGCGTTCCCCCTCTTTTTCCCTCCTGATGACGATCGCTTGTGTTGTGATCGAAAGTCGTAGTTCTTTGTTATTTTTTGGTAATTTTCTTTTAACCTATCTACGTCACTTTACCGAAAGACCCACAGAATGAGGTTATATATTGCACAATATATATGACGTCAAGAAAATCAGAACAAAAACAACCAAATAAAAACCAGGCAAAAAAAACGGATGACTGGAAAACAGTGCACATGTTTATACAGCCTTGAGCCAGTGGTGGAGATTGCACATTCTCAGGGCAGGTATGAGTGTATCCATAAGACAACCAGTGTCAAATGTGAACCCCCAGCACCACATGATCCTCACGCATCACATGAACCAGACACCGGCAGCTTGCTGTGCCCGTGTCAATCCACTCCGCGGACGCCCTTGCACACGCGGTGGTGTTCCATCTCAAGGATTATCCAAGTTGAACGGCTCGATACATGGATGGCGAGACATTAGCAAGACCGTCTCCGACATCTCCAGCCACATGAGCCTCTTGGGTGACGCGCCACGGGAACTTCCAGCGCCACGCGAGGCGGCCGCCAGAGGGCGCCGTGGAGGCGCCGAGCGCGGCCACCAACAGGGCCCGGAAGGGGCGCGAGGTCGCCCCTCCCCCCGCCCCTCCCCCCGCCCCTCCCCCCGCCCCTCCCCCTCCTCCCCCCGCCCCTCCCCCTCCTCCCCCCGCCCCTCCTCCTCCCCCCGCCCCTCCCCCTCCTCCCCCCGCCCCTCCTCCCCCTCCTCCCCCCGCCCCTCCTCCTCCCCCCGCCCCTCCCCCTCCTCCCCCCGCCCCTCCTACCCCCTCCTCCCCCCGCCCCTCCTCCCCCTCCTCCCCCCGCCCCTCCTCCTCCCCCCGCCCCTCCCCCTCCTCCCCCCGCCCCTCCTACCCCCTCCTCCCCCCGCCCCTCCTCCCCCTCCTCCCCCCGCCCCTCCTCCTCCCCCCGCCCCTCCCCCCCCTCCTCCCCCCGCCCCTCCTCCTCCCCCCGCCCCTCCCCCTCTTCCCCCCGCCCCTCCTCCCCCTCCTCCCCCGCCCCTCCTCCTCCCCCCGCCCCTCCCCCTCCTCCCCCCGCCCCTCCCCCTCCTCCCCCCGCCCCTCCTCCCCCTCCTCCCCCCGCCCCTCCCCCCTGCGACGTAAACAAGGCGCTGCGTGGCGCCATGGCGCGGCCCCGCCGAGAGGATTGAGGCCTCTTCCCGCGAGAGCCGTCGCCTGTGACCCCGTCTCCTCCTCGTCCTCCTCCTCCTCCTGGTGAGACGAGATGAACCCCCGACGAGGGCAGCAGAGGTTCCCCTCGGCGCTGCCCCCCAAAGCCTGTGGACCCTGGCCCGGGGACCAGGGTCCTCTGGACATGCTTGGTCCTGTGAGGAGCAGCTGGGAATGCAGCTCTCACCGAGGAGACGTGTAGTAGACGCGTTTGTTGGCGCTCGTGTGGAGGACGTGGAGGGCGGTCTGCGTGTGTGTGGGATCTGGTGAGTGTGAGAGCTGATCTGGAGAGTGTGATTGGTGAGTGTCGGGTCCGGTGAACGGAGCATGTGGTCTGGAGTGTCCTCTGGTGAGAGTTGGATCTGTAGAGAGTGGGGCATGACGAGTATGGGACCTGGTGAGTGTGAGAGCTGGGGAGTGTGAGAGCTGGGGAGTGTGGGACCTGGGGAGTGTGAGAGCTGGGGAGTGTGAGAGCTGGGGAGTGTGAGAGCTGGGGAGTGTGGGACCTGGGAGTGTGAGAGCTGGTGAGTGTGAGAGCTGGGGAGTGTGAGAGCTGGGGAGTGTGGGACCTGGTGAGTGTGAGAGCTGGGGAGTGTGGGACATGACGAGTATGGGACCTGGTGAGTGTGAGAGCTGGGGAGTGTGGAGTTAGGCTGCAAGGAGTGCGATCTGGGGAGTGTGGGACATGGGATTCGGGTTGAGCTTTGGGATCCGATTTGTGTGGACAACGTGCGATGTTATGAAGGAGGATCTGGTCCGTTGTGTTCTGTTCCCGTTGTATCCCATCGACTCGTATTACTCAAGTGGCAAACTAAGAATCGATTTGTCTTAGTCTGCGTTATGTACCCGCTTTGAGGGGATCCAGGCCGACGGCCTGTGCTGGTCGAGAAGCCTCGCTGTTGCCTGAGAGGCCTGCGGGGGAGGGAGCGCGCAGCGGGGCCAAGCCGCATGGACGCACGGGGCAAGTGATGTCGCTGCCTTTGATTTGCTGTTTTAGGCGCCGACTTATGCTCGACATCATGGATTCGCCGAAGGAGTTGAACCTTCAAGACAAAAAGGATTTGGACAAATTTTTAAAATTCTTCGCACTCAAGGTGGGTGACATCTGTAGCCGATACGCACGCGGCTCGTCCACAGTGACTTAGCTGGATGTGAATGGTGCTCTGAGATGTGATGAAGAGTGGAATTATACTGCACCTAAAGGGGCTAAGTGATTGTGTGAGAGTGCATGTTATGAGTTTTTAATGATGAGGTGACTTAATAATAAACAAGGGATTTAAGTTATTCTAAAGGGATTCAAATAAATGTTAAATTGCTGTGTAAGTAACGGCGAGTTAGGGATATTTTGGAGGGATGAAAGTGTCTCTGCATATGCTCTCTTGACTGCCATAGCTGTGACAGGCGTTTCACTATCGTGGATGCCAAGACTTGAGACCGTCCTGTCTCATCCACACTGTTCAACTACCACACTGCAGATCACAGCATTCAACATATTGCAGATCACAACACTCACCACACTGCAGGTCACGACACTCACCACACTGCAGATCACAACACTCACCACACTGCAGATCACAACACTCATCAAACTGTAGATCACAACACTCACTACACTGTAGATCACAACACTCACTACACTGCAGATCACAACACTCACCACACTGCAGATCACAACACTCATCACACTGTAGATCACAACACTCACTACACTGTAGATCACAACACTCACTACACTACAGATCACAACACTCACCACACTGCAGATCACAACACTCACCACACTGCAGATCACAACACTCACCGCACTGCAGATCACAACACTCACCACACTGCAGATCACAACACTCACCACACTGCAGATCACAACACTCACCACACTGCAGATCACAACACTCACCACACTGCAGATCACAACACTCATCACACTGCAGGTCACAACACTCACCACACTGCAGATCACAACACTCACTCACGACACCTCAGATCACCTACACTTGAGATCACAATATTTCACTTTCTCTTTATTCCCTCAGACTGTTCCAGCTTGGAATTCCCTCCCATAGTCACTTTAGTCAAGCTCTTATAATAACGTTTTCAATTCAATAAAGTGTTACAGTCTTATCACAACTGTGATGGTGCTGATTGTTGCTGGCTGCTTGAAGTATTGGGCTTTTTCTCAGTAACTTTGTTGAATAAATAAGCCCCCATTTGCTCTGCCACTTGTTGTGCATGCTGCAGTCTGTACAGGTGATTGTCCAGGCCCGGCTAGGCGAGCGCATCATCACCAAGTCCAGCGCCTCGTCATCTGGCTCCGACTGGGTGAGGGCATCCGTTCATCCCCCCGCAACGCCCCGTGTCTGTGCTCCCTTACACACACAGCATCCTGTGCCCTGCTACCCTCGTAATACTTTGACATATTTGACTAAAATGGTGGAAATCGTCAGGTTTTCTGTACATTAGGGGTAATTGGCCTATGGCCCACGACTTCATTCGTGCGGCCCTTGACCACACAGGAACTATTACTTTGAAGTGGCCATGAAACAATATTTATCTGTCACTAACAGGCCAGGCTTTTGGCTGGCCATCAAACAAAGACTGTCACTGCGTCACGCGCTTTCAGATGCATTTTGTGGCCATCTAGAATGCTCTTCGTCCCGATATTAGGAAGCCACTGGAGCTATGTACTATTACATCTAGATTGAAAACTAATTTCTTTAGAACAGTGTTTTGTGTTTGGTTGTCCTACCCCTGTAACTTCCAATACGCACGGTTTGCTACGTATGGTGCGAAAGAAGTTCAACATGCATGCATACAGGCCAGGTGGCTCAGTGACATGGCGAGAGGCTCGCAATCGTAAGTTTGTGAGTTAAAATCCTGGTTAGGGTTTGTCTCAGCCCATCATCCCTCCTAAGTCAATAAAAAAATACTTTTTTGTGGGGAAGTCAACAGTGGTTGTTATGTGTGTGCTAATCGGTATGATAGACTCACCCCTGTCATAGGGATGGCATTTGAGCAATAAATCACTTTGACGTGACAAGTTTCTTGGCCGCACCAATCGAGTACTAGAGGGGATTAATTTAGATTTGACAACCGTAGTGTATTTATAATTTGATTGTGCTTAGTTGCTGATGTTACTGCAATGGCCTCTTGCAGTGAGAGACATGACTGAGGTTTGTGTTAACGTGTGGTCTGCTACTAAAGGTAGTCGAGTCCTTTTTCGCCTACGGTGAGGACAAGGTTCCCTACCTATGCTGTAGAGCAACATGTGCCGCTCATAATTGTGAGTGTCATTTCGCTCTGTTTAGTTTAACCTGGTGATCAGAGACATTCCGGAAGTGAGTCAGGAAGCGAAGAGGGCCATGGGGAACCAGCTACCTGGAGTTGGCATGCCCATGTGCGTGGAGGTCTCCCTGAAAACATGCGAGGTGAGGTGTCATCGAATGTAAAAAAACATTAAAAAAGTTTCCTGATTTTCCGCACATATACCAATGTCTGAGCATTAAAGTTTTAGCTTTTTAACTGAGAATGTTAGCAAACTGGACTTGTAATCCAGAGGTCGCCAGTTTGAGTTAATTCAATCTTTTGAAATGGCAGTAGAAACAATGGAGCTAGTTTCTCAAATCCTCAATGCCACTATCCACTCAGCAGTATAACAATTAAGTGAATTGGTAGGTTGGGGAAATTGTGGGCATTCCCACCTCCTTCAACACGTCTAATTAGTGAGGAAGAATAGACTAAATATCCTCTAGAACTCCTTGTTAGTGGTTTCCCTTCTGCCAGCATTGGTGTAACCAAGCAATTGGAGAGCTGCACCTTTAATATGAGGACCATGATCATGCAGCCATAACCAGACATACGGGCTTACCCTTAACCAACAAATTACACTTGATTTAAGAACAAACATTACAGAAAAAAATCATGGCTTTGAAGTCAGAAAAATTGGCATGTGGAAGTCTGCGTCCTAATTATATGAATCCTGTACATTCCCATTGCTGTGCACATGACAATTTCTGACTCCTTTGATCTAGTATAAGAGTAGTTACTTGAACACTAAAGAAATTACAACTGGAAAAACACATTTTTTATTAAGGATTTTGTTATCTGAACATATTTCAAGGTTTTCTGAGGTTGTATTCATGAATGCCGTATTTGTAATGAAATAAGAAAGAATCTCTGTAGCCACCTGTTGAGAAAAATAACGCTTACAGAGCTGCCCTGAGTGTGATTAAGCAGCTAGTGTTTCTGAAAAGAAACACGACCCTGCTAATATGGTTGCGCTGTGGCTTGTGTTGCAGGGTGATTCCATGGGACTAGAAGTTTGGAGCTTGGAAATGAATGAGAAGTATGTAGTAGGAGTTTCACAACCTATGTCCTAATGGATAGCAATAATCACAGTGCAGGTTTCCCATAAAATACATGCCTTATTCGCTCAGTGGAAAAACATACTGCTTAACACAACACAAAACATGCCTTTCATGGTAATTCACCACGTGATCCATCATCTCATTACGATTTACGGCATACATTTTTGTTAAATAAAATCTCTTGTTTAAACAAGAGCCTGCTTTGTGGGATATGCATTTAACCATATAGCGAATACCTTTCCTTTAACAAGAAGTGCACTGATCGTGGTGGTGTGCTATGTGTGTGGTGGTGTGCGGGACAGGTGTGATCACGAGGTGAAGGTCTCCTACACTGTGTATAACCGTCTCTCTCTGCTTCTCAAGTCACTGCTGGCCGTCACACGCGTCACGCCGGCCTACAAGCTCTCGCGCAAGCAGGGCCATGACTACGTCATCTTGTACAGGCATGCCGTGATCACCGCCACACCCTGTCTCCCATGCCGCATCTCAACGACATCGGCTATTATTGTCATTTGTAAAGCGCCTTTACATCGGGCGGGAGGGTGGCGCAGTAGTAACATTTGTGCCTCAGTAAGAAGGTCCTGAGATCCCCGAGTCGGGCGACTTTCTGTGCGGATTTTGTGTGTCCTGTTCTGCATGGGTTTCCTCCCATAACTAAAAAACACACAATGTTACTGATATTGGCCAAACGTCCCAATGACCAAAAATTACCTGCAAATTACTCAGCTGAGATTACACACGGCAACATTGCCCCCACTGTGAAAACCTGGCAGAACCCTCTTAAAAAAGAGTTGAGACTCGGTAAAGCTTTCTTGGATAAAAAGCTTAATAATAATTATTATCATTATAATTAATGATAGAATTATAAAAAAAGAGCATTTGCAACATTTCTCAGAGCTGTACACAAGAATGCTGAATATTCTCTTGGTGTACTTGTGCGGTTTTTTCACAGAATCTATTTCGATGAAGTCCAGTTGGGGTGCCTAGGTGAAGGTAAGCATTTAAATGACAATCCGTGACATGAACAGAAAAAGCCAAGGCAAATGCAACTGGGTTACTCAAGGGGGATAAAAGTGTGCTCGAATGCTGAGCTCACATCTGAGATACTCGTTTCGAAGCCATGCAACAAGGTTATCTGCTGTAGTGAGATCATGGTCTCATCCTTGTAACCAATGACTATACATGGGATGGTGCACTGCATTATTTATGAATTATTGTTGATGCTGCATTGACAGTCGTGCACAAGTATAAATAAAAAAATAACTCGTAAGTAACAGTACCCTGGTAGGAAAAACATTTATATATAATTAGGTAACTTTTTGTTCATTGATCCTTCTCAAAAGCAGAGATCCAGAGTTCCAAAAGTGAACGGAGCAAGAGTTTCAGAAATGATGCTGATAGCAAAATTTTAACATAATGACAAGAAATGTTTTAAATAAACATTTTCATCCCAGCCATCGGTTTACAGGCATGTCTGTACATGTGTGTGTGCCCAGGTTTTCAGACTCTGCGTGTGGGCATGGTGGGAACACCAGAGGGCACCATTACCCTGGGTTGTGCCTACCGCACCAACCTCACTTTCATTGCCAACAGGTGAACCTACTGCTTGTTAACATCCCGCATACACTTTTAATGTTCGTGCTGGTGTTGAGCCAAGTGTGTGTGTGTGTATTTTTGTCACAGGCAGTTGGAACAAAACAAGCCCTTGATGGGTATCATTATTGATCACTTCTCCGACAATCCCCGGCACAGCTCATCTGCCGCCCAGCCCTGCATGCACAGGTAATATCAAACAAAAAGTTAATTCCTGTTGCAGTGAGCAATGAAGCGGTGCTCGGCTCCCGTTTACCACACTTAACCAGTGGCGAAAATTCCACATTCCTCTGGGAAGGGATGGGTTTAGCCAAAGGATTATCACCGTGACTTCCCCACAAGCCGTACTCATATTATTGACCCCTTATGGATCATGAGCTCAGTTAACCTCTAAAACTTCTAAAGAGGTTTACTGAGGATTTGAAGTCGCAGCATTCCAATTGAGGTACGTTTTCTCTCTCGCTGAGCCACCTGGTCAGACACTGGCACTGTGCAGCACATCATCGTATTGGGTGCTTCACCTGCCGGTAGTGAAGACTGAGTGGATAGTAACGTGCACCTCTGTTGTGTTGTAGGCGAGCAGGCGGTGGGGAAGAGACATGTGGCTCTACCGATGACTTCCAGGACATGTGCGCATCCTCCTTCTCCACGTCGCCTCCGTCGCAGGTCGGTGTTGACGTTTCTGTCGGTGAATGACAATGATGATGTTTCGTGCCTGCCCAGTTCCACTGGGTTCATACCAACGTGTTAATGTGCACAGTGTTATTTGAGCGGCAGGCCAGCGCAGTGGTTGAGAACTGTGCCTCCTCGTAAGAAGGATTTGGGTTTTATTCCCGACGTGGGCGCCTTCCGATGTCTGTTTCCCCCTTTGCTGAATGGCTTTCATAATGATTGTAACATCGTGCAACATTATGCATCTCAAAACACTGCTGAATGTCATAATCTAAATCTTTATCCTGGAGAAATCCAATGAGCCATGAGGCTCTTTTTCACAGATGTTTACTCGTCACAGATGTCCAGTTGTAACTTGCACAGAGGCGCGTGGGAAGCCACAGCCAAGCTGCAAGGCAGCTCGAATCGGCTCCAGAAATTGTCCTGTACTGGGATGTTTGGCCAACTCCTCCAGGTTTTCCGGTTTCCTCCCACAGATAAAAATGCACAATTTCGTTAGTGCTGGCCAAACCTCACAATACATAACTCTCTCGAAAAACAGTCTTCAGACTCCCTGTGGCTTTCCAAAGAAAATAAGTTCTGTTTGTGATATGTATTATATGACTGAATTGTTACATTTCCAAGGTGCATTGTGGATACCATGATGAGGGAGATGGAGGTGGCCCATCATCACTGCCGCTTAGGCCAAGGTACAATTCCCTAACATCGCTAGCCGCACACAAAGCCTTGTGGTTTGTCTAGCACGCTGCGTTTTCAAAGCTCATTTTGTGTGGCAGCGTGCAGTGTTTATCTGGGTTTGTGTGTCGGTCACAGAGGTTTGACGAGTTCAAGTTTATATCAGGATGAGTCTCGTTTGCCGGAGTGACCTGGGACAACAAAATGACAAAGGCAAAATATATATATAAAGTACACCAATGAATAAAAATGGAATAAGTGCAAAAACAACCAAATACAATTGATAGCAAAGCAACGACTTTACCACCCGGCCAGATGTATGGGGCATTAACAGAGAATAAATAAGAACTATGTTATTGCAGTGGTTTGATTGCGTTGATGGGTATCTCATTGTGCTTGGTCGCTTGATCGCAGTGGAGCGGGGAGGAGTGGGGTGCAGGACCTGCTGCTCTTCCCTGTGTGTCGCAAGCCAGGGGCTTTCGTCAGTAAACCACCTACGCAGGTGAGCACCCGCTGTGCCCGACAGCCTGATCCTCACAGTAGACCCCCCCCCCCCGAGCCTGCTGCCTGTTGTGAATGCACCCTGCATGATACAGGCACAGTGATATGTGTGAGAATACCTGGGTAAGTGGTAGCGCAGTGGTTAGCGCACTGTGCTTTCAACCCGAGTTCGATTCCCGCTCTGCGACAAAACATCTGACCTGCTCCTGGGTCTCTCCTAGGCTAGCTCAGCTTTAAACGAGTAATTGGTATGGTGTCTAAACATGAACATTGGGGAGACAAAGGCAGCCAGGCATGGTGCTAACTATACCACCTCTATCATCTGCCATGTTGGCCTTTATAGGTGCTCTCTAACAGTACTTGCCCCAACAGTCTGTCAAGGATATAGGGGAATCTTTGGCTTTGTGTTGGGAAGAGCTGCACTTCCTGTGGAATGTAGAGCTACAGGTAAAAGTCGAAGCAGCCCAATCCATATGTGTTCACTCACGACCCATGTTTATTTTCACAGAAACACATTATGGGTAAGTGCTGTTTTGTGTTGGTGTAGTTTATAACTATCTTTTGAAGTGTTTTCAGACACAAATAGGGCATTGTATTTACACCAGCCAACCGCACTTTGAAGATTGTAAAGTGTTTCCTGTGAGAATATCTCCGAGCTCCTCGGCCTGAGTGATCACAACTGCACTGATGCTAAGTGGCACCCTCTATGTTGGAGACCTAATGCTGCTTGTGACACTGGCGAGCTTCGTGATGCGTCTGTAGTGGCCTGCACAGACGCCGTGGCCCGCTCATCAGGGAGCCGCCCGCTTGAGGACCACCTTTGAACAGCTGGAAGTGCTTGAGAGCAGCTCCATTAGAGTGCAGCGCCTGTTATTTCCTGATCCCACTTATTGCACAGGATAGAGCTTTGTGTGTGTAAACATTTATCAACTTAATGGGCAACTCTGTTTAATCTGTCCCAATATAAACCCTCGAGTTGTTTGTTCCTTTGGGTTGCCTGTTGTTTTGTGTCTGCCATAGAAGTTTATGACACCCAGCACTTGGGAGCTTAATTATAACCATGAGGACCCACCCTGGCCCTGACGCCCCTAGCCCTGTCACGTATTGGTGAACCTTTGTTTTTGTAACAAAGTCAAAAAAGCCAAAGTGATTTCCTGTTCAACGAGCATCGAGGCTGTGCGCATCTCCTGTTCACGGCCATTGGTGGAAATTACACTTTTTTATTGCAGGAGGCAAATCTATCCATTGGACAACTGCTGTTAATTTCCCTACAAAGTGGTACTGGTTTTATCAATCCCATAGGGTTGATGGAGTGATTAAACCCACAAACAGGATTTGAACTTGCAACGTTCCAATTACGAACCGCTCGATATGCTACCGAGCCATCTGTTTTTACAGTACAGTTTGTTAATTCACACAAACGCTGTCTATCCATAGCATTGGGATGGCAGGGAAGTGCAGCGGTAACACATTTGCCTCGCAGCCTAGCGATAGCGGTGACATGGTCAAGCGGCAGTGTGTTTACCGCTTGTTGGAGAGGTTTACTATTCAAATCCAGTGGCCACCCTAGTTATTACTGCGGGTGTAACAATTGTGACATACTACTTGCTATGTGCTTTGCATTGGATGCAATAATAGGACATTGGATACTAGAGTCATGGTCCATCTTTGCCAGACTTGAAAAAATGACCTGCAGTTTACTCAATTGGGATTGCACATAGCAACATCGCCCCCGACTGCAAAAACTTCACGGGACCCTCCTGAAACAGTCTTGAGATTGAACGATGCTTGCTTTGGTCACTGATAAAGAACATGCCCTATGAACCCAAGTTGTATTATCGTCGGTGGTTGGACAATAACGCATGTTTCTTGTTTGGAACAACTCGCAGGTGTCCCCGGCACTTGACCTCCCGTTTGCGTCGTTTGTGCGAGAAGCCACGGCAGAAGAGGGTCCCCCCAGCTCTCCGCTCCCCGGGTCCCCTGAGCACAGTGGTCCCCTGGAGTCCCTGCACGGCTCCTTGGGGTCCCCCCATGGATCCCAAATCCTGCATGACGACTTCATCATTGTTGACCTGGTGCAGTTTACGCTTTTCCTGTCTTTTATTTATTTTTGCTGGGAGTTATAGGGACCTAGCGGCAGCGCGTTTATCGCTCGTCACAGATGTTCGCAGTTTAAATCCGGCAACCCGCCCTGTATTAACCACAACATAGTACGCGCTGTCTGCTTCACAGTGGGTATTGAAGATCCCGTGACTTCATTCACATAATTCACGTAAAAATAGGCCAATGTGCTGGCGTTGTGGTCCAAATTTGCCAAACTTGGAAAATTACTTGAAGAAATTGTCGCCCCCTTCTGCGAAAACTTGGCAGGATCCTCCTGAAAGTCTCGCATGTATGTTGAACGTCTTTAACGCTGTACGTAGCAAACCATGCTTTCTTGGGTAAACAAGTGTAAACAATCATTGATGGTAGCTTTTGCAACTGCACAGCGGCCTCTGGACTTATGGTGTTGCTTTAATGACTTTAACACAAAAAAAATTAACCCGTAAAAACATCCTTTATATGCGAGGCGGCTAGAGCCCTCTCGTCCTCTGGCTTGAGATGGCTGCCACCTATGGGTCAGATGATTGTCTGCCAGTCTTAAGCAATTGGTAATAAAATATTTAAAAAAATTCCCTAAACAGTGTAAAATTTGTAGAAATTTTTTTTCACGAAAATTTATTGTCATGCACGAGTCTGTGTGGAAAATGTCAGCTCGATTGGATCACGGGAAGTGGGTTAAAAAACGACCGAAAGATTTGCACGGTCGTAAGCAAGCAAGCACGCAAGCAAGCAAGCGAACTTAATATAAATGATTTAATAATTATACGTCGTGGAGATTATCAATTATTAAGCAGATAATATACCTCCTAGTGTGTGTTTTATAATATTTATATTTGCATCAAACTGGGTCCTATATCGAACAGAGGGGGTCCTGACTATAAACATCCCGCAGTTACACAGCATTGGTTCAAGAAAAAAATACTGCTGATGAGACACTGAAAGTTGAAACTGGTCCAGAGATTTGTGGTGTTTTGCCAATGCTACTGAATTATGATTTCTCATACTGATGGCATGTGTAAAAAAGATATCACTTAATCTTTGTTTACGTGGCAGACTGATATGGGGAGCAGGTTATATTGTATGCTTATTTATTTTCATAACTGGATGCTCGTGGTGCGAGTGGACGAGAACCACCTGACAGAGGTGCGTGTTTGTGCTACAGAAGCCGGCGTTCTCCAAAGATGACCTCCTGCCGATGGACCTTGGATCCTTCTATCGCGAATTTCAGAACCCCCCACCCCTCAGCAGCTTCTGCATTGAGAGCATCACCCAGTCAATGGCGGAGGATTTTGTGAGTAGGCTGCTCTGCTGTAGACAGCTCATGGTGTGACATTGAACTCCTGAGCGCTGTCACATGGGTCACTGCTTGTGAATGAACAGAATATTGCATCATTATTGTACTTATTTACCCAGGAAAGCTTCACTGAGACTCGAGACTCTTTTTCAGGAGGGTCCTGCCAAGTTTTCGCAGCAGAGGGTGATGTGTCTGAGTGTGGTCCTAATTGAACCTAGAAGAAATTCATGCAGCCCATACAGACAGGGACTCGAGTTCGAGACGTGCTGTGGAGAGCAATAGTTTAGCGTTAGCACATCATGCTACAAACCCGGCAAGACCAGATCAATTTCCTGTCACGACCAACGTTGATGATGGATATCTAGACTGGTCCTGGGCCTCCCATAGCTTGACTCAGCCTTAAATACTTGGTGCAGTGTATAAACAGCACGAAGACTGGTGTTGGCCAAACTACACCCTCAAGCGCTGCGCCGACCTTCATGGGTGCTCGCTAAGATAACTTTCCCCAGTAGTCGATTAAGGCTATAGGGGGATCTTTATCTTTGTTTTGTGTGCTCTGTGTGTGCGTTGTGGTACAGGACTCTCTACCGGAGAAGCTGGCTGAATATGAGCGCAGCATGGAGGAGTTTGATTCTTTTGTAGAGACGCTACAATGAAGGCCGGCGTCTACCCACTCTGCCAGCTTCCACTCTATACAGCCGTCCTCCGCCCTCCTCCAACGCTGCCTCGTCACTCAGACCCCGGCGCACACTTAGAGCCGACACTCACCCTTGTCCGTAGCCAAAGCAACGCTTCCCCTCCACTTAGCTCTCATTTACCATTTGACCCCGCTACCTCTGTTAGCTGGGTGCAGTACACTAAGCCCAACGTTAGCTCTAACCCCCAACTTCCTCTTCACTCCGTACTGTGACCCCTGCCACCAACTCGGCAGCGGTGTGCAGCAGCAGCAGTGAAACTTGTGCCTCATTGCAAGGATCTGGGTTCGATTTCTGACTCGGCCACTTTTCTGAGTGGAGTTTGTATGTTCTACCCATGATTTGAATGGATTTCCAGGTTCTCCAGTTTCCTTCCATAGCTAAGAAACACTAAAAATGTGTGTTGGCCAAACATCCCAATGCAGAAAAATTATATGCAAATTGCTTCGTAACGTCACCCCCTAAGAGTAAAGAATTGCCAGGAAAAAGTGTATTGAGACTCAGTCTTCTGGGTGACAAGCATAATGAAAACAATCTAATTTCTGAGCCAGACAAGTCACCCTCACCTTACCCAAGGGGGTGACCCTGAGCCCCCAAATAGATCTGCTCGATCACCACCTCTCCCCATTCCACTGTCCTCTCGGCACATCTCCACAGGTCCCTGAATGGTGTGGCTGGCCCACGCCACGCTGCCACACCTGTGCAACGCATCCCAAAGTTTTGCTCGTGCGAAGTTCATCTGCCAGCATGTAGAATACACAAGCAGCCAGCACAGAGACTGCTCTCTCGGCCGACGCAAAAACCACATGGGGATTAGAGGTCACGGCTGCCCTGGTCTCACGCGCGCAGGAGTCGCTCGAGATGGGCACACTCCCCGTGCCGCTCTCGTTCCGCGGCACGCACCCCATGCAGGATCTCCGCGCGCGTGCGGCACTCGCGACGTGGGTCGGAGTGAACGAGTGGTGCGACATTCACGCCGAGCTTTTCGTTTTGTGCCTGGTCAGGCCAATGGTGAAACCCGCGGTTTGTAGGCGGTTGTCCCGTGAGGCGCGGTTGATGCGACGACGTGCTGCAGAGCGCAGCCCTTGGCGTGTCCTCTGACACCGTTACTTCGTTTCCATGATCGCTTGGAACCAGGTTCTGCTGGGCCAGTATCGGCCGGGGTCATTCTCACTCTCCGTGAGCCATGGGGCTTCACAGTCTCGGTCTCTCCCACTGTTACCATCCACCCTATCCCTCTTCGCCTTGGTGAAGGCCAGGGAGTGAGTTATCTTAAATATGTATATATTTTAACAAAGCTAAACGTAGTCGGTCGTTACGTTATTCTAATTGGTTAATCCATTTGATGACGTTTAACAGAGCACACGTGTGCTCTACTTGGGATCGGCCTGGCTTTTGAGAAGCGAGCCCTAGGGAGCTGCGATTGCAGCGGCCTCGCCGGCTCTGGTACCGGTAGCCAGCACAGTTCCCACTGGCCACGGAAACGAAGCGAATGTAACGAGGTCGTAACCCTCGGGAGGGCTGGGGGGTTTGTGGTTTTCTGCTGACATAGTCCGGGAAGGATCATATTTTTAAAATAACGTCCGGTTTACTCCAGGCATGTAATGTTTAAACAAGAGATGACATGTTTTTGAAAGTTATCCAGCCAATATGCACTTTTGAGGATATTTATTTCCCGTTATTTTAATTCCAATTTGGTTATGATCCAAGAGCAAGTTGGGGAGAGGCCCCTCAGAGAGCATCGCTTTATCGTTTCCTTTGAGCGTCACTCGTGGCCTGTGCACGTTTGTACAATAAACGCCATCGACCTGATAACAATGCCGCTGCCGCATCAGACTTCCTCCTGTCTTCTGTTTGACAAGGCATTGGGAACACTGGTGGTCAGTCGTCTCCTGTCACGCGTCTATAGCTACACCATGGTTACTGTTCTATTAAACCTTGCTCGTCGGTTTATCGACCCCTGTTGAGGACTCGGTCTGCAAGACTGACTGTTTCGTCTCATCCACATTCAAACCACACTGCAGGTCGCCACACCACACTGCAGGTCCCAACACCACACCCGCTCACTCGCCCTCACCACACTGCAAGCCACAACACCACACCCGCTCACTCGCCCTCACCACACTGCAGGTCCCAACACCACACCCGCTCACTCGCCCTCACCACACTGCAGGTCCCAACACCACACCCGCTCACTCGCCCTCACCACACTGCAAGCCACAACACCACACCCGCTCACTCGCCCTCACCACACTGCAGGTCCCAACACCACACCCGCTCACTCGCCCTCACCACACTGCAGGTCCCAACACCACACCCGCTCACTCGCCCTCACCACACTGCAGGTCCCAACACCACACCCGCTCACTCGCCCTCACCACACTGCAAGCCACAACACCACACCCGCTCACTCGCCCTCACCACACTGCAGGTCCCAACACCACACCCGCTCACTCGCCCTCACCACACTGCAGGTCACAACTTTTGTTTCTGCGTCCCTCGCACTGTTCCGCTTTGGGATCCCATCCAATTTTTTATTTTCTCCAAGCTCATAAAAAACCTTGCTCAATTCAAGAAACGTGTTACACACGCGTACATATTACAAGTGTTTATTCGGTGCTGTTTGTTGCTGGCTACTTGACACGTTGGGCCTGTGTTAACAAAGAGGGCAAGTCCAGTCGGGCGAGGTGGGGATCCCAATGCGCTCTAGAATGGGGGTCAGATTGATCCCCGGCGGGCGCTGGAGCGGACACGTGTGCGAGGGCTGCTCAACACGGCGACCGCGTAATGAGGCAGGGGACGCGTTTCTCTCGGGCAGCACAGCGGAGTCCCTTCACAGCCCCCCGCCCCCACGGGCACACGCAGCGAAGATCTGTGGAGGTAGCGCCGTGCAGCTGGAGCCGGCCCCTGCAGGAGGATGTGGAATGTTCCTCGTAATTACGCCGCGGTCCTCGGAGCAGCAGCCGGCTTCCTGTGCTGGCAGGGGCCGCAGGCGGCGTCTGCGGGGCCCGCGGGCCTCTCCACGCCGTGGAGCCATCGCTGGCTTCGCATGGAGGGGGCCGCACTTTCCCCTCGGGCCGGTGGCCCAACCTGCCCGTTGTACAACTTTAGATATTTAGCACACCACCATTATAATTTCATTCACATCATTTTAGATTGTAATCAACGCAGCTAGCTCGTGACTAAATCTGCTGATTGCTGACATTGGTAACGGCATCATGCAATGCATACCAATTTACATTTATTAAATGTTATTGGTACATGCTGGTCCGCTGAGCTTGTAGGTTTTGCTCGTGGCCCACGGGTCCAGAAAGATTGTGAACGACAGTAGCTCTGGGTGCGGGTGAAGCGCCCCGTGCCGGAGCTGTTGCTGATGGACGCACCAGCCGAATATCCGCTTCGCCAGTCGTGTCCTGCTCCGCTCATTCAGCCGGTAGAACTGGCTCCGTGGGAGAGGGAGGGGGTCGTTGTCAGGGCACAGTGGCTGCCAGTGTGTGGAGAGGAGATGTTGGGTTGGGGGGGGGATCCACGCGGGGTGTTTGTTTTCCAAGGCCTGAGCGGCCTGGGCACGGGGCCGCGATGGGGGGAGGGGAGGCCGCCCCTTCACTCGTGTTTGTTTATCCACCATTCGCTGCAGCACTGTGCAAAGGCGAACGCAACTGCTCATTACGCATGAAAAGCCAAACATTGTATGGCTGACGGTGCGGTCATCTCTCTGCAGGGCAGGGCTGCCCAGAGGGGGGAGGCAGTTTCCGCTGGGCTTCAGAAAATAGGGCCCCACAGCGGCCTGTGCTTTTGTGAATGAATGAGGGGGCCCACGTGGCCTTTTGCCGAGTGCCTCCCAGAACCTCTGAGCGCCCCCGTCTCGAGTGGCGTTCGCAAGAAGGGGGGCGGTGGCGTCGCCCCAACCCCCGCGCCTCTGAATCCACGGGCTTGAGTTGGACCTCAAAGGCCGCGCCAACACCGCGTGCGAAAGCAGTTCCACATACATATGTAGAGAGCGACTTCCGACACACGTCTAGGAGAAGGCTTCTTGTTTTTTAATGCACACAGGGCGATACACTTCGTCACGCGGCTCCCCATCTCCATCCTGCGTCGCTACGCTGGCTAGTTGACGAGCGTAGCGGCGGTGACGGAGCTGGTCTCGGGCACGAGCAGGAGGAGGCGAAGAGATGCCGACGGCAGCGACACAACGAACAGCCCCGAAGCTCTGGCTCGGTGCTCCTTATATCTGCCGGGCATGGCCAAGCTCCATTTCTAGCCACACCCCCTTTCTAGAACCTTCGAGACCCTTCGGGATTGTCCCCGGAGCTTCTCGACTGGCTCCGCCCTTGACCTTTACCCCAGATGCGCCTCCTTGTAATCAGCCATTATTCCATGCAGCTATAACCGTAATTACCCTGACAGGCCGGCAGGTGTCACCCTGTCATTACACATACAAGGAGGCCTCAGTTGTAATGACAGTGAGAGCACAACGAGGTTCCTTATCTCCTCCTGCAAGTGAAGATAGGGGCCAGCTGTTGTCTGGCTGTTGAGTTGAGGTCTGTCGGCTGTTTGGGATGCTTTATATATTAAAATAGTTGCTAGGCACAGGCCCAAGACGTCAAGCGGCCAGCAATAAACAGAACTATCATCGTAATAGATAATGGTGTCACTCGTGTGTTGAATGGAGAAAGGTTTTACAAGCTTGGGAAAAGAGGTGGGAGGGAATTACAAAGTGCAGCAGTGTCACAGAAGGAGACAGAGATGTGTTGTGAGCTGCGAGTGGGTGAGTGGGTGAGTTGTGAGCTGCAAGTGTGGTGAGTGAGTGTGTTGTGAGCTGTAAGTGTGGTGAGTGAGTGAGTGTGTTGTGAGCTGCAAGTGTGGTGAGTGAGTGTGTTGTGAGCTGTAAGTGTGGTGAGTGAGTGAGTGAGTGTGTTGTGAGCTGTAAGTGTGGTGAGTGGGTGAGTGAGTGTGTTGTGAGCTGCAAGTGTGGTGAGTGGGTGAGTTGTGAGCTGCAAGTGTGGTGAGTGGGTGAGTGAGTGTGTTGTGAGCTGCAAGTGTGGTGAGTGGGTGAGTTGTGAGCTGCAAGTGTGGTGAGTGGGTGAGTTGTGAGCTGCAAGTGTGGTGAGTGGGTGAGTGAGTGTGTTGTGAGCTGCAAGTGTGGTGAGTGGGTGAGTTGTGAGCTGCAAGTGTGGTGAGTGGGTGAGTTGTGAGCTGCAAGTGTGGTGAGTGGGTGAGTGAGTGTGTTGTGAGCTGCAAGTGTGGTGAGTGGGTGAGTTGTGAGCTGCAAGTGTGGTGAGTGGGTGAGTGAGTGTGTTGTGAGCTGCAAGTGTGGTGAGTGGGTGAGTTGTGAGCTGCAAGTGTGGTGAGTGGGTGAGTTGTGAGCTGCAAGTGTGGTGAGTGGGTGAGTGAGTGTGTTGTGAGCTGCAAGTGTGGTGAGTGGGTGAGTTGTGAGCTGCAAGTGTGGTGAGTGGGAGAGTGAGTGTGTTGTGAGCTGCGAGTGTGGTGAGTGAGTGAGTGTGTTGTGAGCTGCAAGTGTGGTGAGTGGGTGAGTGAGTGTGTTGTGAGCTGCAAGTGTGGTGAGTGGGTGAGTGAGTGTGTTGTGAGCTGCAAGTGTGGTGAGTGGGTGAGTAAGTGTGTTGTGAGCTGCAAGTGTGGTGAGTGAGTGTGTTGTGAGCTGCAAGTGTGGTGAGTGGGAGAGTGAGTGTGTTGTGAGCTGCGAGTGTGGTGAGTGAGTGTGTTGTGAGCTGCAAGTGTGGTGAGTGGGTGAGTTGTGAGCTGCAAGTGTGGTGAGTGGGTGAGTGAGTGTGTTGTGAGCTGCAAGTGTGGTGAGTGGGTGAGTTGTGAGCTGCAAGTGTGGTGAGTGGGTGAGTTGTGAGCTGCAAGTGTGGTGAGTGGGTGAGTGAGTGTGTTGTGAGCTGCAAGTGTGGTGAGTGGGTGAGTTGTGAGCTGCAAGTGTGGTGAGTGGGAGAGTGAGTGTGTTGTGAGCTGCGAGTGTGGTGAGTGAGTGAGTGTGTTGTGAGCTGCAAGTGTGGTGAGTGGGTGAGTGAGTGTGTTGTGAGCTGCAAGTGTGGTGAGTGGGTGAGTGAGTGTGTTGTGAGCTGCAAGTGTGGTGAGTGGGTGAGTAAGTGTGTTGTGAGCTGCAAGTGTGGTGAGTGGGAGAGTGAGTGTGTTGTGAGCTGCGAGTGTGGTGAGTGAGTGTGTTGTGAGCTGCAAGTGTGGTGAGTGGGTGAGTGAGTGTGTTGTGAGCTGCAAGTGTGGTGAGTGGGTGAGTGAGTGTGTTGTGAGCTGCAAGTGTGGTGAGTGAGTGTGTTGTGAGCTGCAAGTGTGGTGAGTGGGTGAGTGAGTGTGTTGTGAGCTGCAAGTGTGGTGAGTGGGTGAGTGAGTGTGTTGTGAGCTGCGAGTGTGGTGAGTGGGTGAGTGAGTGTGTTGTGAGCTGCAAGTGTGGTGAGTAAGTGTGTTGTGAGCTGCAAGTGTGGTGAGTGGGTGAGTGAGTGTGTTGTGAGCTGCAAGTGTGGTGAGTGGGTGAGTAAGTGTGTTGTGAGCTGCAAGTGTGGTGAGTGGGAGAGTGAGTGTGTTGTGAGCTGCGAGTGTGGTGAGTGAGTGTGTTGTGAGCTGCAAGTGTGGTGAGTGGGTGAGTGAGTGTGTTGTGAGCTGCAAGTGTGGTGAGTGGGTGAGTGAGTGTGTTGTGAGCTGCAAGTGTGGTGAGTGAGTGTGTTGTGAGCTGCAAGTGTGGTGAGTGGGTGAGTGAGTGTGTTGTGAGCTGCAAGTGTGGTGAGTGGGTGAGTGAGTGTGTTGTGAGCTGCGAGTGTGGTGAGTGAGTGTGTTGTGAGCTGCAAGTGTGGTGAGTGGGTGAGTTGTGAGCTGCAAGTGTGGTGAGTGGGTGAGTGAGTGTGTTGTGAGCTGCGAGTGTGGTGAGTGAGTGTGTTGTGAGCTGCAAGTGTGGTGAGTGGGTGAGTGAGTGTGTTGTGAGCTGCAAGTGTGGTGAGTGGGTGAGTGAGTGTGTTGTGAGCTGCGAGTGTGGTGATTGAGTGTGTTGTGAGCTGCAAGTGTGGTGAGTGGGTGAGTGAGTGTGTTGTGAGCTGCAAGTGTGGTGAGTGGGTGAGTGAGTGTGTTGTGAGCTGCGAGTGTGGTGAGTGAGTGTGTTGTGAGCTGCAAGTGTGGTGAGTGAATGAGTGTGTTGTGAGCTGCAAGTGTGGTGAGTGGGTGAGTGAGTGTGTTGTGAGCTGCAAGTGTGGTGAGTGAATGAGTGTGTTGTGAGCTGCAAGTGTGGTGAGTGGGTGAGTGAGTGTGTTGTGAGCTGCGAGTGTGGTGAGTGAATGAGTGTGTTGTGAGCTGTAAGTGTGGTGAGTGAGTGTGTTGTGAGCTGCGAGTGTGGTGAGTGAGTGAGTGTGTTGTGAGCTGTAAGTGTGGTGAGTGGGTGTGTTGTGAGCTGTAAGTGTGGTGAGTGAGTGTGTTGTGAGCTACAAGTGTGGTGAGTGGGTGAGTGAGTGTGTTGTGAGCTGCAAGTGTGGTGAGTGGGTGAGTGAGTGTGTTGTGAGCTGCGAGTGTGGTGAGTGAGTGTGTTGTGAGCTGCAAGTGTGGTGAGTGGGTGAGTGTGTTGTGAGCTGCAAGTGTGGTGAGTGAGTGTGTTGTGAGCTACAAGTGTGGTGAGTGGGTGAGTGAGTGTGTTGTGAGCTGCGAGTGTGGTGAGTGAATGAGTGTGTTGTGAGCTGTAAGTGTGGTGAGTGAGTGAGTGAGTGTGTTGTGAGCTGTAAGTGTGGTGAGTGGGTGAGTGAGTGTGTTGTGAGCTGCAAGTGTGGTGAGTGGGTGAGTTGTGAGCTGCAAGTGTGGTGAGTGGGTGAGTGAGTGTGTTGTGAGCTGCAAGTGTGGTGAGTGGGTGAGTTGTGAGCTGCAAGTGTGGTGAGTGGGTGAGTTGTGAGCTGCAAGTGTGGTGAGTGGGTGAGTGAGTGTGTTGTGAGCTGCAAGTGTGGTGAGTGGGTGAGTTGTGAGCTGCAAGTGTGGTGAGTGGGTGAGTTGTGAGCTGCAAGTGTGGTGAGTGGGTGAGTGAGTGTGTTGTGAGCTGCAAGTGTGGTGAGTGGGTGAGTTGTGAGCTGCAAGTGTGGTGAGTGGGTGAGTGAGTGTGTTGTGAGCTGCAAGTGTGGTGAGTGGGTGAGTTGTGAGCTGCAAGTGTGGTGAGTGGGTGAGTTGTGAGCTGCAAGTGTGGTGAGTGGGTGAGTGAGTGTGTTGTGAGCTGCAAGTGTGGTGAGTGGGTGAGTTGTGAGCTGCAAGTGTGGTGAGTGGGAGAGTGAGTGTGTTGTGAGCTGCGAGTGTGGTGAGTGAGTGAGTGTGTTGTGAGCTGCAAGTGTGGTGAGTGGGTGAGTGAGTGTGTTGTGAGCTGCAAGTGTGGTGAGTGGGTGAGTGAGTGTGTTGTGAGCTGCAAGTGTGGTGAGTGGGTGAGTAAGTGTGTTGTGAGCTGCAAGTGTGGTGAGTGAGTGTGTTGTGAGCTGCAAGTGTGGTGAGTGGGAGAGTGAGTGTGTTGTGAGCTGCGAGTGTGGTGAGTGAGTGTGTTGTGAGCTGCAAGTGTGGTGAGTGGGTGAGTTGTGAGCTGCAAGTGTGGTGAGTGGGTGAGTGAGTGTGTTGTGAGCTGCAAGTGTGGTGAGTGGGTGAGTTGTGAGCTGCAAGTGTGGTGAGTGGGTGAGTTGTGAGCTGCAAGTGTGGTGAGTGGGTGAGTGAGTGTGTTGTGAGCTGCAAGTGTGGTGAGTGGGTGAGTTGTGAGCTGCAAGTGTGGTGAGTGGGAGAGTGAGTGTGTTGTGAGCTGCGAGTGTGGTGAGTGAGTGAGTGTGTTGTGAGCTGCAAGTGTGGTGAGTGGGTGAGTGAGTGTGTTGTGAGCTGCAAGTGTGGTGAGTGGGTGAGTGAGTGTGTTGTGAGCTGCAAGTGTGGTGAGTGGGTGAGTAAGTGTGTTGTGAGCTGCAAGTGTGGTGAGTGGGAGAGTGAGTGTGTTGTGAGCTGCGAGTGTGGTGAGTGAGTGTGTTGTGAGCTGCAAGTGTGGTGAGTGGGTGAGTGAGTGTGTTGTGAGCTGCAAGTGTGGTGAGTGGGTGAGTGAGTGTGTTGTGAGCTGCAAGTGTGGTGAGTGAGTGTGTTGTGAGCTGCAAGTGTGGTGAGTGGGTGAGTGAGTGTGTTGTGAGCTGCAAGTGTGGTGAGTGGGTGAGTGAGTGTGTTGTGAGCTGCGAGTGTGGTGAGTGGGTGAGTGAGTGTGTTGTGAGCTGCAAGTGTGGTGAGTAAGTGTGTTGTGAGCTGCAAGTGTGGTGAGTGGGTGAGTGAGTGTGTTGTGAGCTGCAAGTGTGGTGAGTGGGTGAGTAAGTGTGTTGTGAGCTGCAAGTGTGGTGAGTGGGAGAGTGAGTGTGTTGTGAGCTGCGAGTGTGGTGAGTGAGTGTGTTGTGAGCTGCAAGTGTGGTGAGTGGGTGAGTGAGTGTGTTGTGAGCTGCAAGTGTGGTGAGTGGGTGAGTGAGTGTGTTGTGAGCTGCAAGTGTGGTGAGTGAGTGTGTTGTGAGCTGCAAGTGTGGTGAGTGGGTGAGTGAGTGTGTTGTGAGCTGCAAGTGTGGTGAGTGGGTGAGTGAGTGTGTTGTGAGCTGCGAGTGTGGTGAGTGAGTGTGTTGTGAGCTGCAAGTGTGGTGAGTGGGTGAGTTGTGAGCTGCAAGTGTGGTGAGTGGGTGAGTGAGTGTGTTGTGAGCTGCGAGTGTGGTGAGTGAGTGTGTTGTGAGCTGCAAGTGTGGTGAGTGGGTGAGTGAGTGTGTTGTGAGCTGCAAGTGTGGTGAGTGGGTGAGTGAGTGTGTTGTGAGCTGCGAGTGTGGTGATTGAGTGTGTTGTGAGCTGCAAGTGTGGTGAGTGGGTGAGTGAGTGTGTTGTGAGCTGCAAGTGTGGTGAGTGGGTGAGTGAGTGTGTTGTGAGCTGCGAGTGTGGTGAGTGAGTGTGTTGTGAGCTGCAAGTGTGGTGAGTGAATGAGTGTGTTGTGAGCTGCAAGTGTGGTGAGTGGGTGAGTGAGTGTGTTGTGAGCTGCAAGTGTGGTGAGTGAATGAGTGTGTTGTGAGCTGCAAGTGTGGTGAGTGGGTGAGTGAGTGTGTTGTGAGCTGCGAGTGTGGTGAGTGAATGAGTGTGTTGTGAGCTGTAAGTGTGGTGAGTGAGTGTGTTGTGAGCTGCGAGTGTGGTGAGTGAGTGAGTGTGTTGTGAGCTGTAAGTGTGGTGAGTGGGTGTGTTGTGAGCTGTAAGTGTGGTGAGTGAGTGTGTTGTGAGCTACAAGTGTGGTGAGTGGGTGAGTGAGTGTGTTGTGAGCTGCAAGTGTGGTGAGTGGGTGAGTGAGTGTGTTGTGAGCTGCGAGTGTGGTGAGTGAGTGTGTTGTGAGCTGCAAGTGTGGTGAGTGGGTGAGTGTGTTGTGAGCTGCAAGTGTGGTGAGTGAGTGTGTTGTGAGCTACAAGTGTGGTGAGTGGGTGAGTGAGTGTGTTGTGAGCTGCGAGTGTGGTGAGTGGGTGAGTGAGTGTGTTGTGAGCTGCGAGTGTGGTGAGTGAGTGTGTTGTGAGCTACAAGTGTGGTGGGTGGGTGAGTGTGTTGTGAGCTGCAAGTGTGGTGAGTGAGTGTGTTGTGAGCTGCGAGTGTGGTGAGTGAGTGTGTTGTGAGCTGCAGTGTGGTGGGTGAGTGAGAGTGTTGTGAGCTGTAAGTGTGGTGAGTGAGTGAGAGTGTTGTGAGCTACAAGTGTGGTGGGTGAGTGAGTGTGTTGTGAGCTGCGAGTGTGGTGAGTGAGTGAGTGGGTTGTGAGCTGTAAGTGTGGTGGGTGGGTGGGTGAGTGTGTTGTGAGCTGTAAGTGTGGTGGGTGGGTGAGAGTGTTGTGAGCTGCAGTGTGGTGGGTGAGTGAGTGTGTTGTGAGCTGTAAGTGTGGTGGGTGGGTGGGTGAGTGTGTTGTGAGCTGTTAGTGTGGTGGGTGAGTGAGTGTGTTGTGAGCTGCAATGTGGTGGGTGGGTGAGTGTGTTGTGAGCTGCAGTGTGGTGGGTGAGTGAGTGTGTTGTGAGCTGTAAGTGTGGTGAGTGAGTGTGTTGTGAGCTGCAGTGTGGTGGGTGGGTGAGTGTGTTGTGAGCTCAGTGTGGTGGGTGGGTGAGTGAGTGTGTTGTGAGCTGCAGTGTGGTGGGTGAGTGAGTGTGTTGTGAGCTGTAAGTGTGGTGAGTGAGTGAGTGTGTTGTGAGCTGCAGTGTGGTGGGTGGGTGAGTGTGTTGTGAGCTCAGTGTGGTGGGTGGGTGAGTGAGTGTGTTGTGAGCTGTAAGTGTGGTGGGTGGGTGAGTGAGTGTGTTGTGAGCTACAAGTGTGGTGGGTGAGTGAGTAAGTGTGTTGTGAGCTCAGTGTGGTGGGTGAGGACAGTATGGATGAGACGAAACAGAGTCCGATCGACTGAGGCTCAACAAGGGTGGAGGAATCACTAAGGAGGCAAGCGACTGGAGTAAATTAGTCAGTTCTGGATCATCAATCAGTCTGACCACTTACGTTGAATTCTCTCCGAGTGCAGCGAGGTAACAGGATATGGTGCTGGGTGCGTGACGCTTATAATCGAGTGGAAGTCCACGGAGTCTGTGCAGGGCGCTGCGAGGTTCAGGTACCGTTCCCCTTGGTGTGGGGGGCAGGGCTGGGGCCAGACGAGGGGGGGGGGGGCGCGGGGGGACACGGGGTCTGCTTCTATCATCATCCAGCCGGAGCGTCACACGCAGCCTGGCGCTGTGGGTAATTACAGCGGCTGCTTGGAGGATGGGGATGGGTGGGTGAGTGAGTATGAGGGTGTATCAGCGAGGGGGTGTGTGAGAGCGTGTGTCAATGTCGGCGCGGGTGCGAACGGGAGAGGTGTTTTAGTGGTCGGCGCACTGCGCTCGGAAGCCAGGAAACCGATTCCTAAAACCTCAGCGCTGGGGATACAAATACAGGCAGGCGCTTTGCCGGTCTTAATAGGTGTTCGTTAACAGCTCTTCCCTCAACAAACTGTTACACGGGAGATCAGAGTTGTGTTTGTAAGGAAGCGTGAGTGCGTGTGTCTCCCCACCAGGAGTGGTTTCCTGTCCTCATCGCGAGCCGCCGCAGTTCGCGCCCTGCCCGGGCTCGCCGCGACCCGCGCGCTCCGCCAAATGAAGTCCTGATTATCGCGAGCACGTGAGCATGGACGATTAAGGAGACGCGGGGGAGTGGGGAAGCGAGGGGTCGGTGGAACGCGGTCCGGGAGGTGCGGCGTTGTGTATGGAGCCGGGCAGCGCGCACGGGGCGCGGACTCGCTCGGGTCCGCAACTCCGAGTGGCCGAGCGGCGCGTCCCCTGCGCTGCGGGGCGGCGGGGACGCGTGCAGGCGCGGGGCTCCGGGTGCCGTGGGGCGACGCCGCGCGGAGCCTCGCGGAGACTCGCCGAGTCCGGCTCGGAGCAGCCTCGCGTCGCGCAGATGGGACCCGGACTCCTCCACGCGGCCGTCGCCGCGCTGCTTGCGTGCGCGGCGCTGCTGGGCGCACACACGGCCGCTTCCACCGCCACCACTACCGCCGCCACCGCCGCCACGGCGGGGGGCCTCAACCCCGCGCCCCCCTTTCCCGGGACGCCGTACCCCGGGGAGGTGTCGGCCTTCTCCGCCGCGCGCACTCGCAGCCAGATCGGTGGCCCGCGCCTCGCGGTGACCTTCGACCGCGTGTTCGTGAACCTGGGCCAGGACTTCAGCGCCGAGTCCGGCGCGTTCACGTGCCGCGTGCCGGGCGCCTACTACTTCGCCTTCACCGTGGGCAAGTACCCGCGGAAGCTGCTCTCCGTGATGCTCGTCAAGAACCGCGACGAGGTGCAGGTCATGGTGTACGACGACCACCGGCGCGGCGAGCGCAAGACGCAGAGCCAGAGCGTGATGCTGCTGCTGCGGCGCGGCGAGCGCGTGTGGCTCCGCCTGCACGGGGAGCCGAGCTACGCGCTCTACAGCAGCGCGGGGCCCTACACCACCTTCACCGGCTACCTGGTCTACGCCGCTCCGTCGGGCGACTCGGAGCCCGTGGCCGGCACCACCGCTCTCCCTGCTCCCGCCGCCCCCCGCGCGCCTCGCGCCGCTCCGCTCGTGGTTCCCTCTCCTCCCGCGCCGTCTCCCCCTCCTGTCCCCCCTCTTCTCCGGGAGCCGCGCTCCCCCGCCGTCAGGTCGGCCTTCTCCGCGGCTCGCACCTCGAGTCTCGCGGCAGCGGCGAGGGCGAGCGCGGCGGCGCGCGCCCTGAGCTTCGACGCGCAGCTCGTGGACATTGGCGGCGACTTCGACGCGGGGTCGGGCGTGTTCACGTGCCGCGTGCCGGGCCTCTACTTCTTCGCCTTCACCGTGGCCAAGGCGCCGGGACTGGGCGTCTCCGTGGCGCTCATGCGCAACCGAGACGCCATGGAGGCGGTCATCGGAGACAGCAGCCGATCGGCGCGCCGCGAGATGCAGAGCCAGAGCGCGCTGCTGCGGCTGGACGCGCGCGACCGCGTGTGGCTCCACGCGCCCGCGCACCCGCGCCTCGGCCTCTACAGCAACGCGGGCCGCTGCGTCACCTTCTCTGGGATGCTGCTGCTGCCGCTCGCCGGCCACTGACCCCCCCCCCCACCCTCGACCCACCAGCACCTCGAGCTGCCGGGAAAACTGGGACGGAGTGGGGGGGGGAACGTCGGTGGGGGGGGGGGGGTGATACTCCGGACTGAGAGATCGGGGTGAAGTGAGCAGAGCCCCCCTACCCACGTGGAGCTGCTCGCCCGGCGGTCTTCATCAGCAGCAGCACCGAGAGGACAGACAGTGAGCAGAGTGGACAGCACAGAGAGTACAGCAGCAGTGGACACAGCATAGGGAGTACAGCAGCAGTGGGCACAGAGTACAGCAGCAGAGTGGACACAGCACAGAGAGTACAGCAGCAGAGTGGGAACAGCACAGGGAGTACAGCACAGAGAGTACAGCAGCAGTGGGCACAGCACAGAGAGTACAGCAGCAGTGGGCACAGCACAGCACAGAGAGTACAGCACAGAGAGTACAGCACTGGACACGGTGCGCAGGGACGCGCGGCCACGTGGGCGGCGCAGCCTCCTCCTGCTCGTGCCCGATCCCCTGCGCTATCGGGCTGAGACACGCGCGCTCCTTTGCACCGTGTGTGCATCATGCACGAGAACTATCCAGGCACAACCCTGCTTTTTGATGTCTTAAATAGTCCAGTAGTATTAAAACAAATGTTATTTTTCTTCATTGTATATGTTATTTATTTTTCTTACATTGTGCGTTATTAAGTACTGTATACGTGTAATTGATTGCTGTTGGAGCGATAAGTCTAGCAATATATCGAAGTCCGTGCTCTCCGGCTGTCTGTGTGGCTGTGGCCGTGTCTAATCCTGCCGTAGCCCGGGTCACAAACTCGGCACACAAAAAGATCTGGCAAGCTCAGGCGCATTGCTGGTGATTTTGTCGTAAGCGACATTAAGGATACAACGTAAATAAATACACGGAATCGACACAATGTGCAGTTCACTTTTCCACAAAGAGAAAACGTGCGAGTTCAGCATCCTTGCGCGGCCATTCCGGATTAATGACATCCAACAGCGTCTATTGAAGCAGAAAATAAAATGAGCCACTGTCGACCTTCTGCGTCTTATCAGCAGGGTCAGGCTTGTGAAACCAATGCTGCTCTTTCTCGATGTTGTCGCCACGAGCAGCACTCCACGTGCATGATGGGGCCCTGTTCAGCACACATTGATTCACTGGTTCATGATTTCCAATCCGCGTGTAACTTGAACATCAAACAGAGCGCATGGTTGAGCAATTATTTACAGCACATCAAAACAAGCGAGTTCCTTTTTCCAAATTAAACGTTGCATCTACAGGGCGCGACCTCACCCGGAGACTCGACAAACATTCTTTCTTGTTAAGAGAATCAAACAGCTCTCCGACCACCGCCTCGCTGCCATCTACGAGTTTTAGAGAAACAGCCACTGAGCGATGCCTATTTGTATTCTTGGTTCTTTCGGTAAAGTCACCTAGATATGAAGTAAAAAATAACAAAATAGATTATTTTTAATACATTGAAAATAATAAAAGCAAAAAACCCACGGAGTTTCGATCGCAACGCAAGCGGTCTATCGACGTGACTTTACCGAAAGAAACACAAAAGTTTTAAGTCAAAATGTAGTGGCTATTTGGTGAATGCAAAGAATGGGGACTGCACGCCATTCGTCATCATCCGTCCATATAACGCGGCGAAGGGACACAAACTGCGAGCGCGGGCATTGCATCGGTAGCATGACTGAATAATCATTATCATGGGTTTGCTCGTTAGAGGCCCCACGTGTGTGTGTGTGGAGCTGTGTGATCGGAGCGGCGGGCTGTTTCCTGGATGAATGGGAGCTCGCACGATGCCACCTGTTCTGCGGAATGTGAGAGCGAGGGAGGGAGGAAGGAAGGAAGGGGCCTCTGGTGTGGAAACGCAGCCCAGCAATCGATCAATTGCGACGCCTCCATCGCAGCTGATGGATGTGACCCCTACGAGCACTCGCTCCCTGGTCTCCCCTCTGGTTACACACAGGCCGGCACCATCTCCCTCACTCCTCTCCTCACGCCTCTCCCGGTCTCTCCCCGTTTCCCCCCTGTCTCTATCTCACTGTCACTCACTATGTCCCCCGTCTCACATCTCTCCCCATGTTTCTCCTTCTCTTCTTCTGTCCTCCCTCTGTCTCTGCTTGCCTCTCCTCGTCTTCCCCTGTCTCCCTGTCTCCATGCCTCTCTTCGTCTCTCCGTATCCCTCCATATCTCTCCGTATCCCTCCCTCTCTACCAGTGGCTTCTCCTCTGGCTTCTGTCTCTCTCGTTGTGTCTCCCTATTTCCACGTCTCCCTCTGTATCTCCATGTATCTCCTCTGACCCCCCTGTCTCTCAATGTATCTCCCCTGTCCCCCTGTATCTCCATGTATCTCCCCTGTCCCCCTGTATCTCCATGTATCTCCCCTGACCCCCCTGTCTCTCCATCCCTCCGCGTCTCCCTCCCCCCAGATGTTGTTTGTGCCGCGCCACGCGCTTTGAAACCGATCCCAATCCCAGCGCTCCTGCGCTCGGGGCCCGCCGCTTATCTCTTATCGTTGCGCGTTGTTGCCTCTGCTTATCGGAGCTGATGCCCCTTTCGCAACGGTCGCCTCCTCTGCGAGAGTCGCTAATGTTTAACGAGGCGCCGCATCGAGACGAGTAGCAAGGGGAGGAGAGGACTCGGGGAGAGCTCATTGCGAGCCCGGAGCGAGCGAGGAGCAGATGATGATGCTGCTGCCCGCTGCGAGGAGGATGATCGTGGCGGTGGTTATGGCGACGGTGGCCATGGCGATGATCCACGCGACTCAGGGGGCGCAAGGTGAGACTCATGGATTAGCCCCCCATGCACCCCCCCCCCACCAGGTACCTCCCATTTAAATCCCTGACTCGCAAGATTATGCAGAGCTCTCGGTTCTTTATGGAACTTCCCTGGCGGTTGTATTTGGCACGCACGTCATCCTTGTCTGCGTACACACTCCATAAATAATCACCATGATCTATTGTTATGTTTCTGTAATTGAATGATGGTGTCACGATGATCTGAATCATCAGAATGTATTTATACCGATGGGTGGTGAATTCGCGCTGACGGGCAACGGCGTCGCGGTGATGTGTGCTGATGTGTGCAGTGTTCCTGGACCGGCCCGTGGCATCGCGCGTGCTGCAGCCGCGTACTCGCAGGGCCAACTCGTTCCTGGAGGAGCGGCTCCAGGGGAACCTGGAGCGCGAGTGTCTCGAGGAGACCTGCAGCCACGAGGAGGCGCGCGAGGTCTACGAGAACGACGCCGGCACGGTGCGCCCCCCCCCCCCCCACACTCACTCGCCGCGTGGCCCGGGCAGAGACTGTGAAGGCCGGCACGGTGCGCCCCCCCCCCACACTCACTCACTCCCCACGTGGCCCGGGCAGAGACTGTGAAGGCCGGCACGGTACGCGCCCACCCCCCCACACTCACTCGCCGCGTGGCCCGCGCAGAGACTGGCGGGGCAAGTGCTGGCAGCGAATAGCACCCCTGAAGGCCGGCGCTGTGGCACACGAGAGAGTGGGTGGCCAACACAACTCCCGGCCGCCTTTGTCTCCCCAGTGGCGATGTTTACACACCGCACCAGATACTCATTTTAGGCTGAGTCGCCATAAGGGAGGCCCAGGACCGGTTCCGATAATCGTCAATCGTCTTGGCCGTGAGCGGGAATGGAACTCGGTTGGTGCTACAGTGCGTGGCGACACAGGGAGCCGCCAGGCTGCTGCTTGGGAGTCGCCGGTGGCCAGTAAGTTCTTCTCAGTTTTCGGAGTCGTTTTCACGAGGGCTGTGCTCCACTTGAGCGCCCATTGCTCTACGGTGTAATGTTACAAAGGTGGCAGATCTAGAGCATGGCGCCGGCACACAGTGGCCGACTCTTCCTCGGATGACGCCACGGGATCTCTGAGCCGACGGCGCGTCGTGTCTTTATGGCTAAATACTCACCGCGGTATTAACCGGGGGGGGGGGCGGCGGGGTGGCACGATGGATTCGAACCGCGATCATTCGCAGCAAGCGGCGAGTCGCCTCCCGTCGGGCCACGTCGCCGCCTGCGTGCGTGAGTCGCCAGACGCAGCAGCAGCAGCAGTGCCGAGTTTACTCTCTGGGTGTCATGTTTGCCAGTGAGCGACACGAGGTCACGCGTGACGAGGGTCGCTCACTGGCGTCTGTCCACGCGAACTAACGGCGATGTCCCCCCAACAGGCGGCGTTCTGGAACCAGTACAAAGGTAGGCGGCTCTCTCGCCACGCACACATGTCGCAGCGGTGACACTCACGTCTCGAAGCGAGGGTTCGATTCCTGACAAGGGCACCTTTCTTTGTGGGGGTTGCCTGTTCTCCCCCTACTCAACATCGCTTTCCTTTGGCTTCTCCAATTTCCTCCCAGAGCTAAAACAAATCCTACAATGTAACCGGTATTGGCCACACATCCCAATTCCGAGTATTGCGCAATGCAAGATTCCCCCACTTGTGTGCGCTTGGCAGAAGCCTGCTGGAAGAGTCTTGAGACTCCGCTAGGAGCTTTCCTCGGGAAACAAGGACAAGCGTAATAACAACAACATGCAAAGCACACACGTGTACGCACGGTCCCAGCGTTCGCTGTGTGCGTGCAGGATGCAACGTGGACAATATTCGGAGCCACATGGAGCTGTTCCGCCGCTGCCTGAAGGGTGAGAGACGCCGCCACGACATTCAGCTGTCGCGGCGACACGTGGCACACAGCGGCACGCACCTGCACGCAGCTGCACACGCGGACAGCGTGTCCGTGCAGAAACCACGATGTGCAGTCTTCTCTCTCTGTGCAGCCATCCCTCACCACGTAAAGCTACCTCTGTCTGCGTGGCGTGCAGGGCTGTGCATCACCGGCAATGGAGAGCAGTACATCGGCAACGTTTCCATCACCAAGTCGGGCCGCCAGTGTCAGCTGTGGACCAGCAACTTCCCGCACCAAGTGCGGTAAGGGCCGCACCCCCAGGTCCTCTGTCTGGTCGCACTGGGGTCATTCAAGTTGATTACTGCTGCACTGTCAGTAACCGCACGCACTTCGGTGACCTTTTCTGGGAGTGATCGCCGGTTCTCTTGAACGACACAACCGCCGCCTGCAGCACGGCCACCGCCACCGTGTTGAGCGCCGTCTTCCCTGCGCTGTCTCCCCTGCGTCGTCTCCCGTGCGTCGTCTCCCGTGCGCCTGCCTGCGTGGTTGGGAGCGGTGACGCAGCGCGCTGCTCTGCGAACCCGGCAACGCGGCTTCTATTCCCACTCGTGGTCAACAATCAGTGACGAATATTAGAATCGGTTCTGGGCCTCCCCGAGGTTAACTCGGCCTTAAATGAATACCTGCTGCAGTGTGTAAACGTCAGATTTGGGTGACAAAGGTGGTCGAGCGTGGTGCTGGTCATCCACCCCGTCGTGTGCCGTGGCCGGCCTTCGTACGTGCTACTTGATAACGACACTTGCCCCTAAGTGGGCTACACGAGGGATCTGTGCCTTTGTTGTGCCGCCACGGACAGATTCAAGCCCGTCGATCACCCTGAGAAGCAGCTGGTGGAGAATTTCTGCCGTAACCCGGACGCGTCCCAGGACGGGCCGTGGTGCTACACACGCGACCCGCTGGTGCCACGTGAGCCCTGCTCCGTGCCCAGCTGCGGTGAGTGCCCTTTGCTGCCCGCGTGGAATTGCATCGTGACCCCCATGTACTAGGAACCTGAACCAGGGGGTCAAAATACTCCACCTTGTGGTCAACCACCACACTGCAGCTCACAACACCCACTCACTCATCCACCCACTCACTCGTCACACTGCAGGTCATCACACTTCTCTCTCCGCTTCTTCCCTTGCACCGCTCCACTGTGGAATTACGTCCCATCTTTCCGCCCAAGCTGTTATAACCTCGCGCGATTCAATAAACGTGTTAACTCTTATTTCGAACTTATTTTATAGTGCTGTTTGTGTCTGGCAGCTTGACGCTTCAGGCCTTTGGGCCTGTGCTCAGTAAAAACCCAAACAAGTATCTCTCACATATGTACCACTCGTGCCTCACAGCTAGAAGGGCCTGGGTTTGATTCCCGATTCGGGTGCCTTTCTGCATCAGCTTCCTCCGGGTTCTCTGGTGTCCTCCTATAGCGATACAATCGAACTGCTGTTGGCGAAAAATCCAAATATTGAGAAATCGCCTGCACATTACCCAATTGAGATGACACCAGGCAACATCAGCCCCTATGTATACAACTCGTCCGGACGCTCCCGTGACACGAGTCCGGAGAGTCGGCTAGGCTTTCGCGGGCGAGCGTCACGACGGTAACAATCTCCCCACCGCCGCCGCGCAGACGAGGACCCGAGCCGGCACGTGCCGGAGTTGCCCCGCGTCCCGCCCACCGCACCCGCCACGCGGCCCCAGGGCCCCTGCGTCCCCGGAGCGGGCGAGGATTACCGCGGGCCCCTCAACGTCACGCGCTTGGGCCGGCGCTGCCAGGCCTGGTCGGCTCGGACCCCCCACGTCTCGCGCTTCTCGCCGTCGACACACAGCGCCGCGGGCCTGGAGGGCGCCGCGTGCCGCAATCCGGACGGCGACGAGGAGGGCGCCTGGTGCTACACCACGGACCCCGGCCTGGCCGTCGACTACTGCGCCCTGCACTACTGCGGCGAGTGTGGCCCCTGCCCGGGCGTGACAATGGATGCCGGATGATGGCTACCGCGCTTCCTCGATTGACCGGGGTTATTATTGTTAGAGCTCAGCAAAAGAGACGATGGCGGGGGGAGGGGAATTCAAAGTGGAGCAGTGCGAGGGAAGAAGCAGAAAGGGCAGTGAGGTGACCTGCAGTGCGGGTGTTGGGTTCGTGTGTGGGTGAGTGGATGGGCGAGTGGATGGGTGAGTGGGTGGGTGTTTAGATGAATCAAGGAGTGCGGTTCACAGAAATCGTAACCATGGTAGTAGCGATAGAAGAGTGACAAGGAGGTGATCACCTGCCAGTGAGCGAATGACTGGAGCGATTCGGTGGCAGAACACGGTCAGTGGGCCCCCTGTCACGATTGCCCAGGGCCTGGGCCTCATGGGCATTGGGCAGTTACACCGCCCGCGCAGGGGATAGTGTCGTTGTCCGTGTCGCGCAGATGAGGATGACATCTTCATGGAGGCGCCCAAGGAGGAAGGGGGCCGAGGCCGCACCACGGCCACAGGCACCGACCCCAAGATGACGCTCATCAACCCACGCTCGTTTGGAAGCGGGCAGCTCGGTAATGAGGGTGACGAGGGTGCCGCGGCTCAGTGATGAGGGTGATATGGCTCAAGGACCGGGTAACACGGCTCGGGTGTTGAGATGACGCACGTGACCCGTCTTGGTCTCGTGAGCTTCGTGACGCGAGTGACACGGCTGCCAGGGTTGCTCTACCGGTGCATCGGTTGCTGATAGGGCGGCTGTATTGTGAGCGTTGTCCATGGTCGTTTCCCCACGTGGGTGATGCACGTTCACGTGTGTGTCTAAAGGAGCGGTTGGGCAGTGATTCACGCGCTGCGCTACGAACCCGGCGACCGGAGTTAAATTTCCGCTCACGGCCAACACCAGCAACGAATATCTGAACCGCTCCTGGGCCGAATCTACCTTAACTTGTATACCTGGTGTGATGTGCTAAACACCAACAGTGGGGAAACAAAAGTGGCCCACCATGCCATGCGCCAGCCTTCATAGGTGCCCGTTAACAGCACTTGCCCCAACAATTTGTTTAAGGCTACACCCGGGATATTTGTCCGTGTGTGTACAGAGTGTGGGAAGCGACCCATGTTTGAGCTGATGGGGAAAGAGGACGTGGGAGAGGAGGAGCTGCAGGAGTCTCAGCGCCAGCGCGTGGTGCATGGGGACAACGCAGAGGAGGGGAGCGCACCCTGGTGAGACGCCTCGAACACGCGGCACCACCGGCACCTCGCCACACCCCACACCACGCGGCACCACCGGCACCTCGCCACACCCCACACCACGCGGCACCACCGGCACCTCGCCACACCCCACACCACGCGGCACCACCGGCACCTCGCCACACCCCACACCACGCGGCACCACCGGCACCTCGCCACACCCCACACTACGCGGCACCACCGGCACCTCGCCACACCCCACACTACGTGGCACCACCGGCACCTCGCCACACCCCACACCACGCGGCACCACCGGCACCTCGCCACACCCCACACCACGTGGTACCACCGGCACCTCGCCACACCCCACACCACGCGGCACCACCGGCACCTCGCCACACCCCACACCACGTGGCACCACCGGCACCTCGCCACACCCCACACCACGCGGCACCACCGGCACCTCGCCACACCCCACACCACGCGGCACCACCGGCACCTCGCCACACCCCACACCACGTGGCACCACCGGCACCTCGCCACACCCCACACCACGTGGTACCACCGGCACCTCACCACACACCACGCGGCACCACCGGCACCTCGCCACACCCCACACCACGCGGCACCACCGGCACCTCGCCACACCCCACACCACGCGGCGCCACCGGCACCTCGCCACACCCCACACCACGTGGTACCACCGGCACCTCGCCACACCCCACACCACGCGGCGCCACCGGCACCTCGCCACACCCCACACCACGTGGCACCACCGGCACCTCGCCACACCCCACACCACGCGGCGCCACCGGCACCTCGCCAGCACCCCACACCACGCGGCGCCACCGGCACCTCGCCACACCCCACACCACGTGGCACCACCGGCACCTCGCCACAACCCCACACCACGCGGGCGCCACCGGCACCTCGCCAGCACCCCACACCACGCGGCACCACCGGCACCTCGCCACACCCCACACCACGCGGCACCACCGGCACCTCGCCTCACCCCACACCACGCGGCGCCACCGGCACCTCACCACACCCCACACCACGCGGCGCCACCGGCACCTCGCCACACCCCACACTACGCGGCGCCACCGGCACCTCGCCACACCCCACACTACGCGGCGCCACCGGCACCTCGCCACACCCCACACCACGCGGCGCCACCGGCACCTCGCCACACCCCACACCACGCGGCGCCACCGGCACCTCGCCACACCCCACACCACGCGGCACCACCGGCAGCGCCACCTCCATTTCCACCCGCAGAGCCACTCGCTGTGCCAGCTGCACCTGTGCGCGCATGTGTGTGTGCAGGCAGGTGATGCTCTACCGCAAAAGTCCCATGGACATGCTCTGCGGCGCCAGCCTCATCAGCGACCAGTGGGTGCTCACGGCGGCGCACTGCGTCTTCTACCCACCCTGGGACAAAGACTTCACGGCCAAGGAGCTGGCGGTGCGCATCGGCAAGCACAACAAGGCTGGGTGAGCGCCGATCAAACCAAATCCCAAAGTCGAACTGTAACAATGGCTCTCAGCCTAACCCTGACTCTAGCCCGAGCCCTAACCATCGCCTTATCTCTAACCTCTAACATTTGAGTCTGTCCCATGACCTCCTGCCAGCGAGCCTTCGACACTTCACGTGACAGCCTTAACGTGCACCTAGCCTCGCACAGGCACTGTGGTGAATGGCTGCTGCTGCTGCCGTTTTTGATGTTGGTGTGGTCGGCAGGTACGAGAAGGACCGGGAAAAGATCTCCAACGTTGACAAGATCATCATCCACTCCAAGTACAACTGGAAGGAGAACATGGAACGCGACATCGCCCTCCTGCACCTGGAGAAACCCATCACCTTCACCCAGTACATCGTGCCCATCTGCCTCCCCACGCGCGACGTTGCAGTCAAGTACGCGGGCGCCCACTCTGCACATCCGCACGCACCAACTCACACGCAGCCAGGGACGCGTGCACAGGGCTCACACGCACAGCCAAGGACGCGTACACAGGGCTCACACACGTAGCCAGGGACGCGTGCACAGGGCTCACACACGCAGCCAGGGACGCATCCACAGGGCTCACACACGCAGCCAGGGACGCGTGCACAGGGCTCACACACGCAGCCAGGGACGCGTGCACAGGGCTCACACACGCCCAGGACGCATCCACAGGGCTCACACACGTAGCCAGGGACGCGTGCACAGGGCTCACACACGCAGCCAGGGACGCGTGCACAGGGCTCACACACGCAGCCAGGGACGCATCCACAGGGCTCACACACGCAGCCAGGGACGCGTGCACAGGGCTCACACACACAGCCAGGGACGCGTGCACAGGGCTCACACCAGAAACATGCCCACGTTACACCCCCATGTCCCACTCGTGCCTACATCACACTCGTGCCCACGTAACTCTCGTTTCTAACAGCCCTTGCCCCAACAGTCTGTTAAGGCTACGGGGGGATATTTGTCTCTGTTTCTACTCAGCCTGCTGAAGTCAGGCTTCAAGGGCCGAGTGACTGGGTGGGGAAACCTCTTCCAGACGTGGACCAACAACCCCCGAGCACAGCCCAAGGTTCTGCAGATGATCAACCTCCCCATCGTGGACCCCAGCCGTTGCCAGGAATCCACCACCCACCGGATCACGGCCAACATGCTGTGTGCAGGTGGGCACCACATCTGCTGCTATTTCCCTTGTTTATCTGGGAAAGCCTCACTGAGTCTCAACATCCTGTTCGAAAAGGGCTCTGATAAGTTTTTGCAGTAAAGGTAGATGTTCATGCTGTGTAATAATCCCATTGAGTAACTTGCAGTATCATATTTCAACATTGGGATGTTTGGCCAATACCAATTACATTCTAGGGGTTTCTTTACCGTTGGGAGGTGACTGGAAAATCTGGAGGCTACCCATGCAGGACATCGAGGGAACATACACACTCCACATGGAAAAGCGCCTGTGTCTGAAATCGGACGCAGGCCTCTTCTTGCTGTGAGCCATGAGTGTTACCACCGCGCCGCCACCCTGTCGCCATTGTCCCGGTAGATTCTGGGGCAATTATGCGGTCAAAGTGGTGGCGCATTTCCTGCTTGTTGTCGAGGTTTGCCGTTTGCGTCTGGTAGGCCGCCCTGGTTGAAACTCAAAGTTAAAAGTCAAAGTGATTCCCTACTCAGATGAGCATTAAGGTAGTGCTCGTCTTCTGTTGACAGCCCTGCAGAGCCAGTGGTGGAAATTCCACATTCCTATTAAGGGGATGAGACTAACTACTTATATTATCAACCCCAGAGTGATGATGGGCTGAGTCAACCAGCAGGATTTGAACTTGCAACCTGATACCGAGCTCTTGGTGGCTACCAGTGACCTGGAAATATTCATGGAAATATTAAGCCCTGGCGACAGCCACACACGGCTGAGGAGAGCGTGGCGGAAACTGCAGCACATGTGCTTGTGAGAGAGGTGTGGCCCCTGCCACCTGCCCAGGTGCTGTGCCTGTGTGAGGGTGCCGAGTTGTCGGGTGCCACGTGTCTGTGTTGGTGCCCAGGATATGAACCGGAAGACGTGAAGCGTGGTGATGCGTGTGAAGGAGACAGTGGTGGGCCCTTCATTATGAAGGTATGGACACGAAGGACGCGAGTGTGTGCCCACACGTGAACATGCACGCACCCATGTACAGAGACAAAGATCCCCCGCGTAAGCTTGAACAGACTGTTGAGGCAAGTGCTGTTAGCGAGCAGCTCCTATGAAGGCCGGCATGGCACACGAGGGGGTGGGTGGCCAGCACTACGCCCAGCTGCCCTTGTCTCCCGTGTGGTGATGTTTACACGTCGCACCAGGGACTCATTCGAGGCTCAGTCGATCTAGGGGAGGCCCAGGATCGGTTCATATATAATTCTTAGTGATGTTAGCTGTGAGTGGGAATGAAACTCGGTCTCCGGGTTCACAGTGCTGTGCGCTAACCGCTGCGTTATCCACTCCCCACGCATGCGTATGCGTGCGCACACACAGGACCATACTGCTCATACCCCAGGGTTTGTAATCGCCTATTGCAGCTGCAGGAGAGAGAATGGCTAGGGTGTCATTCCACTGTATTTCACCCGTGCATGACTGTTTCATGAACAAATCCGAGAAATGTGTTCAAACAATTGTTGCCAATTCATTAATGTCCACGGTTCCACCATCTGGTCCCGGAAGATGAAGATGGGGCCGTGATATGACCGAGCAGCAGCGTGTTGGCCGTTTGTTGCAGAGGTTTGCAGTTCGAATTCGGCAGGCCCTCCTGGATAACTACTGAGGGTGTATTAGCCGATAAACTCTACGCGCCATCTTCTTCACAGTGGACGTTACATATCCTGTGATGGTATTCTAAAAGAATAGGCCATTGAGAGTCGGGGTCATGGTCCAAATTTAACAAACTTCATAAATTACTTTCAAGTTACTTAATTTGGTAAAACTACACCACATTTGGTGCCCCTATCACAACAGTTAGGACTTAGGCTTTTTTGGGTAAGTGTTTAGGAGGTAACAACAAATCCCCAGACAACTCACCTTCTTAACACTTCCCATTGGCCACACAGACTTCTGGGAGTGATTTGTTGAGCAGCATTGGTAAAATACAAGCAAACTCAGGACTGCTTGCGACATTTGAAGTCTCATCAGCAGAGTCGGATCTGTATTAAACCAATACCTGTAAGCTGCCAGATGTTTAAAGGCAAGGATGATCTTTGTTAGATGTGGGTTCTAGTTGGACGCAAACCCCAAAGTGAAATGAGTAGCAGATTTGCTCCGTACCCAACGCCGACGCAGCACCCCCAGCAAACCTGCAGGCTGCGCCATGTGCCCCGCTGCGTAGGACTTCGAGAACAAGCGCTGGTACCAGATGGGCATCGTGTCGTGGGGCGAGGGATGTGACCGCGACGGCAAGTACGGCATCTACACGCATGTCTACCGGCTGCGCAAGTGGATTAACAAAGTGATCGGGGAGCCAGACACATGAGGGCTCGCCCACCCCGACACCTCCCACCTCCTGACCCCTTTGCCCACCACGTGAACCCGTGACTGGACACATTATCCTTTAACACCTGGCCTGACAAATTAACCCTTGACCTGACACTTCAACCTCTAACCTGGCACCTTAACCTGACGATGTATCCCTCGTTAACAAAATCTGGAATTCAAGAGGCCCTCTCTGATCTTGATCTCACTCCCCAAGGCTTTCTCAACTGTGACTTGGCCTCCCTCCCTCTCCCCTCCCCTCCCCTCACCGCCTCCCTCCTGCCGCACGTGTGCCCAGGGAGGCTGGAGCGGTTGGAGCGAGCACCCCACACACTCGCCCACACTCACCCTCACGCAGTCGCTATCTCAATAAAGCAAATACAGACCAATCCTCCTGTCTCCGTGTCCAATGCTGTGTTCATTCTTCCTCGTGTCCGTGGGGGTATTCGTTTTATACTGGTAGGAGCCTCCTGGTTACACCAGCCCACAGGGGATTATTCTGTCCGTCGTGCAGGGAGGGGCTAGGTGGGGAGGGAGGGGCTGGGTGGGGAGGGGAGGGCTGGGTGGGGAGGGGCTGGTCACCCCGTGGTGCCCTTATAAAACTCAACGTTTAACCTACTCACGCCGGCTTGTGCCCGCCCTCACAGTCGGGCATATTTGCGGAATACACCACGCCGCCGTTGACCTTGACCATTGACCGACCAACCCAACGTTCCTGCCAGCTCCCTCGGCAGGAGGAATGTGTTTATTAAACAGCTGCTGAGCACAGGCCTGAATGCCCGAGACGTCAAGCAGCTCGAAATAGACAGCACGATCATCAACGTTGTCAGAGATGTGAGATATAAGTTAAGACATTTCTTGACCTGAGTGAAGCTCACGGGAACAGCGACAATGGGTGGTTGTGATGGAAGAGTGACAAGGAGGCGACTGACCGCCAGTGAGCGAGAAACTGGAGCGCCGTGCGGTGGGCGCTGCATCGGCGGCCCCCGCGCGGCGCTGCGTGGACTCCTGCCTCGCAGCCGGCGCCTCTCAAACCTGCTCCGTGACCTCGTGATTTCATGCCAAAATTCGTGTCGTTATCCCTCCACCACCCGAAAGACTCTGGAACTTCTCTCCCACAGGATACATCAGGGTCTCTCTGAGTCTGTGAACCGATATTTACACTTCCGCTTTTGCAACTGAACTCTTTCAGCGAATAGCTTTAAGCGTTTGTGTTACACTTTACATTTCGTGATTAGTTTGAAGAGCGATCGTCACGCTGAGTGCAGCTGCTGTGTCTTGTGCAACGTTTTCTACATCGAATGATTGTCAGCATTACGAAATTGTCACGCTGATACCGACGTGATTTACACGTGCCGATATATTGCTTACATTCTGATCAATACAGCGCCTCTGCATCGGCAACTTAAGTCTTTTCCAGACGAAATTTAACATCGTTAAGAAAAGCCTAAAGCCATCTGCGAGCTTTATTGGGAATCGACTGATTGATTTGTTAGCACCGTATACATAATATCTGTGTGAACGTAACAGTTTTGTCGGGTGGTGGAGGGGTTCCTCACATGATTTGTTTGCGATAAACCTTCCACCACGTGACCGAACCCAAAAACAAATCGTTGCGTTGGCTCCGGAGAAGACCTGCGATTCACGTCGCCTCCTCAACGCGACCCCTTGCACGATGGCGCAGTTACGCGGTGGCCCAGTGCTGGAGCACTCTGCTTGATGCAGAGGTTCGCGGTTCGATTCCGCAGGCCACCCTGGTTACCACTGCGGGCGTATTACACGTCTCTTTACTTGAGCCAAGGTTATTAGAGGAGCTTGGGAAACGAGACCACGGGATGGCGTTCCAACGCCGAGTCGCAAAAACACGGTGCGTCAAATAATGTTTTGCACTTATATGGGACTAATCTTGATTTGAAGCTTTCGTGACTGCAAGAATCCATACTCTTTGGTTCTTTCGGTAAAGTCACGTAGGTACAAAATCAAATAAATCACGACGTTTCGATTGCAACACAAGAAATCATCAGGTTGGAAAACCACAGCAAGATTATTTTTGCTGAAGTGTAAGAGAGATGCCGTGGTAAGAGGCTATATCGTAAGACAGGGAGGGAGGAGAGGGACGTGCAGCTGTATGGGACTACCACTTTTCATGGCAAAAGAACGGATAAGACACTGTAACATGATAACAAATGGATGTTAATGTCTTCAAAATTGAGTCTCCACTTGTCCGCAGGTGGTCTCTCCCGAGCCTGGAGCACGTTTCTCGTGATGTGGTTGCAAATTCTCAGAAGTGTTAACAATTTTTCTCAGAAGTTTTAACGGGCTGAGTCATTAGTAGCTACTGACTCTATTGTATGTAGGGTGTGTAGGTATGTATACAATAGAGTCAGTAGATACTACTGACTCTATTGTATGTAGGGTGTGTAGGTATATATACAATAGTCAGTAGATACTACTGACTCTATTGTATGTAGGGTGTCTTTCGTCTGAGGGGGGTCCAATTTCTATAACTTTTTGGTTCATGCCTTCGGAAAGGCTCTGATCATTGAGTTGACGCTCAAACGGGACGTCAGGCTTTCTTAAGAGCTCCAAATTGACACAAGCCTCATGTTTATAGATAAAATGTCGACAAAAATCGGACATTGATTCACAATGCTCAACCGACTGTGCATGACGACCTCCCTGGGGGACAATTTCACCAACACGTGACCGGCAACCCCCGACGAGACGCGGCGGTGGCGCCTCTGGTGGCCGCGTGATAAATCCGCGTGTGCGCCCGAGGGGTAAGAATCGATTTCCGTAAGTGATCGACGGCCACCGATATAAATCAGTTATCTAAAGAGGGAAGCTTTTGTGACGTGGGTCAAACGCATGGGCACTCGCGGAGAAGACGGGGGCGCAGAACAGTGGGACGTGGCAAAGACTCGCGGAGAGATGCGCGCTTGGCATGAGCGGAGCGCTGCTCCGGAGCGCGAGCAGGTTGAGCGGGGATGACGGCCGATAGACGAACTTCTAGTCAACGTGGAAGAGTAGGCCAAATATCGCCGAGAGCTCCTGTGTGGGAGTGGGGGGGGGGCTTCCGCCAGCAGCAGCTGCGGGGCTGCGCTTTACCTCCCCGCACGTCACCACACGTCTCCGAGCGGTGCAGTCACCGAACGCGCCCCCACACCCCGAGCGCATTGCCCGAGTGGAGCAACCGAACGCGACCCCCGCGTGCCGTGGTCGATGATGTCATCGCCGGGCGAGCCAATGAGCGCGCGAAGCGGGGTGGTGAAGACGCGGACATGGCGGCCCCCGTGCGTGCCACAGGCTCCTCGCTGTTTGTTCGCGGGTTGCCTCGCGACGCGAACGCCGCCGGGCTCGAGGAGGCGCTCGGGGAGTTCGGCCCCATCAGGCAGTGCTTCGTGGTCACGGAGAAGGGTACGACTCTGGCTTCCGAGCACTCACGGGCCCCACTGAAGGCGAACCGTGTCTGTGCCACGTGTTGATACAGCCGGTACTTTGTGTGGTGGTACAGGGTAGTAACACAGTGGGCTGTGTGGTAGTGCAGGGTGGTACACAGTGGGCTGTGTGGTGGTGCAGGGTGGTACACAGTGGGCTGTGTGTGGTAGTGCAGAGTGGTACACAGTGGGCTGTGTGGTAGTGCAGGGTGGTACGCAGTGGGCTGTGTGTGGTGGTGCAGGGTGGTACGCAGTGGGCTGTGTGGTAGTGCAGAGTGGTACACAGTTGGCTGTGTGGTAGTGCAGGGTGGTACGCAGTGGGCTGTGTGGTAGTGCAGGGTGGTACACAGTGGGCTGTGTGTGGTGGTGCAGGGTGGTACGCAGTGGGCTGTGTGGTAGTGCAGAGTGGTACACAGTTGGCTGTGTGGTAGTGCAGGGTGGTACGCAGTGGGCTGTGTGGTAGTGCAGGGTGGTACGCAGTGGGCTGTGTTTGGTAGGGCAGGGTGGTACACAGTGGGCTGTGTGTGGTAGTGCAGAGTGGTACACAGTTGGCTGTGTGGTAGTGCAGGGTGGTACACAGTGGGCTGTGTGGTAGTGCAGGGTGGTACACAGTGGGCTGTGTGGTAGTGCAGGGTGGTACACAGTGGGCTGTGTGGTAGTGCAGGGTGGTACACAGTGGGCTGTGTGGTAGTGCAGGGTGGTACACAGTGGGCTGTGTGGTAGTGCAGGGTGGTACACAGTGGGCTGTGTGGTAGTGCAGGGTGGTACACAGTGGGCTGTGTGTGGTAGTGCAGGGTGGTACACAGTGGGCTGTGTGTGGTGGTGCAGGGTGGTACACAGTTGGCTGTGTGGTAGTGCAGGGTGGTACAGTGGGCTGTGTGGTAGTGCAGGGTGGTACGTAGTGGGCTGTGTGTGGTAGTGCAGGGTGGTACACAGTGGGCTGTGTGTGGTGGTGCAGGGTGGTACACAGTGGGCTGTGTGTGGTAGTGCAGGGTGGTACAGTGGGTTGTGTAGTAGTGCAGGGTGGTACAGTGGGTTGTGTGGTAGTGCAGAGTGGTACACAGTTGGCTGTGTGGTGCAGGGTGGTACAGTGGGCTGTGTGGTAGTGCAGGGTGGTACGCAGTGGGATGTATGTGGTAGTGCAGGGTGGTACACAGTGGGCTGTGTGTGGTGGTGTAGGGTGGTACAGTGGGCTGTGTGGTAGTGTAGCCTGCTCTGACCCACTCTATAGTAGGGCAGGTGTACGGAGTGCTGTGTATGGTAGTGCAGGGTGAAATACAGTACTGTGTGGTAGTGCAGGGTGATCGTGCTGTGTGGTAGTGCAGGGTGGTACAGAGCGGAGTTGTGTGCGATGTAACTGAGGGAGATGATTACTGCAGTAAGATTTAAACTTAATACGTAGGCTTTCGCAGCGAATATCATACATAATATTGCGTTAGGCCACGTCATGATCTGGCCAAATTTGTGTTGTTACAACCTTCCACCACCTCGAGACAGCCAAACAAATATTTTATACTATAGTTTATACTGTCAAAATATCCGAGTGCAGATTCACTCCACATCGTAGCACCGTGTTCACAGTCTCAGACCGCTTTCGTCTAACTTTTCCCTTCCAGCCTCGTCGAGTCTCAAGACCAGGGGGATTGACTGAGTCGTGTCTCTGCTGTGCGCGTACCCCTTGTCGATGCCAGGCTCCCCTCACTGCAAGGGCTTTGGCTACGTGACGTTCGCGCTGCCCGCTGACGCCGCGCAGGCGCTAAAGGGGAAGGTCGAGTACCATGGACACAAGCTCGTCACCACCGTCGCCAAGAAGAAGCCCCCGGTCAAGAAGACCAAGCCCTCTAAGACCGAAGCAGGTGCGCCCAGAAGAAACCTTGCTCGCTCGCCCGCCCATCCACAAAGTTTGCCGTTTAGAGCAGGGCGGGGAACCTCTCACTTCCAGATGCCATTTATCATTCTGCTTGTTTACCCAGCAAAACCTCACCAAGTCTCAAGACTCATTTTCAGGAAGGTGCTACTGAGTTTTCATAGTAAGGGTGGGCTGGAGGGATATTTCAATACGTTACTGTTTTGACTGATTAGCGAGTATTTTTTTAATTGTGTAATTTTGACTGACTGGCACACGATGGCCGACTCTTCTTCAAATGACGTCATGGGATGTTTAACATCCACTGTGAAGCAGGCTGTGCAGAGTGTGTTACGGTTAATACACCCACGGTGTGTGAGGTGCGCTACTGCGTGTGAAGCGTGTGACGCATCTGTGTGCGTTCATCAGAGGAGGCCCCGACGGCGGAGGAGCCGGCGTGGGAGAAGCAGCCGAGGCAGCGGCCGACCCTTGAGCTCGCCGGCCTGCCCCCAACGCTGGACCCGGAGATGCTGGAGTCGCTGTGCAGGTGCCACCGAGACGCAGAAACGTGACTTCGCATCGTGAAAAATACCATCGTGGCAATGCGAATAACCTCGCGTGGTGGTACGGCAGATGGTTTGCGTTTGGCGACGATGCGTCTGGCGGCGTCGGCATGTGACCTCGCGGTGTGGCCCCGTGCGTGAGCAGGCAGCGTGCCGGGGTGCTGGACGTGGCCCGTGTGCCCGACCACCCGACCAAGGCCCACGTCAGCTTCTCCACCGTGCGGGAGGCCACCACCGCGATGACTTACTGGCAGCAGAACCTAATCCAAGGTCCCCACTGCGCACCAGAGGAGCCTACAACCTCCGACTCGCACCGGCTCACTCGCTCACCGGCTCACTCGCACATGTTCAATAGAGTTATGGTCATTCGTGTCTGAAATATTGCACGTGTTATAGATTTCATTATCATTATTAATACTAACTTAACCATGATAACAAGACTTATTTTCATGATAAGAAACAAAATGTTTGGTGAAGCCCGTTTGGTAACGCCGTGGGTGCTTATGTGTGTGCAGGCAAACGCGTCTCGGTAGGGTTGCTGTACCGGCCGGGCATCATGAAGAAGTCTCGCCTTCGTGCCCGTCTCATCGTGCGCAACCTCAGCTTCAAGGTTTGTGCTGAGCACAGGGCCCAATCGCCCAAAACGTCAAGCAGCCAGCCACAAACAGCACATTATAATAGACAAGAGTGTAACACGTTTCTGGAAGTGAGCAAGATTGTTATTGTAAGAGTCGAGGGAAAAGAGATGATGGGACCAGGGAATTCCAGAGTGGAGCAGTGCGAGGGGGAAGCGAGAAGTGCGGCGTCCTGCAGCGTGGCGAGCGAGGGAGGAGCTGATTTTGCGTGTTGTGACCTGCATGTGGTGGTTCAATTCAGTGTGGATGAGACGAAACATTGATTTTCTGTAAGAGTCCTCAACATGGGTGGAGGAATCAACGAGTGAATTTTACAAGAACAGTCACCATCCTAGGAGCGATAGAAGATTGATAACGAGGTGACTGACCGCCGGTGAGCGAGCGGTGTGAATCGGTAAGCGCTGGATCATTGGACAAAGTACGTGGTAGTGCGTGTCATGGAGAGCGACATTGTGATAAGTGGCGGTCGCATATCATTGGTGGGTAGCGCTCATTGCAACGGGGAATTTGAGATGATGGACGAACATCTTTCACTCTCGGCAATGCTCGTTTGTGTTTGCAGTGTTCACAGGGCGACCTGAAACGAGCGTTCTCTCCTTTTGGAATCGTGCTGGAGGCGAACATCCCAAAAAAACCAGGTAAGACGGCGGGGTGCACCCTGTGCCTCCTCGGGGTTTGTTGTTGTTATGACCATCATTCCACTTCTTTGTCAAGCAATGCTTCGTCGGGTCTCAACTCTTTTTCAGAAGGGTCCTGCCACGTTTTCAAAGCTGCTGTGTGTATTCCTAGCTGAATCATTCACATTTTTCAGCATTGGGATGTTGTAGCCAACAAGAGTTACATTGTGTGCTTACAGGAGGAAACTGGAAACCCTGTTCATAACAGGGGGAGAACATAGAAACTGCACGCAGATAATACACCCGTGTCCGATTATGGAACCAGGCCCTTTTTGCCGTGAGGCACTTGGAGGACGTGGCCGTTACGTTGCAGGCCGTGCGTGCAAGGGAAACGGCGGCACGAGCAGGGAAAATACCGCAATATGCTCGCGGATGCTGCTTGCCGTTTGCTGCTCCTAGTGGAATGAGCCATTGCCGTGTGCTTGATATTGTTATTATATTGGTATTGTAATTTATATTATTTTGATTGATTTTATTTCAGATGGGAAGATGAAGGGGTTTGGCTTCGTTCAGTTCACCAGCATGCCAGACGCCACCAAGGCTCTGAAGGAGATGAACAGCAAGGAGATTAAAGGTGTGGATGCTCAACTTCTGGTGATGTTACATACGTCTGCTCTGTGTGGTGTGTGTGCATGTGTTCACCTGGCGAGGCTGCATTGGATGGGTCATGTAGTTTGCATGCACAACCAGCGCATACTCATGCAGCTTCTGCTTTGGCCAAATTGAGGGGACTAAACAGGCACGGCATAGGCTAGAGAAGGGATGGGTTGATGTGGTTCAGGAAGATGCGGAGCTAAGTGGACTTACTGGTACCGGTGGTGTCAAGATTTGTCTCCGAGTAGGAGGCTCATAAAGGATGCCACTGGGTAGTTGGAGGCAGTCGCCCTCCAGCAACAGCGGAGCGACGTTCACAGCAACGAGCGGGGTGGTGGGCGTCTAAAATGCAGCATAGTGGCACAGTGTTGAGCGCAGATGTGGTGCCTCTCCCAGTCGTCTCAGTCAATCAACCCATGGCACCTGGGTCTGTCCTGTGAGCTCATGCCAGCAGCGAGACAAGTGTTGGCCTCATAGTCCATCTAGCTTGGCGTTGTCTCTGTGGGGACATCACCGCATGAGTCGTGGGTGCCGTTGTCGTTGATTGCTTGTTTTGGTCGGACACTCGCGGTCTTTGTCTGGCAGGACGGGCCGTGTCCGTGGACTGGGCCCTGGCCAAGGACAAGTATGAGTTGGCCAATGCATCCAAGGCACCTGGTACCAAGCACACACCTATACAAACACACACCTGTACGCACCTTCACAAGCACACACCTGTACAAAGACACGTGGCTGTAGCCTCAAACTTGTACACACACCTGTATCGACCCAACTGTGCTGTGTGGCTGCAGGAAAGAAGGCAGAGGGCAAGCAAGGTGCAATAAATGAAGGGAGCAAGGGGCCCGCTGGAGATGAGGAGGAGGATGATGAGGATGATAAGGATGATGAGGATGACGAGGATGATAAGGAGGAGGGGGCGGAGCGTGTGGCCCAGGCGGCGCCACCCGGGCGGGAGACGCGAGCAGGGCCGCGGAGCGGAGACGGCGACTCGCAGAGTGAATCCGGCTCGGACGAGGGCAGCACTGCAGCCTCCGACGACGACGATGACGACGTGGAAGGGCACGACGGCTCGGATGACGAGTCGGACGATGAAGACGGCTCGGACGATGAGGACGACGACGAGGAGAGTGACGGTATGTTCGCGTCGCCATGGCCGATCCCGTTGGCTCCACGCACGGCACACGCGCCGCGTCGTGTGCGTCGATTGTTATTTTCCGTGCGAATTTGTGCGGTCGGTGACTTCCACCCGTCGGGTCGGCAGCTGCAGAGACGAGGCGTGGAACGATGCGTTGGCTCGGCGGGTAAAATAACGTCCGTCACCTCGTTATAACAAACGGCGCTTAGAACGACGATCCCCGTCTGTAATGAGCGCATGGCGGTCGTGTAATGTCACCCACCCCGCGTGTAACAATCGTGTATGCACGGTCAAAATCTCCAATCCTCGTGTTTCTGCGGCCGTGTCTTTGCCTTAACACGACGTGTCTGTTTGTCTCTGCTACCACTGCAGGTGAAAAGAAGCGTGCGGTGAATCGCAACCTCCCCAGTGACGTGGGCGAGGGCAAGACGGTCTTCATCAGGTTTGTTGTTGCTCATCTTCCCACTTCTCCCGTGTCTCTCCGTGTCTCCCCGTGTCTCCCTGCACCTCGCCACTCAATCCACGCCTTTCCTAATGTTATCCCCATTGCGTTATCCGACCGCGTGGCTCAGCGGCAGAGTGAGCTGTTCGCAGTTGCAAGTTTGACTCAGCCCATCATACCATCGCGGTCGATAAAATCAGCACCGCTTGGCATTGTATCAAGGGATTATTGATATCAGTTTTATTACGCACAGGGTTTCGGAATCTGGATTCAAACCCAGGGTCTCAACAGTGCCGGCTTGGCGCTTGTGACCTCCGAGCCACGCGGCCTCCTCGTTTCCGAATGCAGGTGAATCATCCTGGTCATCGTCATCACCATCATTGTCGTTATTCTCTTTGTGTTTAGGAATCTCTCCTTTGACTCTGAGGAGGGCCCCCTGGGCGAGGTGCTAACCAAGTTTGGGAAGCTGCGCTACGTTCGCGTGGTCCTGCACCCTGACACGGAGCACTCGAAGGGTGAGGGGGGGGGGAGAGGGAGGGAGGAGGAGTGCCTCCTCCTCCCTCCCAGGACCAGCCGTGAGTTTACTGCACCCACCCAGCTCTGGATCCGGCCGCACTTCTTTCCCATGACTGTCCACGGCACTGGTCGCCGGGCTGCGTCGTGCCGTGTTTTGCCACGTTGTGCCGTGTTGTGCCGCGTCGTGAAGTGACCACGCCGTGCGTGCGTGTCCGCCCCGCAGGTTGCGCGTTCGCTCAGTTCCACACGGCGGAGGCGGCGCAGGCGTGCATCGCCGCGAGCCAGGGCCCCGAGGAGGTGAGCGCGACGGCGGGCCCTGAGCCATTGGACCCCAAACGTTGATTCTTGGTACTGCCCAGGGTGGCAATTGCTAATGTTTTTTCAATGAGAAAAGGGTCATTAAAGAAGGATAAATCTTGACTTAAAGCTTTCGTGATTGCAGGAATTCATATTCTTTGAGTCGTCATCAGGAAAAGGGGTGATGACGTCCGCTTGTGTTGCGATCGAAACGTCGTAGCTTTTTGTTATTTTATTTGAACCTATCTACGTGACTTTATAGAAAGACCCAAAGAATATGAAGAAGGATAGTTTGATAGAATTCAATTTTTTTAATCAAAAGTAACTTGAAGCATCGACGGCGTACGACAACGGTAAGGGTAGCATCTCTACAACAGGCTGTATTCATGCGATGCTTGCTGCGAGCACACCGTAGCGGTGCTCGTGGTGCTCGCTGCTCTGTATGGTTGTGTGGGCGAGCGTGAGCGTGCGTGTGTGAGCGTGGTTGCGTGGGTGAGCATGCTTGAGCATTCGCCGTTTCCACCCTCCAGGCTGGTGGCCTGGCTCTAGACGGGCGCCGTCTGGTGATGTGTTTGGCCGTGAGCCGCGACGAGGCCCGCACGCTGGCCGACAAGAAGGACGCAAAGCCGACCGACCGGCGCAACCTTTACCTGGCGCGCGAGGGCCGTGAGTGATGCCCGCCCGCGTCGGTCACACCGCACACGGTCATTCGCACCCTTCATTTGGAAATTAAAGGCACGTCACAGGAGTGCGATTGTGGCCATGCAACTCAAACTATGGACCCCGTGTAGTCAACTACTGCGGTCTGCGCTCCTTCAACGGAAGAGTAACAGCTAAACGAAACTGTGGGCCAGTTTTTACATGCAGTGTCTCGTCAGCTGGGCTGGGCCTTTCTGAATCGATGCTGGTGAACTTCCAGATGTTATAGGCAAGATCCCTCTCTGTAAGATATGGGTCCAAGCTTAATACGGGTCTTAGTTTATTTTGTGTTCTGTATTGTATAATTTTGCGTCAAAATCTAGGACTCTTAATGGGAGGAACTTGGTGAGGCCTTCCTGGGTAAACGACCAGAGCAACAATAACGAACTGAGCATGTGAGAGCCCATCAAGTTAGAACGATGTGGCGCCTGTGTGTATAGGTGTGTGAGTGACGCCATGTGTGTTGTGCTCTGTGCCGTTGGACAGTGATCCGAGCTGGAACGGCAGCAGCTGAAGGTCTCGGCTCAGCTGACCTGGCCAAGCGAGAGAGGGTAAGAGCACCAGCAGCCTCGGCAGCAGTGACATCCACACGGCGCTTTGTACCAGGCTAGGTGCTTTTTGCGGTCACGTTTTCTTTAAACACAGTTGCTGAGCATAGGCCCCTAGGTCCAAAACGTCAAGTGGCCAGCAACAAACAATACTGTCCAAGTTCTAACAGATAAGAGTGCGACACATTTCTTGTATTGAGCAGGGTTATTGTTGTTAGAGCTTGGGGAACAGACGATGGGAAGGATTTCCACAGTGGAGTGGTGCGAAGGAAGGAGCAGAGAGAGGGAGAAGTGAGGGGACCTGCAGTGTGGTGGTGGGTAGGTGGGTGAGTGTGTGTGTGTGTATATATGTGGCAAAGACACAGAATCCCCCCTTATAGCCTTGACAGGCTGTTGGGACAAATGCTTTTAGAGAGCAGCACCTACTAAGGCTGACATGACACACAAGGCGATGGATGCCCGGCACCTCGCCTGGAGGCCTTCGTCTCCCCAATGCTGATGTCAACACAGCACCAGGTGCTCATTTAAGGTTGAGTCAACATAGGGGAGTCCCAGTACACAGATATTCGCCACCGATGTTACTACTACTATTTGTATTTTACCAGGTAAGGCCCACTGAGCTACGTAGCTCTTTTTCAGAAGTGACCTGGCCACAAATGATAGCCCAATGAAGTGGCTTATCATTTGGAAATGTATAGCAGGTAAATGTTAGCCATGAGTGGGAATTTAACTCGGGTCACCAGGTGCCTAGCGCAATATGCTCACCGCTATAATACCGCTCCCCACTCCACATCAAAAACTGCCAATCGCCAAGTGGCGGTGATGTCACCACGGCACCTATGCCAGGCCAGTTGTATTTCGGAAATGCCAGAATAAGCTTGCCACACACATACACACACATACACATGTACAAACATATGTGCGAGGCGCCGGACGGCCATGTGAGCTCGGCGTGCCTCACTCGGCGGTGCCGGGGCCGCTCCCCTCTGCAGTTTGAGCAGCTAAAGCGGCAGAAGCTGCGGCGCGTCACCGTGTTCGTGTCGAGCACGCGCCTCTGCGTGCACAACATCCCCAAGTCGGCGGACGACAAAAAGCTGCGCTCCATCTTCCTGTGCGCTGGCGGACCAGGTGCCCGCATCACCGAGGTGAGAGCCGCACACTCCTCGTCCCACACACCCCCCCCCCCTCCTCCTACACGCTCCTCCTCGCGCACACTCCTCGGTGCCACTGAGCCACCCCCGTCTCGCTCGTTATTTTTTGCGTGAACTTGAAATGTGTGCCACGTGGCCCATGACCCCAGCTCTCGTGTGCGTGCGTGCGTGCGTACGTGTGCGTGTGTTCCCTGGGCCTCCAGTGTCGTATCATGCGCGACATGCAAGTTGTGAACAGCCGCGGGCTGGGCCAGTCGAAAGGCTTTGGCTTTGTGGAGTTTGTGGAGCACGAGCACGCATTGACGGCGCTGCGCAGCACCAACAACAACCCGGCCATCTTCGGTCCAGCCAAGGTGCGTGCAGAAACCCCTCCGGCAGGGCGACGGTGCGGCGGCAACGCCGGTGTCTCTCGGCAACCGGCCCCTGGATTTGATTGCCGACTCGGGTGCCTTTCTGTGTGGAGGTTGTGTATTTTCTCTTCCTGTTCTGCGTGGCTTTCCTCCAAAATCTCCGGTTTCTTTCCATAGCTCAAAAATTTTTACAATGTAACTAGTGTTGGCCAATTGTCCCAATGCTGAAATATTACCTGCAAAGTGCTCAGTTGTGATCACAAGTGGCAACAATGGACCCTCCTGTGAAAACTTGGCTGGACTTTCTTAAAAGAGATAATAAGAACTCGGTTTGCAGGGCTCGCTGTGTTTGGTCTAACTCGACGTGTGTGTGTAATTCAGCGCCTGATCGTAGAGTTCTCCCTTGAAGACCGGGTGAAGCTCAACGCAAAGGAGGCCCGATTGCTCAAGAGTCGGGTGAGTGGGTGACGACCGCTCGGCTACCTCCCTCGCGCTCCTCACGAGCCGCCTTCACTCACCCACACACGTCTCGGCTTCCCACGTGTCTCTGGGTTGCACCCCGCGTTGTTTGGCACGATGTCCTACTCCAGGTGCCGGGTTATTGAAGTTGTTTGTTTCATTTTTTTAGCAGAAGCAGGTGGCCGTGAAGGGGAAAGGGAATGTGGCGATGGATGTAGCAGGAGGGGGTGCAGGAGGAGTATGGAAGGGCAAGGCTTCTGGGAATGCCAAGGGACAGAAAGGGATGAGCGCCGTGGCTCAGGAGAGCCGAGGATCGGAGCCGCGCAAGACAGGGGCGCAGGAGCCCGGGAGGGCGAAGGTCGGCGCCGGGGGAGCCGTGGGGAAGGGGGGGGGCGGCACTGGCCGGTGGGCCGGCTTCCAAACACGTGTGGAGGAGCAGCGCCAGGAGGAGGGAGACGGTCCGCGCCGGAAGCTACTGCCACTGCCTTCACACTCTGGGCCCAAAATCCGGTGAGGCGCCATGACCTGAACACTATCACTAAGCCTAACCTTTAACCTGTCCCTTCTCATTCCATGCTCGCTGTAGCCGGTGTAAGTGCTCATTTGCTTTGGGGGGTGCTTCTCGGTGCTGTGCTGCTCGTTCCGAACGACCCTACTCTGTGCACTGGTGCAGAAAACGCGACAAGGGGAAGCCGTTGGCCATGAAGAGAGACCAGAAACCTAAGAACAAGAAGAGCAGAGCCGAGAGGAGAAGTGGTGGGGCAGGGGGGGAGGGGCTGCCACAGCAGGCGGTGTCACGCGTCCCAGCTCGAGTGGCACCGGCGCAGCGAACAACTCCGGCGCAGCGAACAACTCCGGCGCAGCGAACAACTCCGGCGCAGCGAACAACTCCGGCGCAGCGAACTCCGGCGCAGCGAACTCCGGTACAATGACATCCACCACATCCCCCATCACCGTCCTACATTAGGAGTAGCGCTTGGGAATGGGTGGTTTGATTAAGGGGCTTTACTTAGAGTTCAGCCAGGGCCATACGCCATCCTGTAGGGTCACGTGGGAACGCTGTGTTGTGCGAGTGAAAAAAGTGGAGGCCACTTTTGCTGTTAATGGAAATGCCTGTCTCCCCTTTCCTCTGAAGCGAGCGGAGAAGCGAGCGCACCAGGCGGACCACGCGGAACGCCGTTTTGGAGATCTTGTCAAGCGCTACAAGCAGCGAATATTTGGCTCGGAGCAAGCGGCCATGCGACCCATGGCCAGCAAGTGGTTCCAAGAGTGACCGCAGCAATCCCCAACACCGCACGCTTGCACCAGACACGGGCACACGCGTACCCAAACACACACATTTACCTAGGCACCTCCGATTAGTATGGTTGGCTACGTAGAGTGCGAAAGAAGTTCAACATACATACGTCAAAGACATGGGCTTCATATCAGGCCACTCTGCCTGAACATGGGCTTTCAAGATAATATTATTACCGAGATCCGTATTGAATAGAACGTTTATTGGTTTGCCACTGCACATATGAAACTGTCTCGCAATAAACGTCCACCTTTTTACCACATGCAATGACATATCTCGATATGGATGGGGCTACTCGTTGTAGTTCTGTGTCTAACTCCTGCTCCAGTCTACCAGCGACCTGTAAAACGTTCAGTGAGAAATTAATCCTTGCTTCCACTTGGGAACAGATGGATATTACTAATCTGAGCAAGACATTTTTTGTTTTTAAAATACACGGCACAATTAATTCAGGATTCAAGAGCATGGTCTTGCGTTCCGGCGTTACGAACACCACAAGCGAGAAGTCGACGTGCGGGGCTGCGTTGCGTGCCAGTGGTGCAGGTGGGGTTGAGCCTTGTGTGGCTGGGTCGCACATTGATCACTCTCGTGCCTTGCAGCAAGAAGGGCCTGGGTTCGATTCACAACTCTGGCGTGTTTCTGCGTGGAGTTGACATGTTCTCCCCCTATTCCGCATGGGATTGCGCTGGCTGCAATGTAACCGGTATTGGCCAATCATCCCAATGCAAATTACTTTATTGGGTATTACGCATAGTAACATTGCCCTCGCCCTACTGTCAAAACTTAGGAGGACCCTCCTGAACAAGCGTTGAGACTCCCTGAGATTTCCTCGGTAAATGTGATGGCGGTTGACTAACGTGACTTTTCAGTATCGGTCACCCGGCATGCGTGTTGCCCCTTGCGTTGGGGGGGGGGGGGGTCCGCTGCCCGAGCGTGGCGGAGCGGGGGGACCTTAGTGATCCGGTCCCGTGAGCTCCTATACGCGTTCGTCTCCAGCAAATCACCCACATTCTCACTCTTTGCTTCGACATCCATCAGCTGTCTGTGAGTCTGGAAAACCTGCAGCTGCAGTCTTAGCTGATTTTTAGTCGGAGCATATATCCACACCCGGCATACCACATCCGGTATACCCTCTTGCTATGCCTACTCATCGCTGAGAAATTAAGCCCCGCTGTGTCCTTACTGTGCCTAAGGGAATCTTTGCAATATCAATGTGCGATGACGTCGCAGTGCAATGACCCAGAGTGCGGTGACGTATATTACAACATTGCTGCTCAAAGGGCTTTTGGTCATTGTTCTGAAGCTGCCCCTCGCACCCACAAGACAAGGAAACGCCTATAGCCTTAACAGACTGTCGGGGAAAGTCCTGTTGGCGAGCACCTATGAAGGCCGGCACGGCACACGAAGAGCTGGGTGGCCAGCACCACGCCCGGCTGCCTTTGTCTCCCTGGTGGTGATGTTTACACACCACACCAGGTACTTATTTGAGCCTGAGCCGACCTAGAAGAGGCCCAGAACTGTTTCAGATAATCGTCACTGGTTTTGGCAGCGGGAATTGAACCCGGTCGCCAGGTTCGTGGTGCAGCGCGCGAACCGCTGCACGATCACCCACTGCACGATCACCCACTGCACGATCACCCACAGCTGCACGATCACCCACAGCTGCACGTGCACTCCCCCACCCAACTCGAAGAGGGAGGGGCCTAAACAAAGGCGGGGCCTGAATGTGAAGGGGCGGAGCCGAACCAGGAAAGTGCGGGGCCGAGAGGAGGTGGTTCGATCCCTGTTCATTTCAGATCAAAACAAACACGTGCAGAAAGCAGAAGTACAGCGTTAATACCAATACCCGCCATTCGCCACTAAGTGACGGTGACGTCACCACGGCGCCTGTGCCAGACCAGGTGCACTTTGAGGCCACGTCAAGTGTCGAAGTGTTGAAGGCTTGCTAACAGGAGGTTTCGGGACGGACCCGGTGGGGGGTTGGCTGACTGAGATGACTGGTAAATGCACCAGCTGTACCCCCTACTGTGCTAACTGGATGTGTTTTATACGCCCCGCGCTCTGCTCATTGTTGTGAGGGTCGCTCCTCCGCCCTCCGGTGTTGGAGGGCGACTGCCTTCAACTGATCAGCAGCGTCCTTCACGATCCTCCTCCATCGAGATCGATCTTGACACCGCTGGTACCAGTAATCGGCAAGTCCACTCAGCTCCACATCCTCCCGTACCGCATCACTCCATCTCTTCTCTAGCCCGTGTCGTGCCCGTTTAGCCCCCTCGATCCGGCCGAACAGAAGCTGTTTAGGCATGCGGTGGCTGGGCATGCGGGCTACATGGCCCAGCCAACGCTGCCTTGCCTGCCGGAGGAGCTCACTGAGGGAATGTGTCCAGATCTTTCAAGGATTTGTGAGCTGCTCACGCAATCCAGCCCGGATAAGCAGGATGGATTGTCGGCATGCCAGCCTGAATGTTTCTAACCAGCCGCAGATGTTCCATTAGAGGGATCCACGTTTCACAAGAATACAGAAGGGAGGGCATGACTGTGGCCGAGAAGATCCGACGTTTCGCGTGGAGCGACAGTGCGGAGCGACAGACTTCCGCAGCATTACGCAGCCGAGTGAGACCTCTGCTGTCAAACCGGAGCTGGTCACAAGGGGCCGTCCATAAATGACGTCACGCACCTGGGGGGGGGGTCAGACATTTGTGACGATGTGTGACGAAGGGGGGGTGAGAAATGTGACGTCACATCAAAATGCGCAACTTTAAATATTGACAACACGCTCTCCTTATTTTTGGGGTGGGGGGGCAGAGCTTTGTGACGTCATCTTTGAGGGGGGTCTGACTTTTTGTGACGATGGGGGGGGGGGGGGGGGGTCAAAATCGTCCAAAATCGCGTGGCGTCATTTATGAACGGCCCCTAAGCGCACTGCCCAGGTATGGGAAACTCTCCACTCTCGACTACTGCTCCATAGCCAAGAGGGAGCTGAGGGGTGGAGTGTTTGGTAGCACAAAACACCCAGGCAGGTGCTTAGTTTTGGTGGAGCTGATGGTAAAGCGTTAATACCGCAGATAGGGCCACGGTCAACTCGCTATTGTGTGATGAGAACTTATGGAAAGGCGCCCTGTAAAGTGACGTCACCGCAACGTAACGGCGCAATGACGTCACGGCGCAATGACGTCACGTGGCGCTGCCTCGGTGACGTCACCGCGAGAGAAGTGGCGCGCGATGGCGGCCTCGGTGCTGGCTGCGTGAGGGACCCGAGGAGGCGCTCGATCGGCTCCGCGCTCCGCGGCGGCGATGGGGAAGAGGGGCCGTGGCGCCGAGGCGGCGGGCGGCAAACGGAGGCCCGTGTTGCAGCTCGACAACAGCATCAGGAAGGACAGGGAGGCGGCGGCGGCGGCAGCAGCTGGTGCTGCGGGTGAGCGGCGCCACGGCTTGACACGCGGCCTAGTTTAGGCCTGCGGAGGGAGGCTCGAGCAGATCGGGAGACGCGGGAGAGGGAGACGCGGGAGAGGGAGGGGAGACGCGGGGAGAGGGAGACGCAGGGAGAGGGAGACGCGAGAGGGCGTCAGGGGAGACCCGGGGAGAGGGAGACGCGGGGAGAGGGAGACGCGAGAGGGCGTCAGGGGAGACGCGGGGAGAGGAGACGCGAGAGGGCGTGAGGGGAGACACGGGGAGAGGGAGACGCGGGGAAGTCGGGAGGGGGAGGCAGGGGGGAGAAGAGGAAAACAGAGACACGAGACAGGCGGGGGAGGCAGGTTGAGTGGAGGGGAGGCACGGAAACGCGACCGGGGAAGCGCGCCGGCTCCGACCGCATCTCGGTAATTTCTGCTTGTGGGGGGGGGGGGGGGGGCTGAGGATGGAGTCGAGCCAGGAAACGTCGGGGGGAGACCCCGTGGCACTCTCGACTGAAACTCTGCCTCTCCCACGTTCCGCAGACTCGGCCACCGCTCTCTCTGTGGCGGAGCCCTCGGCGTCGCGTCTGGCGGGCGGCCTGGTGCTGCTGGGCGCGTACGCAGACAGCGACGACGACGATGAGGAGGAGGAGGAGGACACGGGGCCACAGTCTCCTCCACTCGAGCGGCCCCGGGACCTCGACAGCAAAGTGGCCGACTTCCTTGCTGTGAGAGCCGACGGCCCGGCTAGCCGCCGCATGCAGAGAAAAGTGTTCATCTGTGTAACTGCGCTGTGTGAATGTACCTGAGTGTGTTGGCCGTTCGTGCTGTTGATCTTGTGATGTCGGTGTGTGCCGGTGCTATGTGGCAGCACTGTGTTAATGTAGGGTGTGTGTTGGTTTGTGTGGTCTGAGGCTGGTCGTGCGAATTGGCCGGTGGTGGTGGTGGTTGTTTGGTGGTCGCTACTGGTTTTTGGGCACCAGAGATCGCCAAAGGCGTCCTCTGGTCTAACACCGTTTGAGACGAGGCTCAAAAGAAAGCTGTCTCTGGTGTTGACCAATCCGTTTCAAGGACAATGCATATATTATCATAGTGTTTTTTGTTTGCATTCTGACTGCAAGCATTGTGGTTAATGCAGACATGATTCCTTGTAAAAGGTTTCAGTTTGGTGTTTTAACATCTTAACACCTGTTTTGTTGCCATAAAAAAGGAGAAAAACCTAATGTCACTGATAATCTTGACTTAAAGCTTTCGTGACTGCAGAAATTAATATTCTTTGGGTCTTTCGGTAAAGTCATGTAGATAGAAAAATAATAAAATATTTTTATCATTTTATTATTTTTCTATCTACGTGACTTTAACGAAAGAACCAAAGAATATATATGCGTTGTGTTGATCCTTGCTGTTTGTTCTGCAAGGAAATTGATGCCATTTCGGTGCCTGGCCCCACGGCTGAGGGCGATGGTGCAGCAGACGGTGAGAGCGGCCTGGCCGGGGGCGCTGACGGAGACACAGTTGAGGCCTCCGCTACAGAGAGCATCTCTGGGAAGGTCGTGGGAGTTTCCGCTGAGACCGCTGGCGCCTTGGCGAGAGACAGGGCGCAGCCGGGCGGCTGGCATTACGACACGCACTACTCCACTGCTTCCAGTAAGCTCCAGCCTTCCACATCTACGATGATTGTTTCCATTGGTGGGACTGGGTAACATGAATGCAAGTTATATTTATGAAAATATTGTAATTTAGGGTTGGTAACATGGTTCAGCTAGAGCACGTTTGCCACTTTTTGCAGAGATTCGTGGTTTGAAACAGAATGGCCACCCTGGTTATTACTGGTGGCATATTAACTGTAAAATACTATGGAGGTTAAAAATCCGGTGACGTTATTCGAAAGAGAGTAGGGCATTGTGTGCCAGATTCATGGTCAAAATTTTAGACTTAAAAAAAATTATCACCAAAATAAACAATTGGGAAACACATCGCAACTTTGCCCCCTATTATAACACTACTCTCTGTGAACATAGCAATCTCGTTATAGTCGTGTGCTATAATAATGACGCAAACTCTGAAGAAGGGCCGTGTTTTATATAATCTACTAGCTTTACTACCTGGCTTCGCCCAGGACTTGGATTCACCATGCCCGGCCGCCTTTGTCTCCCCAGTGGCGATGTTCACACACCATACCAGTTACTCATTTGAGGCTGAGTCCACCTAGGGGAGGCCCAGGACCGGTTGAAATAATCTTCACCGGTGGTGGCCGTGAGTGGGAATTGTACTCAGGTCGCCATGTTCGTAGCGCAGCGCGCTAACCACTACGCCACAATGCGTTACGCTTCCACATGCGCGGGTCATGTGACAGATGTGACGTCACAACTCACTTACCGTGCAAAAATATATGCATTATTGAGCTCCCCCCCCCCCCCCCCCCCCAAAAAAGTGTATTTTTAAAAAAATTTGCATGGTGTACAGTCTGGAAAGTACCCACATGGCAAATTTCAAGTTTGTTGCATGTCGGGAAGTACGCTAAACATTTTGAACAGGCAAACATAATCACAACTTTGCCTTTTATATATATGGAGATTTACGTATATAATGTATTTATTTATATGCACAATTGCCGATGTATCACAATCATGTTGTTTATCACAACATGTCTGTCCTGTATGTTAAGCACTGGTGAAATACTACTGTCCTCTCAGTCTCATGGAATAATCACTCACACTCTGTAAGCCTCTTAAATTTTACATGATTGGACATTCAAATATTTAACCTGTGAGTTTGGGAATGTGATCACGCTGGTGTGGCCTGTGTGCTACTGCACTCCCGCCCAGGAATACCCAGGACGGGGGATGGGGGAGATGTGGTGGAGCTGTGAAATGCCCTGCATTGGGTTCCGTCCAACCTTCTCGAGAATTATCTGGCTGTGTGGTGTTACAAAGATAATCTGGAAATGGAGCTCAAGTGGGGGGTGGAGTGGAGTTTATTCATAAACTCATGAGGCTACAAAATGTAAAAAAAAATATCCAGCCTCCGCCATGACTGTCGGGTTGGTAGAGCAACAATCAGTGGAGACTGGATCTGCAGATGAACCTAAGTGAACTCTTCAATCAGGCACTGCAAGTTTGGTGTCAAATCATCCAAGTAATCCTACACACGTGTCTGATTGGGTACCGAGTGAGCGTTTGGCTGAGCTGAGTGTGTTTGTGCTGTTGCAGCGGGGATAGAGATGGGCGAGTGGCAGGAGGTGTGGGATGAGAACACGGGCTGCTACTACTACTGGCACCTGCAGACCAACCAGGTGACTTGGGAACTCCCGTCAGCACTGGCGCTGCAGATACAGCACCTGCAGCATCTCAACAATGGGTGGGTGGTTCCCACACACAACTGCGTATGCACATAAACCCGCAATTTACACGAGCATTCCTCTGTGCCTGTTCAGTAAATATGTTTATATATAAATGTGAAAGGGATGATGATAGCCGGTGGATGAGAATAACTACTGAGTGGCAGCCATAGAGGAGACAACCCGGCTAAGGGGACTTCCACCACAGAGAAGGAGCTGTGAGATTGGCTCTTGTGCAGGTGCCTGCTGGCGTGTTGCATCGCTCAACCATGAGGGATGGTGACGGCTTTGAAAGGCTTTTATTCAGCAGTGAATTAATCATGGCTGATGATGTAGCCACAATGCATGATGTAGTTTACTTATATAGTGTATATGCAAATGTGCAGCCCTCTGCTTAATCCACTGGTGAAGGCCTCCCCACTCCGTGCAGGCAATGGAGGTTATTTTACCACACTTCACTACATTGGTTGGAGGGATTGTGAAGGCAGGCAGTATCAACAATGGAGCTTAGTGCAGTACAACAACGGAGCTTGCTGCACTGCCCCCTACTCAGTCAGATATTATGGACTGCCCCCTACTGACAGCATCGCCCCACACCAGTCTACAACACCTGCCTATTGCATGGCGTTGTCCGTCCAAGTGCTGTCTTGGCAAGCTCAGTGACGCTTGGCTTCCAAGATCTGATGATTGGCTGCAGTCCGGACAATTTGGTCACAGGAAAGCAGTATCTATGTGATGAAAAAAAAAATATATATATTTGCATTGCATATTAATAAGGAGACAGTGTGAGCCTGCATTGAAATCTGAAGCCCACACACAGTGGCGTGCTTACATCCGTGAGTTTGTGCTTTGATTTACAGACATTTTCCTGGGGTGTCGGAGACGGGGGCGACCGAGGGGACAGATGTGCCGGGCACTGTACACCCTGTGTCGTCCGTGGAGGAAAAGGCCCAAACCAAACCTATCACGAGCACCATCGTCAAACCCAGGGTGCGTCTGCCACGGACACAGCAGCGTGCGAGGGCTCTGCGCGTGTTTAGCAGTGGGACGTCCTCAGGGTGACAGATTGGTGCTTGTTGTTCACAGCCAGAAGGGCATGGGTTTAATACCTGACTTGGGCGCCTTTCTTCATATGTTCTTTCACATGTATACATGGGTTTTCTCTGGGTTCTCCAGTTTCCTCCAATATCCCAAAGAAAATACAATGTTACTTGTAGTGGCCAACCATCCCAATGCTGATAATGTTAAATGATAATTAAATCTCTCATGCTCGAGTTTCAATAATAAATAAATGCAGCAAAAATATTTTCTCGTGGCTGATGATGGTGATGGCTCTACTCCAGGTGTAATCACATCACAGAATTGCATGACAGTTTTAGTTATAATACACTTGTGCAACATGACCTTCTTCAAACTTGACATTCAACAAAATTACTGTACTGGAAAACACAGTTAACGTAAAAAATCTTCGTGTTGTCTTGCGTTCATTTCCACTGTTGTGACAGCATTTTATCTAAAAAATGCATATCAAGTCTTAATATAAACTCGGCTTTAAATTCACACCTGGTATGATTAAAGTGCTTAAATTGTCACCGCACAGTGTGGTTGATTCATTGGCAGTTAGTGCTAAATTGTACGACACAAATCTTGGCAGGCTTTTTGTTGTTGTGCGTTTGAGAGAAATGCGTGGCTAAGTTATGCGCCGCTCCGCTGGGGAAAATGTTCAACTGAGCCAACGCATAATAAAGAGATCGTGAGGTCACGGGGTCATGGCTGCGTGCGCTGCAGATTTACAAGAGCCACGGTAGTGACTCGGCAAGAATCTAGCGTCGTTAAAAAAAAGTGGAAAACGGTCAAACGGCTACACAAAAAACATCAATTTAATTGTGGTTGTGCACGTAATCGTGCTCAATTCCATCTTTGAGAATTCATATTATGGTTTGACTCATTCAACGGACGTTACTATCTGTGTTGTGCCGAGATAGTAACCGGTCATGTGGAGAGACACTGAGGTTCCTCTGAAGACAACTGGTGTGTCCGTTTGCAGGAGATCAACGAGCGCGTGTGCGCGCTAACGAGCGAGGACGAGGGGCGCTCGGTGGGTGTCGCCGAGTCACTGCTCGCGTCGCTCATCCCCGAGAGCGTGCGCCAGGCCGAGGCGCGCTGGCGCCAAACCCTTCACGGGCCTGGTTCTCCCAGCTCCCCGGCGTCCCTCTCCGCACCTCCATCCCCCGCCGTACCGTCGCACCAGCCGGGCGGCGCCGCGGAGACAGAACCGTCAGCTGGTGGCCGGAGACGAACGGCCAGCGATGCTAGCAGCGGTAGCCGCAAAAGCGGCGGCAGCAGCGGAGACGGCGTGAGCGACAAGGAGGACGATGCTGACGACGGAAGGAACGATGGAGGGGACGATGAGGAGGATTCGGATCAGGAGTTGAAGCACATCCTGGAAACGAAGAGGGTGCGTGTGCGTGGCCACGCAGCAGCAGCGTGCGTTGCACTGCACTCCCGTTGTTTCCTGAGCTCTGATCTAGCTGCCCATGCAAAGATTGGGAGTATCTAAATTATGTGTAATTTAATTGTGTGATTCATTACATTTGTATCTAAGTTACACACCTCAAATTGATTGGTAATCTTTGTCTATGCTACAGTACTCCACTACTTTCAATGTGTTTTGTCCATTGCTCATGGCTCATGCATGGGTCATCATGCCCCCATGGCTCTCGTGATAGGGCCAAGGGGCTTGGCGGTAGAGTGAGCGCAATGGGAAGGTCCCTAGTTCAATTCCTGGTTGGGGGATGACTCAGCCCCTCATCCCTCTGTCGTTCAATACAATGAGTAGCACTTTGTGGAGAAATGAACAGTAGTTGTCATTATGGTTCGACTCATCCCTGCCATAGCATTGTGGAATTTGCGCAACTAGCTAAGGCCTGTAAAATAGGAGCTTGTGTAGGAAACCATTTTGATGCGTGAGAGCCATTTACAAACACCCGGGTGCACAACCGTACATCTGGGTCAGCTGAGGTTGCCAGTAGCTCCCAACACTGTTTCTCATCCATCAACCACATGGGGAAGGTCATGGAGTTAAACTTGAAGTTCTCTAAACTAAATGGTGTCTAGATGCCACCACCACTGCTCCTCACTACCAGCGCGTATTCTCTGCCAGACTCGGCAAGTTCATTCAAATTCAGACTATTGACTTTTCATGCATTCATCCCTTCTTGCTCCAGCCCTGTGCTGGGATAGCGGTTGTCGCGAGTGACCCGGCGAGACGCTAACGAGTGTGTGGGCCGCACGCAAGCAGGCCGAGTTACGCGCTCTCGAGGACGGAGGAGGCAGCTCGCGATCGTCCACCCCGAGACGTGACGACCCGGAGGACGTCGGCGCCAGCGCCGCCGCCACGGAGCCAAAACCCAAGTGGAAGACGTTTGTTCGGGCGGCGAGCCCTCCTCCTCCGCCGGCCCGCGCGGCCACATCGCCCGAGCGAGATGCCCACGACGCGGGGCTCGGCGAGGAGGAGGAGGAGGAAGCCGAAGCGGGGCACCTGGAGGAGGGGCCCAGCTCGGCCGCGGGGTCCGTAAAGGGGGAGAGAAGCCCTGAGGGAGTGCAGGGCGTGGACCCCGCTGGGGCCGTGGACACGGGCGACGAAGAGGAGGAGGACGAGGCGGGTGATGTTGTACAAGAGGCTGAGGATGGCGTGATGGCAGGCAAGGTGGGCGCCGGGGAGGACGACGACGACGACGAGGAGGAGGAGAGGGAGAGCGAGACACCAGCGTCATCACACACAGGTGTCGTGCTCGCTCCTGCTGTCGGATGCTGCCTGTGATGTCGATGACTGAGCCACGCGCTCCACTCGCGCGCTACTCGGGCTCCACTCTTGCGCCATATTCACGCCACCCTCACACTACTTTCACACCACTCTAGTTGCCTGCCTTACCCTGTTGCCAACTTGCAGGCTGGTGCTGAATTGGCTTATGCCTCACAGGAACAAGCTGTCAGTAAGGGTTCCCTCCTCTGCTAAAAACAACCAAAATGCTGTCTGACACGTTATTCCGTTATGGCGGCAATATAATTACAAGTTTTGTTATTAGACTCCCCTCACCGATATCCCCTTCTGTGCATGACCAGTGAGTGCGTGTTTTATACGTTTGAAGTGCAGTGGTTGAGTCTGACTGGCGGCATCTGTGTTGTGTGCGCTGTGTTGGTTCAGGCGTAGTGAGGAGCCACAGCAGGGCGCCTGGCCGCACGGAGGAAGCGAGGAGGAGGGGAGGGACAGGAGGTGGAGGAGGAGGTGGAGGCAGGGTGGATCCAGAGGATGACGACGACCAGGTGAAGGTGAGACCAGCAGAGAGACGTGCAGCTTCATCACTACCTCATCACCTCGTCATCTTTAAGGATGGGTGGTTAAAGGAGTCTCATTGCACAACCAGTTATGAATGTTAATGATCACTGTTTTGTGTTTCTAAACCTCATGTGTTTTTTAATCTGCTGATGCAAATAACAAACACAACGTTCGTTATATCTCCCAGCGGGGACATCTTGACTCTTTACAGTTTGTCATCGCTGAGCTGGCCAACGACTTGACAAGCAAGCTGGGCTTTCTGGGCATCAGCACGCGAGCTGTCTCCAACTTCCAACTATTGCTGCTCACCACACAGGTGACTCACCACATTAATTGCATCACCACAGATAAACTCACTTCACTGATAAACTCACCACCACAAGTGTCTCTCCTCGGCGTGTTCGGAAGGCACTTTGCTAGGCAGTTGCACGCAGGAGGGCTCGTGCGCTCTCACGTACCGTGTCGGTAGTCCGAGACGTACATGCAGTGTGTCCGTCTGGGTGTCTGCGCAGACCCGTCTGGCGGACTGGCGCGAGGGCTCCCTGGACAGCCGCTACCTGAAACGCCGCCTGCAGGAGGGGGCGGCGCAGCTCGCGCAATACGAGTGCAACGCCACCCCTAAGGGCTGGGCATGCACCTGGGACAGGTACGCACTCTCTCACGTGCGCACCGTTGACCCGTCACCGCTTCAAGAAACTATTTACCCGATCGGAACCTTGGGCCCAGAGAGCGAACGCAAAATCTCGAGATCAGACATGGAAATCCCCAAAGCCAGAGACACTCGGCGGCCCGCCCTGCCGCGAGCCCGGACGGACTGAGTGTAGCGCCGCGACGAAACAAACGCGCGCCCTTTAAGCTTAAACGGCAATCCGGCGAAGATCTCGGAGCGAGTAGGACTCTGCGGGTGTCCCCCCCGACTGTGCGTGCGAGCCGAGCACGTGGTACGCACGTGGGCGTTTCCGGAGGGAGGGATTTGTGTTGTTGCACACGCTCAAGCACCCAGTTGACAGCCCAGCGACGCGGCCGGGAGGGGCCCACACGCGGGGAGCCAGGCCTGCCGCGGAGCCAGAGCTGGGACGGCGACGCCGCGTAGGCGCGAGCGCGTGTGATGTGGGATCGCTCAGGTCAGTGCCGCCGCACGAACACCTCACATTTTGTCGTGCTCAACGATTCCGACGCGCCTCTTCCGAAAGTGTTTGGATAAAACCCATGTTGTGTTCTGTGTTTTTCAGCGACAAGACCACCGCGTGCGCCTATTGATGCCTGAGTGTGTGTAATGGCGACGACTATTAATATTGCTGATATCCATGTGGAGTGAATGTACACACCCGCACCGGTGCGCGTGCGTGCGTGTACGCATACATGTGTGCTCAATACAAAATGTACACGACATTCAAGTAATATTTTAAACTCGCAAGCACAGAGCGATAGGCTTGGTGGGGTGTAGAGGTGACTGTGTAAACCTGACCTCTGCGCCCCCGTTTGGTTGGAACGATTGCCCGGCCCGCTCCACGCAAGCGGCGCTGGCGGGGCCAGGTCCCGGCCGCCCCTTGCGCTTCTCGCGGTTGAGTTTTCAGAGTGTGCCGCCGGTGCCCCTGCTAACTGTGCCGGCACGCAGCGCAGGGACGAGGTGGCGCGCTCGGTCACCACGAGTGTTGTGTTGGACTGTGCTGCGTGCACATGGACGTGCGTGTCTGCGTGCGAGCGTGTGCGCGCCGTGCATGCTCGCGGAGGTTGTGTGCAGCGGATGGAGCTCGTGCGCGTGAGTGCGCGTGTGGCGGGTGGCGGTGCGTGTGCGCGCCTGCCCGTGCTTGTGGCGTGTGTGTGATTGCGCGCATGGTGTGTGTTCCCTCTCGCCCTCCCGCACGCAGGACCCACGCTCGCTACTACTACACCAACGAGCGGACGGGCGCGTCGCAGTGGGAGTTCCCCGATGTCACCGACGAGGGGGTGGGGGAGGAGAATGATGCGGGGCGAGGGGAGGGGCCGGTGGGAGGGGTCAGCGTGGAGACACCAGACTGGCTGACTCTGAACCGGCCCCTCATGACAGGTCAGCCTCACGCAGGCGCAAGCAGCCGTTTTGTGGCCGAAACGTCGTGAGAATTGTATTTTATTATGTTTTATTTTTTATTATTTTATTATTTCCCTTCTTCGTGACTTTACCGAAAGAACCAAGAAGGCGATGCTTGCCAATAATGCCATGGGGCAGCAGGGCGGTGCAGCAGCCTGTGCTCGATTCACAACTCGGGCACCTTTATGCTTGGAGTTTATGATATGTTTTCTCTCTGTTCTGTATGGCTTTTCTTTGGGTTCTCTCTGGTTTGGCCCCACACAATGTAGCTGGTATTGGCCAAACATCTCAATGCTGGCAATTTACCTGCAAGTATAAGATTACAAATATAGCAATATCAAGCTCTCTATAGCAAGAAATTAGCAGGATCCAGGCTTTTCTGGCTATACAAGCGTCGCAATAATAATTACTGGTGTCGTAGGTGGTGTAATAGGAATGACTTCATGTGGCAATTCATCGGTTAAAATTAGTTATGTAATTCTCAAGGTGTACATCAAGTCATGCATATAAGACTCGTTTAATTACTGTTTAACCAAGTCATAAAAAATATTGGCATCGGGCTAATGGAATTTACAGGACAAATGCAGATAATTGAAACGAGAAAAACGATACAAACTGTAAGTCGAATTTCGATTTAAAGCTTTCGCGACTGCCGGGATTCATCTTCTTGGTTCTTTCGATAAAGTCACGTAGAATGGAAATATGTTTTATTTCTATTATTTTATTATTTCCATCGAATAATTGATTATTGAATTCAATTCTAACCTCAAACTGAGACGGTGGATTGGTGGAGGATTAATTTCACACAAACACCTCCACACACAGTTCCACTAACACACACCTCCACTCACACATACCTATAATCACAAACTTCCATCAACACACCACCCCACTGCCCAGGAGGGCCCTAACTCCCGTGGTGATGACGCCGTCTTCCTTGCTGCACAGATGCGTTCGCGGCGCACGTGGAACAACCCAGCATGTCGGCGTCTCTGCGCGACGTGCCTCTGCTGCCTCCGCCCGCCCTGGCCCCCTCCTCCTTGGCCTCGTACTCCAAACCGCTCGCTCCTCTGGCGGCGCTCCAGTACGCCCTGCCGGCGGCCATGGTGCCCCCCTACCCGCTCGCGCACGCTCCCCCCGCGGGCCCGTGCCACCCGAGCGCACCCCCCCCCGTGGCCGCCCCTCCCTCGAGCGCCCCCCCTCCCCTCCCTCCGCCCCCTCCGCCCCCTCCTCCCCCGGCCGAGCCCTTGCCTCCGCCGCCCCCCGAGAGCCCCCCACCCCCCCCGCCACCCCCCGAGAGCCCCCCCCCACCCCCGCCTCCGCTGGAGGATGACGACATTGAGGAAGTGGACATGCAGCTGGAGACCGGAGCCGGGGAGCCGCCCCCACCGGGCGTGGAGGAGCCGGCGCCCCCACTTCCACCCCCACTCAAGGCTGGCAAGGCCCCCCTACACACCCACGTTCTGAGTGCAGCTGTGTCCGAGGCCGACCCGGCCACGGGAAAGGTGCGTGCGTTGTGCATGGAGGGGTGTCCGAGAGGATGTGTGTTTGTGTGTGTGGATGTGGGCGAGTAAAGAGGTGTGGAGGTGTGCACGTGAATGGACTTCCTGTGTGTGTGTATCGGCTCAGTAGTTATCTGTGTGGTCGTGCGTGAGCTGAGCGGTGGTGTAGTGGATTGCACACTGCGCTATGATTCCCCACTCACCGATCGTGGGACCTCCCCAGCTCAACGGTACCTTTGTGTGGTGTCTAAACATCAGCACTGGGGAGACAAAGGTGGCCGGGCATGGCCCGGACCGCCCCAACCTCCTTTACGCCTTGTCGGCCTTCATATGTGGTCGCGAACAGCCCTTGCCCTATCAGCCTGTGTGGGCTACACGGCTGTCTGTCTTTGTGCGTGTGACCGTGCGTGTGCACACATAATGACTTGTGTGTGTGTGTGTGTGCAGGACGAGGCTGTCCGGGCTGGTTCGCACTGTGAAGCGGAAAGTGCCAGCGGTGATCTCGGCTCCACCGCAGATTTGCAAACCCCCCACCACGATCGGCAGCAAGGCCATGCTGTACCCCCCCTCCGGTCAGTGGTATCAACGCACTCCTTCGTCGCTCCTCCTTGCTCACTCCTAACTTAAATTTTGACTTAAAACTTTCGTGACTGCAGGAATTCATATTCTTTGATTCTTTCGATAAAATCACGTAGATAGAAAAATTATAATAATTAAATGTGAAAATATATACAAATAAATAAATAAAGCACTCTATAAGACTGTAGCCTGGTTTTTAATCGGAGTGAGTGTACTGGCAGTCTATAAGGTAGACTGTAGCCTGGTTCTTAACCTCGGTGAGCGTACTGGCAGTCTATAATGTAGATTGTAGCCTGGTTATTAAGCTGGGTGAGTGTACTGGCAGTCTATAATGTAGACTGTGACCTGGTTCTTAACCTGAGTGAGCGTACTGGCATTATATAATGTAGACTTATTCTTGGTTCTTTCAGAAATAAAATTAAAAGAAAAAACCACGACGTTTCGATGGCAACACAAGCGGTCGTCATCAGGAAAAGGGGGGTTAGCCTCTAAAGGCAAACTGTTTATAAAGGTTTAGAGATGGGCGTAGCCCAAGTGAGTCAGCAGCATGGGCGGGGCAGCTGATGTTGACTTGCTCCTTCTCACTTGCTCCTCCTCAGTTGCTCCTCACTCGCTCCTTCCACCGATCTTGTCTTTTGTTTGTATGTTTGCACCAGCAGTAGTGGGCCCAAGTGACCCATTGGTTGCCATGGTACCAGGAGCATGGGGTCCAGGGGAGCCCCTGTCCAGCATCGTGACGACCATCCAGCCACCCTCTATCACAATGCCGACGCACTCCGCTCTGCCCAGCGGTCCCACCCTCGCCACCAATGCAGTGGCGGACAAAGCCAAGAAAACTAAGAAGGTGTGAGTGGGGGGCTTGTGTGTGTCGGTACCCCCACATGCCGGGCTGGATTTAGTCAATGATTGTCGGCTGGAGTGGGCACGTGACTACCAACCACAGCCATGCAAATGTGTCCTTTGATGTTTCATGTGGAGCGGCAAATATGGGAGGAGGCAAATTGTCTGCTTATTTAGAGGTGATTTCCAGTCGCACTGAAGAAATATTGCACACGTTACACGCACACGCCATGGTCTCACATGTCGTCGAGTCCCCGGCCCTGCGTGTGCTGCCTCATGCTGATGAAACCACAAGCGATGGTGAACGAGACCATCATCTCACTCCACTTGAGAACCAAGGTTCATCTATGTTAAATGTGCGTGCGTGTGCAGCTGAAGAAGGTGTCCGGGAAGGTGAAGGGGAAGATGCCACCGCTGGTACAGAAGTGGAAGAGCATCCAGCGCGAGCTGGAGGAGGAAGAACGCGGCAGCTCCAGCGACGACGGGGAGCCACAGGACCCCACCACGCGCATCATCAACTGGCGCCACGAGCAGATGCTCACGTACGTCCAGACATCACAAGCTCATCCTGCGCAGCTGCTCAATCATCCAACTCGCTCACCTCACTCACTCGCCCTGCCCACTCACCCTGCCCACCCGCCCTGCTCACTCACCCTGCCCCCTCACCCTGCCCACTCACCCTGCCCCCTCACCCTGCCCACTCACCCTGCCCACCCGCCCTGCTCACTCACCCTGCCCCCTCACCCTGCCCACTCACCCTGCCCACTCGCCCTGCCCCCTCACCCTGCCCACTCACCCTGCCCCCACACCCTGCCCACTCACCCTGCCCACTCACCCTGCCCCCTCACCCTGCCCCCTCACCCTGCCCCCTCACCCTGCCCCCTCACCCTGCCCCCTCATCCTGCCCACTCATCCTGCCCACTCACCCTGCTCACTCACCCTGCCCCCTCACCCTGCCCACTCGCCCTGCCCCCTCACCCTGCCCCCTCACCCTGCCCACTCACCCTGCCCCCTCACCCTGCCCCCACACCCTGCCCCCACACCCTGCCCACTCACCCTGCCCCCGCGGCACCACCACACTGCAGTTCACCTCGCTTCTCTTGCTGTTTCTGCCCTTGCACTGCTCCACTTTATAATTCCCCGCATCGTCTTTATTCCCCAAGCTCTTATAATAATAACCTTGCTCAATTCAAGAAAGGGATTCACACTGATCTATAATATCTTTGATCGTGCTGTTGGTTGCTGGCTGCATAGCATTTTGTACCTTTGGGCCTGTGCTCGGCAACCATGTTTAAAAAACGAACACCCCCCCGCAACACGTCCCACACCTGCCCACACACCACGTCCATCTTTCACCACCGCTAACCAGATTCGTCGATGTGTTACGCACACAGGGGCAAATCGGAGAGGAATGCCAACTTTGAGGCGCTGCCTGAGGACTGGCGCGAGCGGCTCAAGCGCCGGAAGATGAACCCGCGCTAGCCACCGGCTTGGGGGGGTGATTGGGCGCCGCGGGGACAGAGGAAATGGCACAACCCGGGGGGGGCAACCTTGCGAAACTTGAATTGGGTTTATTCATTTTTACGACCGTGTGCCGACACTGGTGGGTTTAGGTGGGGGGGGGGGTTAACGAACCGTCGTGGGTCTGGGCAGCGAGCCGGACGCTATGCGATTGGAGTTGACCTATGGGGCAATAGGGCAATGGGGCTTCGTGTCACCCTGTGGCGATGGCATGTGGGTCATGGGACTCGTGCACATTTGTTTTACGAGACCAAGTTTTGCGCTGGGTAAATATTTCTCGTATTCCTTAGATGTCTGTCAGACCTCCGTGTAAGAGCCAAAACATGTTTTTGTTTGACCGTTGTATGTTTTTAAATAAAGACAATTGCATTGACTTGTAAGCGTGGTGCAGGCTCATAGTTGTATACAGGGCACTGGACTCATCACAACACATCAACTGGACAGTCACTTGGGATGCAGCAACTCGCGTGCAAGGGTGCCCTGCATGTTAATGAACACATCAAATACGGAACATGCGCACATGCTTTTTAAATCTTTGACTTGTACAGTTTGAATTCATACAATGAACATCACACTCCGCCCTAACACAAATATAAACATTTGAGGTATCCACATTCTTGATAACATTCACATTTCAGCTTTATTTAGATGTGGCTGCGTGGGTGATGTTATCTCTGTGGTGGTGGGATGTTAACTACCTCACCTGGTGTGCAGGGGGCCATAGGTTCAATCCCGACCCTGACGCTGCCTGCTGCTGCTGTATATTTGGGGTTTGCATGTTTTCCCCGTAGTCGCGTCGATTTTTCTCCTGGACCTCCAGTTTTCCCTCCAGTTTTTCCCTCCACATTTAGAAACATTCGTTTAGTGTATTTGGCTGAAAGACGTTCCCACATGATGATCCTCTTCGTTTAGGTATAAGTTGTGGCCAGGTAACTTGTGAAAAATAGCTATATAGCTTTGTGTGCCTTATTTGGTAAAATATAAAGTTAAGTAAGATACGTACCCCCATGTTACATTACCACTGGTTTGCCTTATGGACTTTGAAGGGGTGAACTTGAGACAACTGGTGACAAAGTCATGCACGCAATCATCCAAATAAAGTTGAAATGTGAAAATTATGAATAGTAATAACTGGACTTGCATACGTTGAGTTGAAATAATGACGTAAACGTGCCTGCGATATTTAATCTGTCAACACTTTGGCGTTTAAAACAATCTGCGCATCTTGTGGCCTGGCTTGTGATGATAGAAACACCATCCAGACCATCGGCTGTACAGCAGTGAGCAGCTGTAAACTGGGGGAGTTTGGGGGTCACGATGTGAAACCATATGGTCGTGAACCACCAAGTCTGTCTCTGAGACTATGGATCTGTGCGAGTCTGCGGCTTAAGGTGTAAGGCCTATAGGATTTTGAGTTCATATATCGGTTGATGTGAGCCTGTGGGTGTCTGAGTTTATGGGTCTTTATGGCTCTGGATCTCTGTGAGCCTTCACAGCAATGATACGAAACTTGAGATATTTGTTCATAACAGTGGCCTTAAAAAAAAAATAAGTGACGTTTCGGACACTGGCCCTTCATAGCATAAATACTCGCACACGACAGAGCAGTGGATGGCTGTAAACTGACAATATAACGGAGTCACCGAAGCAAATCCACGGCACATCAACTGAAGTTCTTTCCTGGCTAAGCTTATTCTGGACATTGACGTGTAAGCTGCTGCTCATCGAGGCGCGTGTCGCTGTGTTAGCCAGAGGCACCTCGCTGTGTTTATTATCGAGAGGGGTCTGGTTGAATGCATACCTGGCGTGCCATTACGAAACCCATCCGGCAGGTATGCGCTCAGGAATGCAGGCGAACACCTGCGGGTCTGGGCGTGCTTGCCTTGCAGTCATGCGTCCGACCCATGAGAGATGAAACACGCTAGGGATGTTTACGTCCTGGCCCACTACGCACCGAGTTGTTGACATCTCGGTGGTGAGTGTTGTGATGAATCCCGTCGTGATCATCTGTGCAATATGGAGTCGATTCAGTGGAGGGTGGAGGAAGGCGTCTGACCGAATCTCCACGTGGCGGTCTCCGTGGTTCTGTTGAACGATGGGGAGCGGCTACCCGAGTTCGATTCCCTCTCATGGGTAACATCCGTGACTAATATCTGAACTGGTTATTGTCCTCCTCTAGGTCGACCCAGGGTTAAATGAGTACCTGGTGTGGGTTGGTTAACCATAAGCATTGGAAAGACCAAGGCGGCAGGGCGTGGTGCTGGCCACCCAACCCCTTGTGTGCCATGCCGTCCTTAGTAGATGCTCGCTAACAGCACTTATTCCAACAATGTGTTCAAGGCTATATGGGGGGTGGTGTGCGTTAAAATGTGTGGTTGTGTTGTAGTTTGACTGACGCACTAGTTGGTTGTGGTGTGTGTGATGTATGCGTAGGAGTGTGTTCGTGTATGGTTGTGTTGATGTGTAACTATCGTGTATTTCGCCCCTGAAAAAACAACCGAGTGTTCATCGGCTGCGAAACAGATCAGTCTCTGGAGGCGGCTTGTGAAGGACTGTGCCGGGCAGTTGAAGAGAATGGCCCTCCGGTAACGCAGGGTGGAGGGGCGATACAACAAACAGTCTGGGACGGTGGTGAGGACAGGTGGTGCCCTCTTCCAGTCGGTCGTCAATCCAAAACCCAAAGTGCGCGTGGCTGTCACGTGGTGAAGCGCTTGGTTCACTTTGAACCCAAACTATGGACCGTCGTCTTTGCTCCTTCAACGTTAGAACCGAAAAACGACAGGAAGCCTCTCCTGAAGCCCTTTCGTCGTGGCTATCAGACCTCGACATTGGCCTTTAGTTCCTGAACATCATGCAGCCAAACGCAAAAATATAATTGTGGTGAATGACGGCCGTTGTGTGTTTCTGTGTATGAGCGAGTGGCTCTTGTTAATCAGGGTTTGATTAGTCGGATGAGCCCAGGTGCTTGTATGGAATGCAGGTCGATGTTTATACATCTGCATCACCACCGCCCTCCCCGCGCAAGTTTAACGACTTCTTACATCCATCGCTTGAGTTCACAAAGAGAAACCCTAAACTCACAGGGGCCCTTCGCCCTCCCACTCAAGCACGCCCATTTAAATGCAGGTATGCAGCAGCAGCAGCTACCACCGCCCTCCCCCCGTCTCCATAACATTGTCTCCGTGCCCACAGGGATCCGATAAGACAATTGAAGCATTTAGTTTGTATTGGTGCCAGGAGCATCTGGTTTAACCAGTCTGGCAGATTTCCTGACGAACGGCCAGAAATGACTTAATCCGAGCCCAGTCGAAGAGAGGGGCTAAGGCGACAGTCTCGTCCGCAGCTTCACACGCGAGATCAACATCTGATGCCCCGTTTCGCCACGATATCTCTCCCTCTACGATTTTTTTTACATTTCATCACCACAGAACCCTCTTTCGGGAGTGCATAATTTCAGCAAGATTGGTTCAACACAAGCAAATGTTAGACCAGCTTCGATATTCGGTGTACCATCAGTAGAGTCAGGCTTGCTTGAACTAATATTGGTCAAGTGCCAGATGTTTATAAAGATCCTCGCTCTGTGTTGGGTATGGGTTCTACTTCTGTGCTGAATACATTTGTATTCATTTATGGCGACACACCGGATGTATCACGAACAAACAGATCAGACATCGCAAAGTTTAGAATGAGGGGGGTGACCATGATGATGACGACGGGCGAAGGAGTTGCCACAGGGTGAACGCGCACGATCTTCGCGGAGTGAGTTTCCTGCGCCTGTAGGTGGAGGACTGCGTGGTGGTGGTGGTGGAGTGGTGGTGGTGGAGTGGGGAGCGGTCGTGTTGTGGTGCCACGGCCGTGGAGCAACTCCGCAAGCGCCGCGACTCCCCCCTGCCCCCCACCCTGAACACACACACACGCAGCACACGCACACACGCAGCACACGTACACAGCACACGCACACACGCAGCACACACACAGCACACGCAGCACATACACACGCAGCACACACACGCAGCACACACACGCACACAGCACACGCACACACGCAGCACACGCACACAGCACACGCACACACGCAGCACACACACAGCACACGCACACACGCAGCACACACACACGTAGCACACACGCAGCACACACACGCAGCACACGCACACATGCAACACACACACGCAGCACACACACACGCAGCACACGCACACACGCAGCACACACACGTAGTGTCCCGGCGGGGGATCGCCTGGCACCACGGGTTTTCATCCGAAGGGCCCCGAGGTGGGAAGTCCCGCGGTTTCCCGGTGCCAGGAGATTGGCCGATCCTCCCAGGGCCAATCACATTGCGGTGCCCCTAACGATTGGCTTCAAATTGTATGGACACACAAAGGTTCACAGGTAGGCCCACGTTTGGCTGCCCAGGATGATGTAACCCTGGATTTTCAAAGTCAAGTGGCATAAAAAGGGGAGCGAAAAAACGGTTCAACAGCTTGGCCACCAAGACCCCCCCCCCTCCTACCGTCCTGCCTCCTCGAGCCGCTCGCAGCATCCGTGCCAGCGACTGCTGCTACGAGGCAGTGATAGTCGAGGTTTTTTCGTCATCCTCCCTCCGACTCTCACAGCGTCCGTGCGGCGCCATGAGTACAGCTGCGAGGTACGTGATAGGCGTGTGAGTGTTTGGGGACTTGGATAGCAGTAGACTCGACTCTGCTCGCAGAATATTCCCTCCAGGCAGTGCAGGGCTTGTGCCGTGAATAAAAGTTAGCACAGAGCCTCGGTGCAGTGTTTGTGATTTGAGTGTGTGTGGAGCGACTGCCCGCTGGTGCGCGCGCGTTCGTGCCGCCGCTGAGCGTGAGTCTTCGTGGGGGCGCGGGGTAGAATAGAACAATCCCCGTCGGCGCGCCCGTGTTCCCGCCGCCGCTGTCGCGTTGACTGAGTGGCGTGCGCGTTTTAGAATATAACCGCCTGCAGGCGCGCGTGTTCCCGCAGCCGCCTTCGCGTCAGCTGCAGTGCGGGCGCGTGCTCGCCGCCGCGTGAGCATTAGCGGTGGTGGTGAGTGCACGTGAGTGAGGACTGACCGTGTACGGCGGTCAGCCAGCCATGTCTCTCCGAGAGGGCGCGGGAGGGCCGATCACTCGATCGGCGGGGGCCCGGCACGAGCTGAGCGAGGCGGTGGAGGGGGGAGTGGAGGGGGCGAACTTAGCGCCCCACCTGCCCAGCGAGGGCGGTGGGGCGCTCACAGTGTAACGGTTCGGGTTACGGCAGGTGTTGTTAGCGAGCACCTCTGAAGGCCAACACCAGGCCAGTCCGCCTTTGTCTCCCGAGTGGCGATGTTAACACACTGCACCAGGTACTCATTTGAGGCTGAATCGACCTAGGGGAGGCCCAGATAATTGTCTTTGGTGTTGGCCGTAAGCGAGAATCGAACTCGGGTGGGCGGGTTCGTAGTGGAGCGCGCTAATCGCTACTCGAGCACTCCCCCACCCCTACCCCCACCCCTACCCCCACCCCCTACCCCCACCCCCTACCCCACCCCTACCCCACCCCTGCCCCCCAACCCCGCCCGCATGCAAGCGATGAGGTGCGGGAATGCGCGAGTCGAGGATTTCCACGGTGCATTCCTGGGCGCGGCCTCCGCTCTCTTAAGCCGACTTCCCCCACCTAGCCTCCATCAGTGCCACCTTGAGGAGTCGAGGTGTCGCCACAGCCAGCTTACCAACTACAACCAGCTACCAACGAGTGATTAGAACCAACTCCCACCGCCGCCGCCACGATGCTGAGGTTCGCGTTTCTACTCGCGCTGGCGCTGCGGTGCGGAGCCAACCACCTGCTGACAGGTGAGCGGTGGCGAGGGGGAGCCTGGACCCTCGGGGGTTGTGGCGAGCGAGCCTCTGACTTGGACTCCCACTGGGGGTCTCACGCATATTTCTCCTGCACACAGAGTCGCCCATTGTGCGCCTGTCTGTCGCCGCTGTGAAGTTCGCACTGCGTCTTGGTGGATTCTATTCGCGTCTCTCTCTCTCTCCCAATTGGAGCGCTGGTTTAATCGGCCCGATCGTTTGGTGGTCATCTTTCCATGATAAATTCTCGCGTTCAACATCGAATTACCCGGTCGGTGTTAGAGAACGGTCCTCGGAAAGTGACATCACGAGAGGTCATCTTTTATCCGCACGCTATGGGGCAATGCACACGTGCTTCCGCAAGTTCGTGGCATGGCAGTTGACGCGATATATATTTTATTATTATCAGACCCACATCAACATAACCAGGCTGAGACCATCAGCTCGCTCATTCCGATACACCGGTCAAAAATCACGCTTTAAACCGGGAATCAAACCCAGGTTGTCATCGCTGTCGACTCGGCATTATCATTGCCCTGAGTAACGCGGGCAGCTGGTGGCACGCTAACGAGGATGTTGATGACTTCAGTCGGTGGGTGCGATGATAGAGGGCAGATCTCGGAGGTTGTGAATCTGCTGCACAGCAGCCGCGGTGGTCGCTGCCCGGTGGCGGTGCACGGGTGCTGCCCCCTGCCCAGCGGGGCGCGGGGCAGCAGGGCGCGGGGCAGCGGGGCGCGGGGCAGCGGGGCGCGGGGCAGCGGGGCGCGGGGCCCGGACATCCCCGTAGGACGCTTCGGTAGCGAGCGAGGTGTCGGTCTTGATGATGGGTGGATGATCGTGTCCTGCAGATTATCAGGTGAAACTGCTGAACACCAGCGTCGTTCGTGCGGCGCAGACACCTCAGTCCGTGGCCTTCGCAGTGCCCTCGTGCGAGATCTCCACGATCGCGGGCACCATGCTCAACATCTTCGTGACGCCCAACACGACCGGAGGCGAGTCTCGCGCGACGCATCGGGCACCTGCCCCTCCCTCCACCTCCAGACCCCATCACGACCACCCTCATAATCACTCCTCACCTCCCTCCACCAACCTCTTCTCCGCTTGCCCTCACCTGTCTCCAGCCCATACCCTTCCTCCACCTCCCTCTACCCCCCATCGCCTCCCTCCACTCACCTGCCCAGATGTCCTTATTACCCTCACCTCCCCTCTACCTTCTTACATCGGGTTACAATCTCAATGTGTGCTGTCATCACAGAGCAAGCAACCATTGCCACCGCCCCAATCCACGCCCCCAGGGGGCGGGGCAGTATCCCCAGGGCGTAGTGTGATGCCCGGTGCCCCCAGGGCAGAGTGTGATGCCCGGTGCCCCCAGGGCAGAGTGTGATGCCCGGTGCCCCCAGGGCGGAGTGTGATGCCCGGTGCCCCCAGGGCGGAGTGTGATGCCCGGTGCCCCCAGGGCGGAGTGTGATGCCCGGTGCCCCCAGGGCGGAGTGTGATGCCCGGTGCCCCCAGGGCGGAGTGTGATGCCCGGTGCCCCCGGGGCGGAGTGTGACGTGCTCACCGTGTGTTCTCCTGCAGTCGAGGTGATCGTTGGGCAGGTGGCGGTGCCGGGGTGTCGCGTGGCGCGGGCCGTGTCGGGGCAGGTGGTGTCTGGGAACGACGGGAAGGGCCCGGGCATCCCCGTGCCCAGCGGAGTGGCCTATCGGGTCACGGGGCTCACCCCCAGCACCAGTTACTCGTGAGTTGCGCACGTGGTCATGGGGCCATGGGGCCCGATTGGGGAACACGGCAAGCAGCCGGAATCTGTTTATTATCGTTCCGCTTGTTTACCCATGACTTTGTTTCAGGAGGGTCCTGCCAAGTTTTCGCAGGAGAGAGCGATGGCTGCTGCTGTATATCATCCTAATTGAATAATTTGCAAGGGCTCATTCACGTCCACTGCAAAGCAGACTTTTTTCTACCGTTAATACGCCCGCAGTATTAATCAGGGCGGCCACTGGAATCGAGCCGTGAACCGAGTCAACCCCCTCAACCAGAATTGAACTCTCAATTTTTAGATTACGAGCCGATCGCTCTAATGTATAAAAAAGAAAAGTTTTAAAACATAGACGTTGAAGAGACACTGAAGGCGACGGGGTGGTCCGTGCAGAACACCGCGCGGCGCGCGTCCCGTCCCCTCGGCTACAGCGCCTCCCTCCGCGCAGGAACTACGGAGGCGACGCCTCAGCCCTGTCCCCGGCCTCACTCCTCCACCCCCGCGCACCAATCATCCCACGTGTGCGGCAGGCTGAGAGCGCAGTGAGCACACTCGCGCCTCGCAGCGAGCTCATGGGGTCGATTCCAACCGAGGCACCTTTCTGCGTCGAGTTTGCATGTTCTCCCCCTGTTCCGCATGGGCCGAAACAAATCCTACAATGTAACCGGTATTGGCCAAACATCCCAATTCAGAAAATTACCCAATGCAAATTACTTGATTGGGATTTCGCATAGCAACATTGCCCCCCCCCCCCTACTGTCAAGACTTGGTAGGACCATCCTGAAAAAACAGTTGAGACTCCGCTAGGAGCTTTCCTGGGAAAACAAGGGTAATACTAATAATAATAAGATGCAAGGTACACACGTGTACGCATGGTCCGAGTGTTCGCTGTGTGCGTGCAGGATGCAACGTGGGTTCGTTGGTTTTCTCCCATGGCTAAAACCCCCCACACAATGTAACCAGAATTGGACAAATACCGCATCGCAGTGCTAAAAATATCTACAAATCACTCACTTGGGATTTCCCTCTGCCACAAAAAGGTGGCAGGACCCTCCTTGAAAGAAGTTTGAGACTCCGTGAGGCTATCCTGGATAGGGATGGAACTATTCTTAAACAATAACCCCACCCTCCTTTCCCCCACAGGGTGGTTCTCCGCCATCCAACATCGGGGGTGCAGTCCGTGCCCGGGATCCTCAGCACGGCGAATGTGCGCACCCCCCGCAGCGCGGTGGACGCGGAGGCGTTCTCGCGCTCGGGAGGAATGGTGGTGATCACGGTCATCCTCTCCGTCCTGATCTTCCTGCTCATTGCCATCCTCGTCGCCGCCTTGCTGCTCGGAAACAAAAATTGAAAGGGATTGACCCCTCCCCGAGACCCCCTCCCCGAGACCCCCTCCCCGAAACCCCCTCCCCGAAACCCCCTCCCCGAGACCCCCTCCCCGAGACCCCCAATACTTTGAAACCCCAAACTCCTAAGATCCTGAGACTCACGCTCAGGTCATCAGACACACTCACTCGGGTCCGTGGCATCTCGCTTGCCAGATGAGGGACCCCCCTTGTACTCGTCCCCTCGTCTAATGTGAAGGACCCCTGTATTTTCTTGGCGTTTGTCTTGTACGTGTCCTGCCTAGGGTCCGTGTAGTTGAGTTTAAGGCAGTGTGGTGTTTAAATTTTGACTGCGTGAATGCTGTATCGCGTTTTAAATGTCGCCTGGCTCTACTCCGCGTTCGTTTGAAGACATCGCTGCTCCGCTCCTGTGACCGCGCGGCAGCGATCACCGCGTCCGTGAATTAATAAATCTGAAACTGCCGACCCTGTCTCCGAGTCCCGACGTCGACCCCTCTACGACCCTCTCCTCCCCATTTCCTACCTTAACCATCTCCTCTACCCTCATCCCCTCGCTCTAGCTTACCCTCTTTTCTCTCTCTTAATCTTGTTCCACCTCTTAGCTTCTCCCTCTTGTCCCTCCTTCCTTCTCGTCCGTTCTCGCGTATGCCGTCTCCTCCGCGCTCCTCCTCCTCCTCTCTTTGTGTCTCTCTCACCGCGTCCCCTCTCCTCCCGCCCCTCTCGTCTCTGGACACGGGTGAGTGGCGCCCTCTGCAGGCGATCCCCGTCCGTCTCGGAGCGCCGGGCTCGGGTAAATCGCCGCTCTGAGCAACAATAATCCCGGGCGCCACCGCTCAGCCTCCCGCGGCCACGCGAATTCTCTTGGCGATGCTGCCCAGACGTCGCGGCGCAGAGACTCTCACGGCGACGGCCCGGTCATACTAGCGCCCCCATCCTCCGGCACGCCGCCCCGCCCCCTCCACTCCCCCCCCCTCCTGCTGCTGCTACCGCTGCTGTTCCTGCTGCTGCTACCGCTGCTGTTCCTTCTGCTGCTACCGCTGCTAACATGGCTGCTGCTGCCCGGGTGCTGCTGTGCGCGGGGCTCGCCCTGGCGCTGTGCGCGCTGGGGCTGCTCGCCGTGGCCGCGTGCTCCGACCACTGGTACGAGACGGACACGCGGCAGCACAAAGAGCGCTGCCGCATCTCGCTCAGTCGCCGTAACGACCCGGGGTACATTTACAACTACAACAGCAACCTTCCGCTCAGACAAAGGCCGCGCGGGCAGCGGGGCGGAAGATTCGCCCGGCATCGGCGAGAATTCTGGGGCTCCGCCACGCCCGACGCGGCCTGCTTTCGGCACTACAACTCCACCCACACGGGCCTCTGGACCAGGTGCTTTCGCCTGGGCTTCGACGACGAGATCGACGACCTCATCGCCAAAGGTACACGGCGGTGGCCGAGTGGTGGTCGGCTGGGCGGTGCTCGTCGGCACCGCGGGCAGCGGGCGCTGTCCGTGGTGCTGACGGCGGCCGCGGACTTCAACGCGACTGGGGCAGTCGGGTTCGTGTGTCTGACGCCGCCGCCGCCGGTGTTGTTGTTGTTGGATCAGGACCGTGGTCTGGGCAGTCGACGAGGACAATGCAAAAGCTCTCTTAGTGTAACCTGCGCCGTGTGAGTGTGCGAGGTGCGAGTGGGGGGGGGGGGGGATTGTTTTCTTCCCCAAGCGCCGCCCGCTCCTGTTCGGGGGACAAGAGACCTCCGCGAATCGGGTTCGCGAGTTCTTCCTCAACGGCTTGGCCATGGCGGCGCCTAATAAACAACGGGGGGAACGCCGCCATTCTTTCACACGGGGCAGACTCTACCGAGGCGGAACGCGTGCTCGTTGGGTCCCTGGGCGCTCCTTGCCCCTGGTATCTACCCCCCCCCCCCCCGCATGCCGAAGCTGTCCCCCTCGCGCGGGTCACGGCGGTCTCCCGTCGCGTTCCCTAAACCCCGAACCCCCCTGTGTGCGGGTCGCTGCCCCCGCGTGTCGCGCTCACGGGGTGGGGTATGGTTTGGAGGGGGCGTGTTGTTTACACGCGGCGGTTTCTGCTGCTGCTGCCCCTGCTGCTGCTGCCCCTGCTGGGTGCTGCGTGCAGGCGCCGTGCCGCGCTGCGCTGCCGTGCGCTACCACTTCTCGTCCGCCGCGCTGCCGCGCAACCTCGCGCACAACGTGACGCTCGCGCTGCGCCAGGACGAGTGGCACTCTCTGCGTGAGTACGGCGCGGGCAGCACTCACGGGCGGCACCCAAGTGGTACTCACGACACTTGAGCAGCGTTCACGGGCAAGTACACTGCGGGACACCTGGTCAGTACGTGAATGCACCGTCCACGAGCAGGTGCCCCCACCCAGCGCAGCAGCACACCCAGCACGGCCCACCGAGCAGGTCACGAGTCGGAGTGAGCGAGGCGGATGGTAGCAGCACAGGACCGTGAGGGATGGCGGCTGGGTGGGGAGGCTTCATCCAGCAGGGGATATACAATGGCTGCTGATGATAAGAGCAGCACTTAGCAATACTCACGGAGTAACCCATGAACACACGCTCCCGCACTGCTGTCTGTGTTCGCTCAGACCTGCGGCGCATGACCGTGGGGTTTCTGGGGATGGCGGTGGCCGTTGTGGCCTTCGGCTGGGTCGTGGGGGCCCTGGGCGGGTGCCGAGGGCGCGGACTCATGCAGTACGTGGCGGGGCTGCTCTTCCTCATGGGCGGTGAGGCAGCACACCCTGCACAGCAGCACACCGAGCACGGCAGCACACCGTGCAGAGTAGCACAGCATCAAACCCAAGCACAACAATGTTGCAATTATAATTCATAGCCAATGCTATCCGGTAATTGAAAATATATTGGCAACAGCAGTATGGGGCCCCATCTAACGCACAATAAATATGCTCACTAAACAAATTTCACAACTGAGTGCCCCCCCCCCCACTCCCTACCCTCCCAGGAACTTTCTGCATCATCTCGCTCTGCACCTTCGTGGCCGAGATCAACTTCGAGCTGTCTCGCTTCCCCAAGAGTGTCTTCAGCCTCCCCGGTGACATCGCCCACGGCTACGGCTGGTCCATGTTCTGCGCGTGGGGGGGTCTGGGGCTGGCGCTGCTCGCCGGCTTTCTCTGCACCCTCGCCCCCTCCTTAGCCGGGCCACGGACTGCCACACCCAAGCCCCTCTCCGAGAACGGGATGGTGTGATCCTCGCCCGCCCTGTCCTCGGCGGGGGAGGAAACCCACGGGGCCGCGTACGTGGTCATATGCCCCCCTCCCTCCCCGAAACCTTCCTTACCATTGCGGGGGGCGGAGAGATGCACCGAGGGGGGAGGCCCTCCCTCATCCACCCACCTACCCCCCTCTTCCATAAACCACTCCCCCTACCCCCTCGTTCCTCTCCACCTCCTCGCGGCACCTGGCCACCTGTGCACCCCGCGATTGGATGAGGGGCCAGTCGTGAGCTTCTTCGGTGTGAATCCGCCAGGTGTGATGAGTCTGCCGGGTGAGTTTCAGAAGGTGTTAATCTGCCAGGTGTTAACCCACCAGGTGTCAATCTGCCAGGTGCATCTCACCGGGTGTATCTCTCCAGGTGTTAATCCGTCGGGTGCCGGGCGTGTTGTGAACTCGAGACGGGGCGGCGCCCCCTCACCACGTGACACCCACTGGCGCCGCGACGCGTCCGGGTTGGTGTCCTCAGTGTTAGAATCGCGTTTACTGAACACTATAGATGAGAAATGCAAATTGTGATGGGGATATTTGTCTGTGTGTGTTGGGGGTTTTTACGATCATCGCTGTTATGATTATTCTTTGTACATACGAATTCGTGTCGGGGTCACCGAGACGCGGGGTGACACTCGTGCTGTGTGCCCGGCGCAGCCTCGTTTGGGATTTGGGGATCCCAGCTCAAGTGTTCCGAGTCTGCGGCTCAGGGCGTCTGGAATTTGGGATGTGGAGTCGAGGGTCCGATTAGCAGGGGCCTGGGACTTGGAAAGCGTCGCTCTGAGTTTAGAATCCCTGCTGCGTGTAGAGTACACGGATCGCGACTCTTCACCTTGAAGCAGCCGTCACCTCGTACCAGTGGCCGTGCCCCTATGGCATGGAGTGCCACATTTGCAAAAATAAATCGCCGCATTCGAAATTAGCAATGTCCTGAAGAAGGGCCATTTTCCGAAACGTTAGCGTATTAGATATGTCTATGCTGTAAGGGACAGTTATGGCCAACGTGGTGAGATATTTCTGCTTGTGGGTCCACTGCAAATACAATGGCTCATTGTTTCAATGTTTAATCGAAGCTTCATTTCTGAGTATAAAGAAATGGGCCCCGCGCAAAGCCGGGGTTCCCTGTGGTCTCGTCGTTGGTTCAGCTGCCAGCCCGTTGACCCCAGTGCCCGTCTCTGTGTCTCCCTCAGCTCCCTAGCCAGGGCAGAGAACCGCCTCCCTCTCCCCGAGGAGCCTCTGGCCGCGTAATGTCGCCACCAACACTGCCAAGCGAACACACCGTGGTTAGGAGCTCTGGCTGAGCACCGATGGTGGGGGCAGTGACGTCGCGTGGTTAGATAGGGATATGGGTCGTGTCTGCTGGTTGACATGGGCCCTAGTGCAAGATGTTAAATTTGGCTCCATTCCTAATGACCCTCTCTTCCTAGCACAGCGCCTGCGCTCCTCTGGTCTGTGGACCCCAGCGCAGCTGAATTCCCTGCACAGTCGATAGCTACGCTACTGAAGCAGTAGTTGTTAGGAGTAAGGTCGGGGTGAGTGAGAGGGCTAATGCCAGAGCCCGGTTGGTTGGTTAGAGGTTAGCATTCGGGCTCGTGTTCGTGGCTGGTTGGCTAGCTGTGGTCAAGGGTAGGTCTAGCACGAGCAGCTAGGTAGAGATTGTGGTTGGGGCGAGCCCGAGACTGGTTTTGTCTGCCCGGGCTCGCGTGTCCACAGCCATCACTGCTGCACCCGCCACCAGGGGGCGTCGCTTGGAGCCCCTCTTCGGCGGTTTTGCTCCTGCTCGACGGGGAGATTTTGTGATTGAAGTTGATGCTTTTCCACTGCACAGACCACGGTATCCGCTGCGCCGCGAAGCCTCCCGTCTTCACAACGCCACGCCAGAAGGCACGGGTTCGAAAAGTTGAATCCTGTACAGTATTTCCTTTCAAGGACAATATTTAATAGTTTTGTTAATTTATTCATTGTGTTGACCAATGTAGAGTGCTCGGTTTGCTCGCTAAGATATGGTTCATGTAGCCTGTGTGGTGTGAACGTGGAGAGCCGAGGTTGGTGGATCGTGTGAGGAAGGGCGCATTCAGAATGGATTTCCACTGCCATGATATTAATCACTAGCTTCACGACATCAGTATTGTGGATGCACTGTCAAGTTGCGTGCCCGGGCTGCTGATTTCGCTTGTGTGTGCGGTACGTGTGTGTGTGTGTCTTGTGCGTATCGAGTGCGCGTCTATGAGTGCAAGTA